TCACTCAAAAGGTGCACCTTGAACAACACATGAAAGTCCACAGCGGAGAGAAGCCGTTCACATGCGATCAGTGTGGAAAGAGCTTCACGCTCAAAGACTCTCTCGGCTCCCACATGAGAGCTCACACAGGAGAAAGCCAGTTTATCTGTCATCAGTGCGGGAAAAGCTTCAATCACAAAAAAAGCTTCAATATTCACCTGAGAGTTCACACCGGAGAGGAGCCGTACACGTGCTGTTGGTGTGGACGGAGTTTCAGATATAAAGCATCCCTCGATGTCCACATTAGAGTTCACACAGGGGAAAACCCTCATACCTGCCGACTCTGCGGGAAGAGCTTCACACAGAAGGGCTCTCTTAAGGCACACATGATCATTCACACTGGAGAGAAGCCGTTCACATGTGTTCAGTGCGGAAAGAGCTTTAGACGAAAACTAACCTTGAACGAACACGTGAAGATTCACATTGAGAGTGAACTATTAGATCAATGTAATGCAGCTACATCAACGTGTAAAGATTCACTAACATGAAACACTTGAAGATACTAAAGTAACTGGAGAGATGTTTGCCAGCACTACCTGCAAGATTAGCGCTTCCTTGATTGCTGCAGTCTTGAAGATTTGTGCCCCAACCCTACCTAAACACACTTGAACAAGCTAATCAAGGACTTAGTGTTAAACTGTGGCAACACGGCACCTCATCAGTGTGTAAAGATTCACCTACAAGAAACACTTGAAGACACTGTGAAGTACCTGAAAACATGTTTGCCAGCACTACCTGCAAGCTGAGCGCTTCCTGGATCGTTGCAGTTCTGAAGATTTGTGCCTCAACCCTATTTAAACACACTTGAACGAGCTAATCAAGGTCCATCGAGGTGTCAAACTGCACTTTTCGGCTCATTGACTTTAATTCATAAGCATGCCAATTGCAGCAGACCAAAAACGCAAGTTCTGACAACAAGTTTTTGATGTCAGTGTATTCGAAAGTTCAAGCTTGGTGAACTCTGACCTGCAACATCACATCACGTGATTGTGTGAGACCGATAGAAGAGCAAAGCTTGACCTCTCTGTACAGAAAATTGAAATATGGAGCAGTTGCTCGATTTATTAATGTCGGATAATCTTTAATCCTGCCCTTTTTCGCAGCGCATTATTCAGTGTGTCTGTCCACGTTTTGCACTTGTTTAAATTCTATTTAATGTAGCACACATAATTGCCGTCTTTTTGTGGCTATCGTGACCTGACGCTTGACACTGTGAACATCAGTAAAGATCGTCAATTGTTTCTTTCGTGTCTCTTTGGCCTACAAACCCGAGTGTCGATCTCAGTTTGTTTATTTCCCCCATTTCCAGGAATGGTATAGTTTTTGTGGGGGTTTTTTGGTTTGGTGTGTTGATGTGTTAGCATTCCCTAATCCCTTCATTGTGTTGACACATTCAGAACTCATCTTTCTCACAATATCCCTCAATTGTGAGGCACTCTGAATGGTGTATATGCACAGGGACTTTTATTTTAAGATCTGATTTCATCAATGATCTGCACTGTCTGATTGATTATAGACGATATAAAGTGGTTCTCAGACCAGACAAGAAGCACTGCATTCAATTACATTGCTCTGAAATGTATTTTACCACAGTAATATCAATGAAGTTTCTGTGCTCGCCTGCTGCTACTGATGGCGCTCGTGTTTAAACGGGTTTTCATCTGGTTTTACGCAACTAAATGATTGCTTAAGGACCAATCCCAAATCTGTTTTTGTACCCCTTCCGAGTTTTCCGGTAGACAAAACAATGTGGGAGATGGGTCTGAAATACGGGAGACTCCCGGGAAAAACGCGAGTGTTGGCAGGTATGAGCTAAAGAGAATTGGTTAATTACATTACAACATTGATGCTGAAAAAGGAACCTTATGAACCGTCACATTCAGCCGACACTGGAAGTTTATCTGTGGCTGAATAGCACTAGCTGTGCATATGCAGCTCTTTGCGTGACAAACTTGGAATTTTGAAGGGGGAAAGGATGCAATTGCCTTTTATTCAGTGGCATAGTGGAAACATGCCTCCACATGAAAGGCAGGTTTCCACACGGTTTTGTTTTTCGTCTTCTTCGCTGTGGATGCTTTGCTTTGGAATGCAACTAACAAAAGGCGTTTACTTATCTCTCATCAGTGATATGGTTTAATGTACTTGCATATGTAAGTTTGAGTAGCAGCAGGAGTTTGCTGGAACACTAGTGAGTAAGGAAGTGTCACGCTTGAGTTTAAAAAAAGAGATGTCTTTGTAACTGGAGGGGTATAAATTGTTCAAACTTGTGTCGAAAGTCGTTTGTTGTGGAAACCAGCCAGGACTTCTGTAAAGCTGACAACACTCAATCAAAAGGTGAGAAATACACTTTATTTCTACTAAAATACTTTTATTGGAAATTAAATTTTTGGGACTGTATAATATTTGGGTGTTCAGCTGGTTTAAAATATTCAGCAAAATACATATGCTTAGAGCAGGCATTTTGATAATGATGAATGTGTATATCTTTCATGCAGTATATATGTGTATACATTGGTAACACTTTAGGTCACAATTTATGCCATTAACTACTTGTTTATTAGTTGCCTATTATTAATATTATCTGTTCATTAGTAGTTATAAAGAGTGATCTTATTCTGCACACCTAATCCTACCTAAACCCAACTTCTACATTAATAAATAGTTGGTTATTAAGATAGCAGTGTTAATTGTTTGTTAGCAGAGTGAATTGTGACCTAAACTAAAGTGTATTTACTTGTTGATTTGTTATTAAAATGTCGAGACTTCTCAACCAGCATAACTAAAATCATTTCTGCAGACCATCTCCTTTCAGCTGGCTGAGTGCTGCACTGTAGAACCTGTTTTCCTGAATGCATATTTGTGGGGTTTCTAGAACTCGCACACTTCTTTGTGCACTTTTTCATGATTTCTAGGTCACACAGTAAACAATAGTCACCAATATTTACATTTGTTGTCAATTTAAAGGCCGTAAATTTATTATGACTTTATTATTAATAAAAGTCTTGTTTATTGTGAAATAATCTATGCACAATAATCTATGCACATAAGTCGGCACCTGTCATTTTATTAATTCGATTTATATATTTTTAAATGGTAATTTAAGATATTTAATAACTTGTTTTCCGTTTGCATTTTCAGTTTTAATTAACCTATGAGCTTGCAGAGGTTATAGGCATAATTCACCCAAAATGAAAATGTACTCACTATTTCCACACCCTCAATGGGTTCCTACTTTTTTATGAGGTTGTTTATTTTGTTCTAGACAAGATATTTTAAAGAAAGTTGAAAAACCTGTACCCACAGTCATTCATTAATACCATGGATGTCATTGATTACATATTTCCAGCTTTCTTCAAACTATATATTTTCACATTCAACAGAAGACTGTATAGAAACCCATTCATATACAGGGGTTGGACAATGAAACTGAAACGCCTGGTTTTAGACCATAGGTCATTAGTATGGTGTAGAATTTTTTTTTTGCACGTATTTTGAGCCGTTCTTCTTCAGAATAGTGTTCAGGTCAAAACATGATGCTGCTGGAGGAAAACCTTTCCTGAGTAACTCCTCCAACACACCCCAAAGCACTTAATGCTATATTACTGTGCGGACCATGGGAGATGTTCAACTTCACTGTCATGTTCATTGAACCACTCTGTCTCCAGTCCTGCTGTGTGTGTTGCTGCATTATCATCCTAATACACCACCACCTCTAGGATACAGTGTGTGACCCATTGGGTCACATAATCCTCCAGAATGGTTGGGTAGTCTATGGCAGTGCCCATCTAGCACCAGTATTTGGGCCTAGGGAATGCCATGATATTGAGCCTAAACCATCACTGAATGTGCATTTTTAAGCTCTCTTGCGTTCTCGTGTAACGTCATCATCCACTGCAAAAGTTCAGTTCAAATATTTAACACCGCAAGAATTGAAGGTTGTTTGAAAGGCCAATTCTTCCTAGATTGGGTGGCATGGCAGCCTAGTGGTTAGCACTGTTGCCTCACAGCAAGAACATCACTGGTTCTAATCCTTACTAGGCCAGTCAATATTCTGTGTGGAGTTTGCATGTTCTCCCCGTGCTCGCATGGGTTTTCCCCATGTTCCCCGTTTTACTCCCACTGACCAAAGACGTGTCATAAGTAAATTGACTTAAACCAAATTGCCACCATGGTCAAGTTCTTAGCCAACAGTAGTTCTTCCTCATAAAGCAATTTGTTATTAGCCATACATAAGCAGGGGAGTTCTTGAGACCTTCCTGAACTCAATCTCTGCTCTCGCCCTACATACGGGAGGGAGCCCAGGGCTTGAGGAACTTTTGAGCTCAGGGCTCTCTCCCGGCATAGCATGCCAAACACACTTATAATTCAACATCTGTTAAATGTGAACTCTTGAAAGATAATTATGTTGGGCAGACTGATAAAGATTATTCTGATAATAAAGTTAGAATTAAAGCTAGAGCTACAAAAAAACAGCAGGTCACAAGCACATTTCCCAGTGGTTACATATAGATAAGGAAATTCATCTTATGTGATTTGAACCTACAGATGATGGTGAATGTATGCGAACTGAATGCTCTATTTGAAATAAAGTAGAAATCGTGAATCAAGTTTAAATATATCCATATTTGGTATAGATCTTTTGAAGGTTCTGTACATGAAGGAATTTTAATCTTGTTAATTATGAATTACATGAATAAATTGTTTCTAAATATATGCAACATTCTTTTTCAATTTCCTGTTTTGTGTAGGAACCATATTGACCCAGCCTAGATCTCTGATCCTGTAAACTGACCAAGAAAGATTCACTGATTATTCATCATGGCATGTGAACGGGACTACAACACTCTAATGGCTGGTGTGCGAGAGCTTGATCTTCAAGGAAATGCAATCCCCAGCGATCTTTTACTAACAGGTGAACATTCAATTCCCCTTGCCGTAAATCCACGTGGTCAGGTACTGATGGCTGCATCTCATTATGGTCAGGGACGTATTGTGGTGTTGGGACATGAAGGATTCCTAACACGCTTTCCTGTCCTGATGAAGAATGCCCTGACTTGGCTCAGGCCAACTACCAGAGATGCTGGGGTTGTAGGAATTCAGAGGCGTTTACGTGCAGTAGCTGAAAACTTCCCAATCAAGACAGAGCTAGGAGACTTTCGGAATGACTTATCTATATATATCACCGATGCTTACAGTGTTGAGACATGTGCAAAGGATCTGGTAGCTTTTCTCAAAGCTGGGGGTGGTTTGATTATTGCTGGACAAGCCTGGCATTGGTCTCACAAACACCCACAAGAAAGCACTATTAGGAACTTTCCAGGCAACAAGGTCTGCAGTGTTGCAGGGATTTACTTTACAGAGCATCCAGGACAAGTCAGCATCTTTCCTGTTCCTAGAAATATCCCTTCTACTTGGCGTGCTTTGTCGTAAGCCTAGCAGACATGCATGCATTATTTCCCATTCTTTAACAAAAATAACATGTAATAAATTGCATTTAATTGTTTCTTTTCAGAATGTGCCAGAATGTTAAGAAGGATTTGGAGTTCTTGCTGGAAGGTGTCTCAGAGTTCGACACTTGTGGGACTTCAGCATCTGAGGTGTTGGTGCACGGACCATTGGCATTTCCCATTGCTCTCACTCCAGATGGAAAACCATTTTTTGCTGGTGCCTATTATGGGCTAGGTCGAGTAATTCTGGTATCCCATGAATGCTACCTGAGCAAGAACACCACATCCACTTTCATAATCAATGCCATCAAGTGGCTTGATGAGGGTCGCCAGGGTGTTGTTGGGATCTTACCAAGCCTCAAAGCAGCCCATGAGGTACTGGCCAAATCTGGTTTAGATTGTCAGTTGACTGATTTCAGAGATGACCTTAGCGTCTACGTCTGCACTTCTTACAGTGATGCCCACTGTGCAGAGATCCAAGAATTTGTTGCAGAAGGTGGAGGACTTCTGATTGGGGGTCATGCTTGGAATTGGGCTAGAACTAACTGGAGCTCTAATGTGATGACTGAATACCCAGGAAACCGCATTCTTAACGAAATGGGATTGATTCTTTTGGAAAATACCTTGAGGGGAGGGTTATATAAAGCTCCAGAAGTAGAGCATAGTAGTGAAGAGGGGTACCACTTTTGGAGAATGCTGCAGCGATTTGCTGAACATGTCAAATTAGGGCAAAAACTGACTGATCAAGAACAGGACTACCTGAAGCAGCTGGGCAACGATTGTGCCAGTTACCTTCGCATGCGCTGTTATGATAGTGCCGCTTACACTTCAGTGTTAGCTCTTCTTACTGACATAGTGAAGATGCCAAGTTTTCCACAAGTGAGTAGTACCTGTCCTGTGGAAACTCCCAAAGACCGCATGATGCTCCACATTGGTAAGGAGGTCTACAAAGTGACACCTGATCCTGATGACCTTATTTCATACATCATCAAGGACAGACCCAATTTGCCCACTGTGTCTAATGCAAGAGTTCGGATCACTGCCAACACTGCAGGTACTAAAATTGCTCCGGTACTGAGGTTCTCATGATGACGGGAGTTCAAATCCTGGCTTGAGGTCCTTTGCTAATCTCTCCCCTTTCTCTCTGTTCTCATCCATTCAGACATCCCAAGTTGGGAAAATTGTATCAGAGTAGGGACGTGTGCGGGCGAGATGTACCTGAAGAGCGGTGGGGGTCAATTGCACGCGAGGTACCTGAAAAAGAGTGGGGTGGGGGTGAGTTGCACGCGACATACCTAAAGAGCGGTGGGGGTGAGCTGCGCTCGACATACCTGAAGAGAGGTGGGGGTGTGTTGTGCGCGAGATACCTGAAGACCGGTGGGGGTGAGTTGTGCACGAGATACCTGAAGATTGGTGTGGTGGGGGTAAGCTACATGCAACGTACCTGAAGAGCAGTGGGGGTTAGTTGCATGCGACATATCTAAAGAGAGGTGGGGGTGAGTTGTGCACAACGTACCTGAAGAGCAGTGGGGTGGGGTTGAGTTATGCGCAACATACCTGAAGAGCTGGGAGGGATGCGGTGGAGAGGGGTGTGCGACGTATTTAAGGACCGGGTGGGAGACGCACGATTTCCGGGAAATTATCATTCATTTGAGGGCATGCAGGAGTCTCTATGCATTTGGGGGATACTGCTGGAACTTACGGGAGACTTGGGATGTCTGTTCATTCCTTTTTCACTGTGGACTTTCCCATCAAATAAATGTGAAAAACTCAATGTTTGTGCAGTCTAAATGCATTGTAAAATAAAATGTTTTAAGATTCGGAAGAATGGATCAGCACTGGCTTATATCTTTCTCCTGGTATGAAGACATACATCACAATACCTCCAGAGATCATTGGAACAAAATGGCAGGTAATATATAAAGTATATTCATTCTGTGAAATAGTTCTTCATGCACACTTATTTTGTTAGACACAACCTTAATGCTTATTCAGCTTAGAGTTATTTACATGAGCAGACACTCTTTGCAGGTACAGCTTGGTTGTCAGACAGATAACATTGGTGGATCAAACGTCCTCAAGCGAGCTCCTGTGGTCCATGAGCGATTCCCCTTGGACTCAGAAAAGGTCCAGGTCTGTAATCTGTGGGGAGGACTCATCTACTTCGTAGCACCTCCCGAAAGCAAAGTGGATGGGGTGGAAATTGTTGTGCAGACCGCAGTACAGGCTCCATACTTCAAGTCTGGTAAGAATTCTGAATTAATGTTCAATAAGTGGTTGAATATATTTACAGGTGTAATGTAAAAACTGAAAATGGCTTTGCTCCTCAGGAGAGACCAGTGTAGCTGACTGGGTGGGCAAGATTCGTCAGAGACCTGCTCCCTGGGCAGAACTTGAGTTTGAAAACCTCGTCATGACCTTGCCCTCAGATTTCATTCGGAATCTGGAGCGCCCTGATGAGGTGGCTAAACTTTGGGATGCCATAATGAGAAGCGTAAGTGACTTGGCAGCAACTCCGGCCAAATTCCGGCGCAAGGAGCGATTTGTTGGAGATGTTCAGATCTCTGCTGGTCAGTGAATACCAGTCACTATTACAAATTCAATCATGTCATTTAGTTTAACTACATTTAACACACACTGACCTGGTAATGTAACGGTTGCTTATTTTCTCACCTTAGGCTTCATGCATTCTGGATATCCCATAATGATGCTCTCCAGTTCTGCTTCACAACTACTAAATGTGAAGGAAGCCCATAAACATGATTTCTGGGGACCACTTCACGAGTTGGGCCATAACCAGCAGCGTAAGGTTTGGGAGTTTCCTCCACACACCACTGAGTGCACCTGCAACCTGTGGTCAGTGTACGTCCATGAGAAAGTGCTGGGTGTGAATAAGGCTAAAGCTCATCCATGCATGACTCTAGAAAGCCGGCAGGCTTGTATCAAGAAGTATTTCAGTGGTGGAAAGGATTTAAAAAACTGGACTAAGGCCACAGCACTCGAGACTTACATGCAGGTACAAAGAGATTCTCAAAGTTTTAACAGTATTGTGTATTCTTTTTAATTTTATTAAGAGTTTAAAGTACTCACTTATTTTCTGTCATCTGTGTCAAATTACTGATTCAATTTATTTCCAGCTTCAGGAGAAATTCGGCTGGGATGCCTTTAAGAAAGTATTTTCTCTCTACCATGATATGAAAGATGTCCCAAATGACAACGCAGGCAAGATGAATCTATATGCCAAGACCTTCTCCAAGGTGGTCAACCACAACTTGTCTCCATTCTTCAAAGTGTGGGGTTGGCCCATCCAGCCCAACACAGAACAGGAGCTGTCCCATCTGCCAGCATGGAGAGACCATCCTGTTAGCCAGTATGCATAAGAACATGTTGGATAGCAATGAATTATGCACACAGTTTTTTATATGAAGTTTAAAAAACATTACCATAATCATGTTTTACTTTTCATTTGATTAGTGCATAGATGATATATATCAGTGTGATATCCTTGCATGTTATTTAAAGCACTTATTAATCAAATGCAGCTGTATGGTTAGTCAGCCAAAGATAAATGTAACCAGAAAAGTTTTTAAATGTAAGAAATAATTCTCAACTCATTAAATAAATCACAAAAATTAAGCAGTTGTCCACATCCTGTAGAACAAGTGGGTCTCTATTGCCCTCTGCTGGTTAAAACTATTCTTTTCTTAAATTGTAATCCCTTCCGATTTATCCTAGACCAACAGATGACAGAACTCTACACCTAACAGCTAGATTAACATCCAGACACAACCTTAATTAAAATGAAATCATTTGAGTGTATTCTTCATCAAAATAAGTAATATTTCACACACAAGCAAATGGTATAGTTTTGGAATTTTGTGATTCCTGGAAGAAGTGGGCATTTTGCCTCATTTCACTTGCCTAATTACCCCAGTGAAGTCTTTAAATGTCACTTTAAGCTGTTTAGAAGTGTCTTGAAGAATATCTAGTCTAATATTATTTACTGTCATCATGATGAAGAGAAAATAAATCAGTTATTAGAGATGAGTTATTAAAACTATTATGATTAGAAATGTGTTGAAGAAATCTTCCCTCTGTTAAACAGATATAAAAAATAGACGGGGGCGATTAATTCAGGAGGGCTAATAATTCTGACTTAAACTGTATATGTCTGTCAACATCAAAAAGTGTGTTTTAGGGTCTCGTGACCCTTTAAAGGTGCCCTTCAGACCAATGCAATGTGTATAGGAGTGGAACTTTAGGTTCTGGCCCACCATTATGAATAAGAATTCTGAGAGTGAATGAGATAATGAGAATCTCAGGCTTAATGCAAACTCATAATCCAGGTCCAAGCATCCAAGCTCCACAACTTGGTGCTAGTGCAGAGGGTAAGGTGGGTAGACCCAAATAAAACACTCCTTAATGATCCGCTGGAGTTAAAATTGAACTGATGCTAATCTTAAACTGTGACTTCTGTTTCAGATGCCAACTGAAACCTGCTTCCTCGATGACATTGTTAGTAATGTAAAGAAGATTGAGTAGAGATTTCACTACCTTTAAAGATTGAAATATATTCAATAAAAAAGCCTCCAAAGTTATACTTGTATTTAAACAGCTTCAAAACAATCAATGGTCCCACATCTGCATGCTTTTTCAGGCTTTTCTACATGAGTAATAAAAAATGGAAATGGGGAAAAATAAACAAAAAATAAACTGAGATGGACACTCAGGTTTGTAGGCCAAAGAGATCTTTTACAAGCTTTACTGATATTCAGTGTCAATCATCAGATGAAAAACAAAACCTAAACCATGTGGGGACCTGCCTTTTATCCGGAGGCATGTTTCCACTATAACACTGAATAAAACGCAGTTGCATTTTTTTTTTTCCTCAAAAGTTTGTCACACAATGGGATGTATATACACAGCTAGTGCTTTTCAGCCACAGATAAACTTTGTGTAGGCTGAATGCGATTGTTCATAAGGTTTCTTTTACAGCATTGGAGTTGTAATGTAATTAAATTATAATCAGTTAGACTCAGACCCAATCCCAATTCTACCTCTTGTTTTGTGCATTCACGTGAAGGGGTAGTGGTGTCCCAATTCTCCTTAGCTTGAAGGCGTAGGGCTAAGGGGAAGGGCTAGATAGTTCTCTACATGGAGATTTTTCAGGACTACACTCGAATCCAAGGGGTAAGAAAATTTCCCAGAATACACCAGCCACAACAGCAGTATTGACCTTATTCTCCGCCAACGAGCGGGCGCTGCCATTTGAATCTTTTTGGCTCGAGACTTCCGGTCTCATTCACTTCCATTCATTTTTAGACATTAAAAACTGCTCATTACACTGCTTGATGTTGCAATTTGATATTTTCTTGTTATATTATTCTACTTGGTCTGTATAGTCATGCAAACATTTGTTTGTAGAGCGAGTAGTTTGACCGTTTTCTGCCGTTTATTATTCCTAGTCATTTCTCTCATAGGCGACTGAATCGGAAGTTCTAAGACAGTCGCGTAAACAGCCGCACTTCTGCATTTATGAATAAGGTCAATAGCTGCACCCGGAGTTCAGGAGATCCACAATTCAGTATTTTGTGTCATTATTATACATTTTTTACAACAAACAAACACATGTTTTAATATATTCATAACCGCGTTCATGTTTACCATCATGCTTTAAAAAAACGCTCAAATAAAAACTGCTAAATTTGCTGATCTATAATCCCTAATAATGACTCCTGTACAGCAGTCTCACAACATTCTGACACTCGAATCCCCTGTCAGAAAAGTCTAGTAGCTGGGAATGAGCTGTTTACAGTGTCTGCTGTAATGTTAATGTTGTTTTTGGTGTGTTTACAGATGAATATGGCCACTGTGTAAATGCACAGTACAGTTATGATCTTATTGCCACATTATATCGTTATAATAACATGATATATGCCTTCAGTGATTTCCTGAAGATAAACACCAATAAATAACACAACTAGAATCACTACAGCAGTCGCCGTCGTCTGATCTCATATGAAGCAAGAGATTGCGATGACATATGATGACCTGTGCAAGTGCTGTCCCAATTCTTAGGGGTACATTTTGAAGCCCTTCCCCGTCACACTCGGTTTCAATAGCCAAGGGGAAGGGGTAGAGGAGCAAAACAGAATTGGTATTGGGACTTCATTTCCATTCATGACATTCATTTAGTTGTTCAAGCATAAAACATGATGAAAGCCCGTCTAAACACGAGCGCCATCAGTAGCAGCTGGTTTCTGCAGAAACTTCATAATACTGTGGTAAAATACATTGCCATATTTTAAAGGAATGGGGCAGAGAGATGTAATTTAATGCAGTGCTTCGGGTCTGTCTGAGACCCACTTTAAATCGTCTATTTATCAATCAGAAATTGAAGATCATTGATGTTTAAAGAAATCAGATCTTAAAAATAAAAGTCCCTGTGCATATACACCATTCAGAGTTATTGTGAGAATGAACAGTTCTGAATGTTTCAACACATTGAAGGGATTAGGGAATCCTAAAAAATCAGCCCACCAAACCAAAAACGACACCATTCCTGGAAATGGGGAAAATAAACAAAGATAAATAAACTGCACAAATAAACCATCACATTCAGCCTACACTGGTTTATCTGTGGCTGAAAAGCACAAGCTGTGCATATGCAGACCATTGCGTGACTTGGAATTTTTAGGGGAAAAAAAGATGCAATTGCCTTTTATTCAATGTCATAGTGGAAACATGCCTCCGGATAAAAGGCAGGTTTCCACACGGTTTTGTTTTTCGTCTTCTTCGCTGTGGATGCTTTGCTTTGGAATGCAACTAAAAAAAGGCGTTACCTATCTCTCATCAGTGATATGGTTTAATGTACTTGCATATTTAAGTTTGAGTAGCGACATGTTTTTATGTACTTACATATGCATTTTTACTAGCAGCAGGAGTTTGCTGGAACACTAGTGAGTAAGGAAGCGTCACGCTTGCGTCCAAAAAAAAAAAGAGATGTCTGGTGGGGTATAAATTGTTCAAACTTGTGTCAGAACGTCTGCACCGACTGCAGATGGTGCGGAAACCAGCCAGGACTTCACTAAAGCTGACAACACTCAAACAGAAGGTGAGATCAAATACTTTTAATGTTAACTTTGGGACTGTGTAATATGTGGGTGTTCAGCTGGTATAAAATAATCAGCAAAATACATATGCTGACCGGCGAGCAGGAAAATCTTAGATGGACACTACAGCAGTCGCCATTATCTGATCTCCTATGAAGCAAGAGATCGTGATGATATATGAGTGCAGGTGCTGTAGTGCTGTCCCAATTCTTAGGGGTAAATATTGAAACCCTTGCCCTTTAGGGCTAGGGGTACAAAAATAGAATTGGGATTGGGCCAAAGTGGACCTTACATAGTCAATACAGTCTCGTTTTATATTTGAAGAAAAGTGCCTGTCCATATTAATCTACTGCCTTCAAATTAGAGAGAGACCCTGTTTAAATATTAATGGGTTTTACTATATTTTGGATAATAATATTCATGTTTGCAGTCAACAGTTACTGCATGTTCTAACGAGTGCTGGATGATTGGTTTGTTTGATTCTATAGAGTCGACTCTTTCGAAGTCCTCTTTTAAATTCCCTATTGTGTTGATGTAAACCATTTACGCACTGCAACAGTTCCTCTAATTTTAGCTGTAGTAGCTTGTTTAAAGTTTGGTCATAACAAAGACGTGGTCACACTGCACTTTTCTCCCTATAGAACTCTATTCATAAGCATGCAAATGCGACAGAGCGGAAACTTAAGCTCGTGTGACAAGTTTCACCATTCGATGCATTGGAAAGTTCAAGTTTGGTAAACTCTAACCTGCAAAATCGCATCACGAGATTGCGTGAGACTAATCGAAGATCAAAATATGACCTCACTGTAGAGAAATTTTAAATACGGACCAGTTGCTCACTTTTTTAAATGTCTAATCATCTTGTTTAATTCTGCCCCTTTTCGCAGCTACTACAGAATTTTGCATGCTTAAACTCTAGTGTGATCACAGCATCATACTTATTTTCTATTTTCAGAAGCAACAAGTATTAATTTAGCATTGTAACTGCTGTCAAGTCTTCATTGTTTTTGGTTTTCAGCAGTGACATTTGCATTACACTGAACTGAGCTAAACTTAACTTCAGCTGAGTATTTTTAAGACTTTTTTTTCCATGACTGTATCTTCTTAAATAATTCATTTATTTCTGGTATTTAATGTTTTTTTTTCAGTGAACAAACTTCAAAGCCTTACAGATTTGTTTGGTTGTGCCTGTTTCTTCATTTCTATTAGATATAAAGTTGAAATTGTGAGAAGTTTAAAATTATCCACTATTGATCTCTTAACGTTTTTCTTTTTTTTTTTTTTTACATTAGAAATGTCAGTCTTGCAACTTAAATTGTGAATTACATGATCAAATTATTTCTGAATATATGCAACTTTTTTCTTTCCTGTTTTGTGTAGGACTGAAAATCTACTGGTCTCATATTCACTGCATACACAAACTCTGGTCGAACCAGCTCAGTTGTTAGATCCTGTAATCTGACTAATCCAACAGAGTTTGTTTGGAATTGACTTACTGAAATCAACTAATACATCATGGCTCATGAACAGGACTACCACACTCTAATGTCTGGACTGCAAGAGCTTAATTTTGAAGGGAATCCAGTCCCCTGTAATCTAATACTAATAGGTGAACATTCCTTTCCCCTTTTCATTAATCCATGTGGTCAGGTACTGATGGCTGCATCTCATTATGGTCAGGGACGTGTGGTGGTGTTGGGACATGAAAATTACTTAAGACGCTTTCCTGGCCTGATAATGAATGCCTTGACATGGCTCAGGCCAGATACCCGAGATGCCGGGGTTGTAGGGATTCAGAGTCGTTTACATGCAGTAGCTGAAAACTTGAACCACTGCAATATCAAGACAGAGCTAGGAGACTTTCGGAATGACTTATCTGTATATATCACAGATTCTTACAGTGTTGAGACATGTGCAAAGGATCTGATAGCTTTTCTCAAAGCTGGGGGTGGTTTAATCATTGCTGGACAAGCCTGGCACTGGTCTTATGGACACCCACAAGAAAACATTTTGAGGAACTTTCCAGGTAACAAGGTCTGCAGTGTTGCAGGGATTTACTTTACAGAGCAGACCGGAGAAGTCGGCACCTTTCCTGTTCCTGGAAATATCCCTTCTAGTTGGCGAGCTTGGTCGTAAGTTCAGCAGACATACTTTAAATGTTCTCATTTTAACAAACCAATATCTGACCAATTGCATGTAATTGTTTCTTTTCAGAAAACCCAATAACTTTAAAAAGGATCTAGAGTTCTTGCTGGAAGATGTGTCCGAGTTTGACACTCGAGGTGATGCTGTAGCATATGAGGTGTTGGTGCACGGACCATTGGCATTTCCCATCGCTCTCACTCCAGATGGAAAACCATTCGTTGCCGGTGCCTATTATGGGCTAGGTCGAGTAATTCTGGTATCCCATGAATGCTACCTGAGCAAGAAAACTATGTCCACTTTCATGATCAATGCTGTCAAGTGGCTTGATGAGGGTCGCCAGGGTGTTGTTGGGATCTTACCAAGGCTTAAAGCAGCCCATGAGGTGCTGGCCAAATCTGGCTTAGATTGTAAGCTGACTGATTTCAGAGATGACCTTAGCGTCTACGTCTGCACTTCCTACAGTGATGCCCACTGTGCAGAGATCCAAGAATTTGTTGCAGAAGGAGGAGGACTTCTGATTGGTGGTCATGCTTGGAATTGGGCCCAGACCCACCGAGGATGCAATGTGATGACTGACAACCCAGGAAACCGCATTCTTAACAAGATGGGATTGAGCCTATTGGGAAATACCTTGAGTGGAGGTTTATATAAAGCTCCAGAAGTAGAGCATAGTAGTGAAGAGGGGTATTACTTTTGGAGAATGCTGCAGCGATTTGCTGAACATGTCAAATTAGGACAAAAACTGACTGATCAAGAACAGGACTACCTGAAGCAGCTGGGCAACGATTGTGCCAGTTACCTTCGCATGCGCTGTTATGATAGTGCCGCTTACACTTCAGTGTTAGCTCTTCTTACTGACATAGTGAAGATGCCAGGTTTTCCACAAGTGAGTAGTACCTGTCCTGTGGAAAGTCCCAAAGACCGCATGATGCTCCACATTGGTAAGGAGGTCTACAAAGTGACACCTGATCCTGATGCCCTTCTTCCATACATCATCAAGGACAGACCCAATTTGCCCACTGTGTCTAATGCAAGAGTTCGGATCACTGCCAACACTGCAGGTACTAAAATTGCTCCGGTACTGAGGTTCTCATGATGACGGGAGTTCAAATCCCGACTTGAGGTCCTTTGCTAATCTCTCCCCTTTCTTTCTGTTCTCATTCAGTCAGACATCCCAAGTTGGGAAAAGTGTAGTAGGGGCGTGTGCGGGCGAGACGTACCTAAAGGAGCAGTGGAGGTGAGGTGCGCGCAAAATACCTGGAGGGCGGTGGTGGTGAGTTGCATGCGACATACCCGAAGAGCGGTGGGAGTAAGTTGCGCATGACGTACCAGAAAAGTGTTGGGGTGGGGGTGAGTTGAGCGCCACGTACCTGAAGAGCAGTGAGGGTGAGTGGTGCGCGACGTATCTAAAGAGCGGTGGAGTGCGCACGACATACCTAAAGAGCTGGGAGGGATGCGGTGGAGAGGGGTGTGCGTATTTAAGGACTGGGTGGGAGAAGCACGATTTCCAGGAGATTATCATTCATTTGCAAGCATCCGGGAGACTCTATGCATTTGCGGGATACTCCCGGAACTTCCAGGAGACTTGGGATGTCTGTTTATTCCTGTTAAACTCTGCAGTCTAAATGAAATTATTTGTTTTAAGATTCAGAAGAATGGATCAGCACTGGCTTATATCTTTGTCCTGGTATGAAGACATACATCACAATACCTCAAGAGATCATTGGAACTAATTGGCAGGTGATTTTTAAAGTGTCTTCATGCACACTTATTTTATTAGACACAACCTTAATGCTTATTCAGATTTGAGTTATTTACATGAGCAGACACTCTTTGCAGGTACAGCTTGGTTGTCAGACAAATAACATTGGTGGATCAAACGTCCTCAAGCGAGCTCCTGTGGTCCATGAGCGATTCCCCTTGGACTCAGAAAAGGTCCAGGTCTGTAATCTGTGGGGAGGACTCATCTACTTCGTAGCACCTCCTGAAAGCAAAGTTGATGGGGTGGAAATTGTTGTGCAGACCGCAGTACAGGCTCCATACTTCAAGTCTGGTAAGAATTCTGAATTAATTTTGTGACTCAATGAGTTTAACAAATGTACAGCATGGTGAAACTTTTCAATGCTAAATCCCTGTGTTCCTCAGGAGAGACCAGTGTAGCTGACTGGGTGGGCAAGATTCGTCAGAGACCTGCTCCCTGGGCAGAACTTGAGTTTGAAAACCTCGTCATGACCTTGCCCTCAGATTTCATTCGGAATCTGGAGCGCCCTGATCAGGTGGCTAAACTTTGGGATGCCATAATGAGAAGCGTAAGTGACTTGGCAGCAACTCCAGCCAAATTCCCCCGCAAGGAGCGATTTGTAGGAGATGTTCAGATCTCTGCTGGTCAGTGAATAAAACATCACTATTACAAATTCAATAGTCATTTATTTTAACTACATTTAACACACACTGACCTGGTAATAAAACATTTCACAACCTGGTAATTTCTCCTTTTCTTGCCTTAGGTTTCATGCATTCTGGATATCCCATAATGATGCTCTCCAGTTCTGCTTCAGAATTACTAAATGTGAAGGAAGCCCATAAACATGATTTCTGGGGACCACTTCACAAGTTGGGCCATAACCAGCAGCGTAAGGTTTGGGAGTTTCCTCCACACACCACTGAGTGCACCTGCAACCTGTGGTCAGTGTACGTCCATGAGAAAGTGCTGGGTGTGAATAAGGCTAAAGCTCATCCATGCATGACTCTACAAAGCCGGCAGGAACGCATCAAGGAGTATTTCAGTGGTGGTAAAGATTTTGAAAACTGGAATACTTGGACAGCACTCGAGACTTACATGCAGGTACAAACAGATTGCTGGTATCTCAACAGTATTGTGTATTATTTATTTTATTAAGAGTTTAAAGTACTCACTTATTTTCTGTCATCTGTGTCAAATTACTGATTCAATTTATTTCCAGCTTCAGGAGAAATTCGGCTGGGATGCCTTTAAGAAAGTATTTTCTCTCTACCATGATATGAAAGATGTCCCAAATGACAACGCAGGCAAGATGAATCTATATGCCAAGACCTTCTCCAAGGTGGTCAACCACAACTTGTCTCCATTCTTCAAAGTGTGGGGTTGGCCCATCCAGCCCAACACAGAACAGGAGCTGTCCCATCTGCCAGCATGGAGAGACCATCCTGTTAGCCAGTATGCTTAAGAACATGTTGGATAGCAATGAATTATGCACAGTTTTGAATATGGAGTTTAAAAAAACATTACCATAATCATGTTTTACTTTTCATTTGATTAGTGCATAGATGATATATATCAGTGTGAGGTGCTTGCATGTTATTTAAAGCACTTATTAATCAAATGCAGCTGTATAGTTAGTGGGCTAAAGATAAATGTAACCAGAAAATAGGCATTTTTGAATGTAAGAAATAATTCTCAACTCAATAAATAAATCACAATAATTAAGCAGTTGTCCACATCCTGTAGAACAAGTGGGTCTCTATTGCCCTCTGCTGGTTAAAACTATTGTTTCCTTTAAATTCTAATCCCTTCTGATTTATCATTGACCAACAGATGACAGAACTCTACACCTAACATCTAGATTAACATCCAGAAACAACCTAAATTAAAAATAAGATAATTTGAGTGTATTCTCCATCAAAAAAAGTAAAATTTCACACACAAGCTGATGCTTCAGGATTTTTGTGGTAAAATAGGTATAAAAGCACTTCATCCAAAAACACAGCATCAATGTAAAGATAGAAATTAACACTTTATTTTAATGTGTTACTATAGTAATTACAATTAAATATGCATAAATACATGCAGCTAGATTAACATCCACAAACAACCTCAATTAAAATGAGATCGTTTAAGTGTATTCTACATCAAAATAAGTAATATTTCACACACAAGCTAATGATATAGTTTTGGAATTATGTGGTACAATAGGTACATGTTTTATTGAACAGAACAGTCTCCAAACGTCAGGGTTCAAAATCTCAAGCAGCAAACAAATACACAGCTAATGTATGTATAGGGTGCACACAACCCTATATAGCAGTAAACAAAAAAATACATAAATAAAACTATAATTAAATATAAAACACTGGGATTTTTAGCTTATGTTTCTGTAAAATATAATATTGTTTAAATAAAATATGGTGTATCTGATACCTGTCAACATAACCTCATTAGGTTTGCATATATAATGTATGATCATCTCATATCAGTTGTTGGACTTCAAAGGGTCCAGTGCATGTTCAAAAATGGATTCGGAGTCAATCTGTCAAAAATTATAAGTTTTATTTGCAGGACAGAAACCAGAAGTAACACTGCGCAGGAGAGGTTCAACTCTGAACTCTCTTTCAGAGACACATCCTTTTAATACCACAGTTTTTTGTCTTCCGTGCATCTCTTAACAGTTTAACCTTTTAAGGCGAATGTCTCCTCATAGCACACACACGGCTCATACACACAGCTCATTCTCAAAACTATCTGCCCTTTCTATGCACCCTTGCGACACTTCTCTATTTGCTGCATGCAATTTGCAACACTTCTGACAGTTTCACAATAATTAACACTTTATAGGTTAATTGTTTAAGCCTTCTCATGCACGGAAAACGTAAAAAATTGTATTTCAACTGAAAAACCACACAGTTCAGCAGAAATGCGTCTATGTGGCTGACAGCGATCCGATCAGAGCAAGGAATGAAATGACCTGCTGTGAAAAGGCCCTTTATGACCTTTTGACTCCTGTGGGCTATTTACATACAGGAATATATATATATATATATACGCACACACACACACACACACACTCACACACATAAATACAGTTGAAATTCAGAATTATTAGCCCCCCTGAATTATTCACCCGTTAATTTTTTTTCCCCCCAATTTCTGTTTAATGGAGATTTCTTCATCACATTTCTGCACATAGTGTTAATAACTCATCTCTAATAACTGATTTATTTCCTCTTTGTCATGATGACAGTAAATAATATTAGACTAGATATTCTTCAAGACACTTCTATACAGCTTACAGTGACATTTAAAGGCTTCACTAGGGTAATCAGGGTAACTAATTACCCTAGTTTAAAAAAATTAAAAACTGCTTTTATTCTAGCTGAAATTAAACAAATAAGACTTTCTCCAGAAGAATAAATATTATCAGACATACTGTGAACATTTCCTCAATCTGTTCAACATCATTTGGGAAATATTAAAAAAAACTCAAAGGGGGGCGAATAATTTCGACTTCAACTGAATACACACACACACACACACACATACATATAAATATACACACACACATATATATTTATACACATACATATACACACACTCTTACATATATATATATATATTTATGAATATATATATATATATATATATATATATATATATATGTGTGTGTGTGTGTGTGTGTGTGTGTGTGTGTGTGTGTGTGTTAAAGAGCTCTATTAGTACAGCTTAAAACTCAGATTTACGCTCCAGATGCCAGCACAAAAAACTACTTGTTAATGTGACAGTAAAATATAAAATTGTTAAGAACAAAATGGGTGCCCCCAAATAAATTTCTCCCCTTTTTTTGCTTTATATTTTAAGAGACCCTAAAATAAAACGTGTCTTCAGTTAAATGAACTACAGCGTGCTCTGTAAGATGCTTGTAGGTGACACATGATGAGGAAGCTGTTGAGGATGCTGTTCTGATAAAAGAGCAAAGCCATTAAAGAAAGCGCCAGAACGCATGCAGATCCTCATCTGAGTGTGTGGCATCCTTTTCCTACAGGTATGTCAAATGGGTCTTATAGAGCAATGCTCATTCATAATAACACTTAAGAGGTTCATAAATGTCATAGATTATGTTTGTACAGTTAAAGTGATTGTTGAGTTAAAAAAAAAAGAGTACTTTATGCAATTCAGGTAAGTAATGATCATTTAGAAATGTGTTGCAAACAGATGTCTTTATTTTTGTATAGTCTTTCGTAAATTTTTTTAGTGTAGGGGAGCGCGGGGCACGCAGGGTTAAATCTAACAATGAGTTTTAAGGTATTTGCTCAGGGTTAACCATGGCATGCTTCCAAGGTTTTTACCACGTCTTCCTGCCAATTATTGAAAAAGTTTGGCAAAATTATTGAAAAAACACAGGAGAAATCATTTTTGCAGCATAAAATTATTTTTTATTATAGTCAAATCATTTTTTATTAAAAAAAAATATATATTGTTGTGATAGCCGGCTTCTAGACTAAAAGATGAAACCATTTAGAAAGATGTAAAACAAACACAGTGACTGCTAGCCAGTTTTGGGGGAAACACGACACAGCGCAGCGGCGTTAGTTGTCTTTTGGTGCTAAAAATTGTTTTATATTAAAATGTTTTTTAATAGAATTTTATTGCTAATAATGCAAATAAATGCATTGTATAATAATGGATAAATGGATAATAATGCAAATAAATTCAGATGTGTTTATCCAATAAATAAATCAACATGCTGTGCTGTGCAGAATAAAAAAATGAGCCAATTACCGAGGAAATAAGGCTACTATTTGAAGTAGATTTAAATTAACTGTGTGAATCTGCCTTTTTAAGCATGTGTAACCCTCTGACTATTACAACTTGCCTCGCAGGTGGGGTAAATAGTGATATTTTTACTCCTGGCACTCTTGGTAGTACTGCACAGAAACCATAGGTCCGGCGATCATACAACCTGTGCTTATTTGTAGGACAGGCTTGTGTGTTGTTGGTAAAATAGGGTTTGTCTACTCCATTACTTTGTTCATTATTTGGCCAAAAACAAAAAGTGTTACTTCATGCCCCGCTCTCCCCTAAAGTGGATAATGTACTGATGTTACTTATCCAGTTAAAGTGTAAAAGGGAAAACAGTCTGTAATGGTTAAACACATTATACACATATTAATGAAACCTGATTTTCATTAATTGTTCATTTAATCAAATGTATAATGTTTTGCTTTAGTGATTCTGCTTTCTCTTTGTATAAAACCTCCACGTATGAATCCTCTAAAATGTTAGGTGAAGACCTGGTGGTGGTAAGACAAAATGTGTTGAATCATAGGCAGATGCGTATTACTGCTTAAATATCTTAAAGCTGTTACATTTATTGACTACATGTACAAAAACACAACCTGCGAAGGAATATTGTTAATAGTTATTAATTAAAAGTTTTCCTCTTGCTGTTTTAGTCATAAAAGAAAGCTTCAGAATGCAAGCAGATATAACGGTAACCTTAGTTTATCTCAACTTTTTTTGTACAGTTATACTCTCATACTTCCATGTCTGAGGCTGGTAATACTTTAACGGTAACAGGTCATTGCAGCTCATGTAAAGTCTTAAACACACACATACACGCACTTACATGCCTTAAATCAGGTCACTGATTTTCTTTTTTATTGTTAAAGCAAGATTGATAACTTTTTTGTCAAAAAAAATCAGATCCCTTTTCGCAGCGCAGCATCATACTTATTTTTTATTTTGAGAAGCAACAAGTATTAGTTTAGCATTGTAACTGCTGTCAAGTCTTCATTGTTTTGGCTTTCAGCAGTGACATTTGAATTACTCTGAACTAAACTTCAGCTGTGTATTTTTAGAGACTTTTTTACTTGACTGTATCTTTTTAAATAATTCTTTTAATTCTGGTATTTAGATGCTTATTTTTTGCAGTGAACAAAGCCTTACAGATTTGACTGTGCCTATCTCTTCATTCTTCATTTTTTCATTTTATTTAAATATAACGTTGAAATTGGAAAAAAGTTTAATCTTATCCACTATTGATATTGATCTCTTAACGTTTTTTTTTTTACATTACAAAAATGTCAGTCTTGTAACTTAAATTGTGAATTACATGATCAAATTATTTCTGAATATATGCAACTTTTTTTCTTTCCTGTTTTGTGTAGGACTGAAAATCTACTGGTCTCATATTCACTGCATACACAAACTCTGGTCGAACCAGCTCAGTTGTTAGATCCTGTAATCTGACTAATCCAACAGAGTTTGTTTGGAATTGACTTACTGAAATCAACTAATACATCATGGCTCATGAACAGGACTACCACACTCTAATGTCTGGACTGCAAGAGCTTAATTTTGAAGGGAATCCAGTCCCCTGTCATTTAATACTAATAGGTGAACATTCTTTTCCCCTTGCCATGAATTCACGTGGTCAGGTACTGATAGCTGCATCTCATTATGGTCAGGGACGTGTGGTGGTGTTGGGACATGAAAATTACTTAAGACGCTTTCCTGGCCTGATAATGAATGCCTTGACATGGCTCAGGCCAGATACCCGAGATGCCGGGGTTGTAGGGATTCAGAGTCGTTTACATGCAGTAGCTGAAAACTTGAACCACTGCAATATCAAGACAGAGCTAGGAGACTTTCGGAATGACTTATCTATATATATCACAGATGCTTACAGTGTTGAGACATGTGCAAAGGATCTGGTAGCTTTTCTCAAAGCTGGGGGTGGTTTAATCATTGCTGGACAAGCCTGGCATTGGTCTCACAAACACCCACAAGAAAACATTTTGAGGAACTTTCCAGGTAACAAGGTCTGCAGTGTTGCAGGGATTTACTTTACAGAGCAGACCGTAGAAGTCAGCACCTTTCCTGTTCCTGGAAATATCCCTTCTAGTTGGCGAGCTTGGTCGTAAGTTCAGCAGACATACTTTAAATGTTCTCATTTTAACAAACCAATATCTGACCAATTGCATGTAATTGTTTCTTTTCAGAAAACCCAATAACTTTAAAAAGGATCTAGAGTTCTTGCTGGAAGATGTGTCCGAGTTTGACACTCGGGGTAATGCTGTAGCATCTGAGGTGTTGGTGCACGGACCATTGGCATTTCCCATCGCTCTCACTCCAGATGGAAAACCATTTGTTGCTGGTGCCTATTATGGGCTAGGTCGAGTAATTCTGGTATCCCATGAATGCTACCTGAGCAAGAAAACTATGTCCACTTTCATGATCAATGCCATCAAGTGGCTTGATGAGGGTCGCCAGGGTGTTGTTGGGATCTTACCAAGGCTTAAAGCAGCCCATGAGGTACTGGCCAAATCTGGCTTAGATTGTAAGCTGACTGATTTCAGAGATGACCTTAGCGTCTACGTCTGCACTTCCTACAGTGATGCCCACTGTGCAGAGATCCAAGAATTTGTTGCAGAAGGAGGAGGACTTCTGATTGGGGGTCATGCTTGGAATTGGGCCCAGACCCACCGAGGCTCCAATGTGATGACTGATAACCCAGGAAACCGCATTCTTAACAAGATGGGATTGAGTCTATTGGAAAATACCTTGAGTGGAGGGTTATATAAAGCTCCAGAAGTAGAGCATAGTAGTGAAGAGGGGTACCACTTTTTGAGAATGCTGCAGCGATTTGCTGAACATGTCAAATTAGGGCAAAAACTGACTGATCAAGAACAGGACTACCTGAAGCAGCTGGGCAAAGATTGTGCCAGTTACCTTCGCATGCGCTGTTATGATAGTGCCGCTTACACTTCAGTGTTAGCTCTTCTTACTGATGTAGTGAAGATGCCAAGTTTTCCACAAGTGAGTAGTACCTGTGCTGTGGAAAGTCCCAAAGACCGCATGATGCTCCACATTGGTAAGGAGGTCTACAAAGTGACACCTGATCCTGATGACCTTCTTCCATACATCATCAAGGACAGACCCAATTTGCCCACTGTGTCTAATGCAAGAGTTCGGATCACTGCCAACACTGCAGGTACTAAAATTGCTCCGGTACTGAGGTGGTTATGGTGACCTGAGTTTGAATCCTGGCTCGAGGTCCTTTGCTAATCTTTCCACTCTCTCTGCTCTTTCCCCTCTCCCTCTGTCATATCAAATATGGAGAATGTGAAAAAACTCAATGTTTGTGCAATCTAAATGCAATTACTTGTTTCAGGTTGTGAAGAATGGATCAGCACTGGCTTATATCTTTCTCCTGGAATGAAGACATACATCACAATACCTCCAGAGATCATTGAAAAAAAATGGCAGGTAATATATAAAGTATATTCATTCTGTGAAATAGTTCTTCATGCACACTTATTTTGTTAGACACAACCTTAATGCTTATTCAGCTTAGAGTTATTTACATGAGCAGACACTCTTTGCAGGTACAGCTTGGTTGTCAGACAGATGACATTGGTAGATTAAAGATTCTGAAGCGAGCTCCTGTGGTCCATGAGCAATTCCCCTTGGACTCAGAAAAGGTCCAGGTCTGTAATCTGTGGGGAGGACTCATCTACTTCGTAGCACCTCCTAAAAGCAAAGTGGATGGGGTGGAAATTGTTGTGCAGACCGCAGTACAGGCTCCATACTTCAAGTCTGGTAAGAATTCTGAATTAATTTTGTGACTCAATGACTTTAACAAATGTACAGCATGGTGAAACCTTTCAATGCTAAATCCCTGTGTTCCTCAGGAGAGACCAGTGTAGCTGACTGGGTGGGCAAGATTCGTCAGAGACCTGCTCCCTGGGCAGAACTTGAGTTTGAAAACCTCGTCATGACCTTGCCCTCAGATTTAATTCGGAATCTGGAGCGCCCTGATGAGGTGGCTGAACTTTGGGATGCCATAATGAGAAGCGTAAGTGACTTGGCAGCAACTCCAGCCAAATTCCCCCGCAAGGAGCGATTTGTTGGAGATGTTCAGATCTCTGCTGGTCAGTGAATAAAACATCACTATTACAAATTCAATCATGTCATTTAGTTTAACTACATTTAACACACACTGACCTGGTAATGTAACGGTTGCTTATTTTCTCACCTTAGGCTTCATGCATTCTGGATATCCCATAATGATGCTCTCCAGTTCTGCTTCACAACTACTAAATGTGAAGGAAGCCCATAAACATGATTTCTGGGGACCACTTCACGAGTTGGGCCATAACCAGCAGCGTAAGGTTTGGGAGTTTCCTCCACACACTACTGAGTGCACCTGCAACCTGTGGTCAGTGTACGTCCATGAGAAAGTGCTGGGTGTGAATAGGGCTAAAGCTCATCCATGCATGACTCTAGAAAGCCGGCAGGCTTGTATCAAGAAGTATTTCAGTGGTGGAAAGGATTTAAAAAACTGGACTAAGGCCACAGCACTCGAGACTTACATGCAGGTACAAAGAGATTCTCAAAGTTTTAACAGTATTGTGTATTCTTTTTAATTTTATTAAGAGTTTAAAGTACTCACTTATTTTCTGTCATCTGTGTCAAATTACTGATTCAATTTATTTCCAGCTTCAGGAGAAATTCGGCTGGGATGCCTTCAAGAAAGTATTTTCTCTCTACCATGATATGAAAGATGTCCCAAATGACAACGCAGGCAAGATGAATCTATATGCCAAGACCTTCTCCAAGGTGGTCAACCACAACTTGTCTCCATTCTTCAAAACATGGGGTTGGCCCATCCAGCCCAACACAGAACAGGAGCTGTCCCATCTGCCAGCATGGAGAGACCATCCTGTTAGCCAGTATGCATAAGAACATGTTGGATAGCAATGAATAATGCACACAGTTGTATATAAAATATCACCTGCAGAATGCTTATATGGAGTTTCTTGGACATTATTGATTTAATATAATTTGTATTTGATTAGTGAGGGTGAGGCGCTGGAATGTGATTTAAAAGCACTTGATATTAATCAAATGTGGCTATATGCTAAGTGGCCTAAAATAAATGTAACCAGAACATGCACCTACATAAATAAAAACAATTACAAGACTGCAGTTGAACTGTATTGCTTGTGATTTTGTTTAAGTGTATTTTACATCTCTTCATTTTCTAAGAGAATAACTCGTATGGAATTTTTAATTTCCCAATAATAGTACAAATGTTAATTAACAGATTTATCTGAAACTATGATGTGAAGGATATTTGAGCATATGCACAGCTACTGCGGATGTCAATTAGCCAGCCTAAAGGCATTTCCAGAAAACTCATGCTATTTTATACTTGCTGCATGTCAAATCTGTCATGTTCAAAATCAGTGCTCTACACTATGATTGAGACACAATTTGAAGTGTCACAAACCAGAAGAGAACCGCACCAAAATCTCATTGTGGTGCATCTTTAAAATATAAACACAATATTTTCTATGGGGCAGCACGGTGGTGCAAAGGGTAGCGCTTTCTCCTTACAAGAAGGTCGCTGGTTTGAGCCTCGGCTGGGTCAGTTGGTGTTTCTATGTAGAGTTTCCATGTTCTCCCTGTGTTGGCGTGGGTTTCCTCCAGGTGCTCCGGTTTCCCCCACAGTCCAAACACATGCGGTACAGGTGAATTGGGTAGGCTAAATTGACCGTAGTGTATGAGTGTGTGTGGATGTTTCCTAGAGATGGGTTGCAGCTGGAAGGGCATCCTCTGCATAAAACATGTGCTGGACAAGTTGGAGGTTCATTCCGCTGTGGCCACCCCGGATTAATAAAGGGACTAAGCCGACAATAAAATGAATGAATGAATAATAATAATAATAATAATAATAATGCATTCTTAATATGGTCTGCTTCTGGTGCTTCACACCTTTTTATTGTTTATTTTTATTTTAGAAATAAGGTCCAATATTTAGAATAAAGTTCCCTGTAAAATGTTTTCTCTGTTTAAAAACAATACAGTAGTGAAAGAAGACTTCTCCTACATCAGATTATAGCCCCACCGAAGCAACAGCTGACAGAGGATTCTGTTTGGTCTTAAAGCCTTTTTGGATGGATTATTTCATTATTTATGATGGCAGCGGTCAAAAGACGACAAATGAGCTCATGCATGGGACAAATTCTGGACCTTTGTCAGTGAGGGGGTCCTCTGAACCACCCGAACCCCCCTGGCTACAGGCCTGAAAAGTTAGAACAGGTTTTAAGCTTTTAGTAAACATGTTTTAATAGACTTTTGGCTGTAAAGCGCGGCTACAGGTGTTTCAGGCGCAGGGCAAGTCATCATTTATTTTATTTATAACATTTTGTCTAAAAAATGATTAGACCTGTCCAGTTTCATCTGGAATGCATCCCAGATCACCTTCTGAAGTGAGCAAACAGCCTCAAAAACACAGACGTGACGGGATTAGCGCCTTTTGCTGTGAAGTGACATCTGACGGCTGACGACTCCGCTTGCCATTAAAGCCTTCGTCGGACAGTTATTTAAAAAAATAATAATGCCAAATAAAGGGAAAGGGAGGTCATGTACTGAACAAGACAATAAATATTGACCCCGGCTAATGCGGCCAGTTAGCCTAAAACCTCATGGATAGGGGCAGATTTTCATCTGTTAGGAAGTAACGTTAGCCTTACCCTGTTTGGCAGTCATTTTGAACATATGTTCAATATTTTGCGATGATGACACCGCTGCCTGCCTTTTATTGCCTTCTTGCTCTTCTCGACCCACAGCGTTACTCAGTATGGATGTCGCATCAAAGATTCAAATGTACCACTCAGTGGGTTATGTCATGTGACTTGCGTCACATTGAGGCTCTATGGGATTCAAATCACTGGCCAGAGTTATTTAAAATTACACTTTATTACAATATATATTGAATATAAATATATTCATTATATAATAAATATATAATAATAAATTACATAAAATAATTAAAAGGACAAATTCAGGACCTTTTGGCCGTGGGGGGTGGTTGGAACCCTCTGGCTACGGGCATCATATATATGTCTGTCAACATCAAAAAGTGTGTTTTAGGTTCTCGTGACCCTTTAAAGGTGCCCCTCAGACCAATGCAATGTGTATAGGAGTGGAACTTTAAGTTCTGGCACACCACTATGCTGAGAATCTCAGGCTTAATGCAAACTCGTAATCCAGTTCCAAGCATCCAAGCTCTACAATATTGATAGGTCGTTCTTGAATCTCCAATATGACTCAGGAATGACGAGTCCTCTCAGCGAGTAATTCGTTCATCTGCGCGCGCACACAGTTGTGCAGGTGGTTTCGTTCTTTTTTTTTAAAGTCTTTTGAGTCATTCATCATGTGAAAGACAGAAGCCAATCATAAACATTTATAGCCGGAAAAAGATTTGATCTGTTCATCTCTCGAGTCAACATGCTGCCTAGCCTGTCACATGATGAACGAATGACTCAAAAGTTAAAGGTGAACTAATTCATACGTCCTTCCGGCGCGGACTGTGTACATTGGTTAAGATTATATGTGACTGTCAGTGTCACGAGAACGAACCACTCAAAATTTCAAGACATGAAGAGGTGAGCTGAGCAAAGAGACAACCATAGACAAAAGACCAGGTAAACAATGAATGATTATTTTCTCTTGCTTATAGCATTCTAGTTTTGACTTGTATGTAGTGTGATTAACCTTTGGGCTAGTTGGATGTGTTTGGAAGCAACTCGTAACATTAATGGCATTTTGGCATAATGAACAAAATCAAAAAAAGATTTGTTCATCTCGATGAACAAGACTCAAAGGTCCGAGTCAGTAAAATGATCTGAAACTCCCATCACTACTCCACAACTTGGTGCTAGTGCAGAGGGTATGGTGTGTAGACCCACATAACACTCCTTAATGATGCGCTGTAGTTAAAATTTAACCGATGCTAATCATGAGCTGACTTCAGTTCCAGATGCCATCAATCTGGCTTAAGATGTGCCAACTGAAACCTGCTTCCTCAACGACATTGGTAGTAATGTAAAGAAGATTGAGTAGAGATTTCACTGCTTTAAAGATTGAAATATATTCAACAAAAAAGCTTCCAAAGTTATACTACAGCTTCAAAACAATCAATGGTCCCACCAGGGCCAGAGTGGGACTCCTTTTCAGCCCTGGAGATTCAAGCCTAAGACCGACCCACCTCAGTTCACGACTGACTATATTAGAATAAGGTCATTTCCAATTCAGTTTCTAATTACACTATTAACAGTAACAGTAACTAACAGTATTATATGTCTTAACAATAAAAATGAAAAAAATAAATTACTCAGACCAGGATCATTCCCGGGTCGGTGGTGCCGTAACCTAACGTGCTAACAGCTAGACCATCTAAGTTATATAATCATTAACCTGCAGGCAGCATCTTGCTCACGAGGCTGTGAGAAAATAGATCAAAAGACCCGAGCTGCGGTAAAATAATGAATAAGAACACTGTGGTCAAGTAAATAAATAAATTAATGTAAAAAGTTTGACTGCTAAGAGCAACAGATTCTTGAGCTAGGGACACCGGCCCTCGCGGCCAAAAAACGGACCAGCCCACCGGGAATTCTCCCGGTCCTCCCGATTAGCCAATCCGGGCCTGGGTCCCACATCTGCATGATTTTTCAGGCTTTTCTACAAGTGTAATCACAAAATGTTTGTGATGAAACATTTTAAATATGCTTATAAAATAAAACAGCTTTACTCCAGAGTACATTTGTCTGAAACTACATCTTGCAACTTTTGGGGAAGGCTACAATTGAGTTCCAGAGTGGGTTTGCATATGACGTTTCAGGTCTCTTTGATACATGAAACTCGTCTCACACTGAAGACATGCGAAAGGCTTCTCTCCAGTGTGAACTCGCAAGTGAACTTTAAAGTTTTGCTTCTGAGTGAAACACTTTCCACACTGCTGACAGGTGAAAGGCTTCTCTCCGGAGTGAACCCTCATGTGAACTTCAAGGATTGAGTTGTTTAGGCAAGCTTTACCGCAGTTGACGCACATAAACGGCTTCTGGCCGATGTGAATGTTTACATGGTTTTTAAGATCTATCCTGTCTTTGAAACTCATCCCACACTCATAACATATAACGCAGTCATCAGCGGAGTGAATCCTCATGTGCTGGAAGAGGTTTACTTTACTTTTCAAACTCTTTCCACATTGACCGCATATGAATGGCTTGTCGCCAGTGTGGCTTTTTAAGTGAGTCTCAAGACACTTTTTCTGTGAGAAACTCTTCTCACACAGTTCGCAACTGAAAGGCTTTTCTGCAGAGTGATCTCTTACATGGGCTCGGAGGCTTCTTTTCTGTTTAAAGCTCTGTCCACACTGTTGACAGCTGAAAGGCTTCTCTCCTGTGTGAACGCTCATGTGACCATCGAGCGTTTCTTTGCGCGAAAAACTTCGTTCACACTGAGTGCAAGCGAACGGCTTCTCTCCATTGTGACATCTCGTGTGGACTCGAAGGTTTCCTTGTAGTTTAAAGCTCTGTCCACACTGTTGGCAGACGAAAGGCTTCTCTCCGGTGTGAACTCTCATGTGACCATCAAGTGTTTCTTTGCGCGAAAAACTTCGTTCACAGTGAGAGCAAGCGAACGGCTTATCGCCATTGTGACATCTCATGTGGGAGTTCAGATTTCCCTTTTGTGTAAAGCTCTGTCCACACTGCTGGCACGTGAAAGGTTTCTCTCCAGTGTGGACTCTTATGTGGGCATTGAGTATTTCTTTACGCGTGAAACTCTGTTCACATTGAGTGCAAGCGAAGGGCTTGTCGCCATTGTGTATTCTCAAATGGGCCGTCAGGTTTCCTCTTTGCCTAAATCTCTGTCCACAATGAGCGCAGGTGTACGGCTTCTCTCCAGTGTGAATTCTCATGTGGGAGGCAAGTATTTCTTTGCGTGTAAAATTCTGTCCACATTCAGAACAAGTGAACGGCTTGTCTCCATTGTGCGCTCTCATGTGGGCATTCAGGTTTCCCTTTTGAGTAAAGCTCTGTCCACACTGAGTGCATACGAAAGGTTTCTCTGCACCGTGACTTCTCATGTGGCCTTCTAGGTTCCCTCTTTGTGTAAAACTCTGTCCACACTGCTGGCATGTGAAAGGCTTCTCTCCGGTGTGAACTCTCATGTGGGCGATGAGGACTTCATTACGTGTAAAACCCCGTCCACACTGAGTGCAAGTGTGAGGCTTCTCTCCTCTATGACCTCTCATGTGGGTATTGTAATTCCCCTTTTGTGCAAAACTACGTCCACACTCAGTGCAGGTATAGGGCTTCTCTCCGGTGTGAATTCGCATGTGGGAAGTAAGGACTTCTTTACGTGTAAAGCTCTGTCCACACTGACTGCACGTGTGAGGCTTCTCTCCGCTGTGGCGTCTCATGTGGGAATTCAGGTTTCCTTTTTGAGTGAAACTCTGTCCGCACTTTGTGCAAATGTAAGGCTTCTCTCCGGTGTGAACTCTTAAGTGGGCGTTGAGGATTTCTTTACGCGCAAAACTCTGTCCACAAAGACTGCAGTCGAAAGGCTTCTCTCCACTGTGAGCTCTCATGTGGGCTTTGAGGTTTCCTTTTTGTGTAAAGCCCTGTCCACACTCGGCGCAAGAGAAAGGCTTTACTTTGTTGTGACCTCTCATGTGGGCTATGAGGTTTCCTCTTTGCGTAAAGCTCTGTCCACACTGTTGGCAGGTGAAAGGCTTCTCTCCGGTGTGAATTCTCATGTGTCCGTTAAGGATTTCTTTACGTGTAAATCCCTGTCCGCACTGGGTGCAAGTGAACGGCTTCTCTCCATTGTGAGCCCTCATGTGGGCACTGAGGTTTCCTTTTTGGGTAAAACCCTGTCCACATTGTTGGCAGGCGAAAGGCTTCTCTCCAGTGTGAACTCTCATGTGGACTTTCATGTCTTGTTTCTGGGTGAAACTCTTCCCACACTGATGGCAGGTGAAAGACTTGTTGAAAAAGAGTTTCTTAGATCTTTTTCTTGAGGATTTCTTTTCAGCATGTTCAGATTTTCCTCCAGTCAGGAGCTCATGCTCCTCTGCGCTTATATGATCTTCCTCTTCCACCTTATCCAGTTCTTGACTCTCCTCTTTCAGCTTTGTTAGATCTAAAGAGAAAAAAACAAACACAAATGAACATTTTAAAGTGCACAAAGACATCATCTTTGTAGCCTGCGGCAGTAGCCTAGTGCAGGGGTGGCCAACCCTGTTCCTGGAGAGCCACCGTCCTGCAGATTTCAGTTGCTACCCATATCAAACACACCTGATCCAATTAATTAGGACCTGAACACCCTGTGATAATTACAGGCAGGTGTGTTTGATTTGGGTAGCAACTGAAATCTGCAGGAAGGTGGCTCTCCAGGAACAGGGTTGGCCACCCCTGCACTAGTGGTTGAGAGCATCAACACATACCAATGAGGTGCTCACAGCAAACCAAGTTCAATTACCAACTCAAGGTCCTTTGCAGATCCTTCCCCTCTTTTCTCTCGCTCTAATAAAATTCAAATTAATCTTTAATTCTATAGCACTTTTACAATGTTGATTGTCTCAAAGCAGCTTAACATAGAAGTTCTAGTAAAGTCCAGATTTCAGGTTTGAAGTTCAGTTCACTGCTGAAAGTCCAAACACTAAAGAGCAAATCCATCCATCCACAGCTCCACAAGTCTCAATCCAAGCAAGCCAGTGGCAACAGTGGCGAGGAAAAAAAACTTCACCAATCGACGAAGTGAAGGGAAAAAACCTTGAGAGGTAGCAGGTTCTGTTGGGCTCGACCATTTTTCTCCTGGCCAAACTTCCTGTGTGGAGCTGCAGTCTAGGCACCGGAGGCTGGAGAACGCTGGATGTCTATCGTGGAGAACTGCAGGTGTGAGTAGGTTACAGGCAGGTGATCGGGCTCCCACAGGATCAATACGGAGACTCGTCTGTCACACTCTCCACTTGTCCATGAGCACCACAGCATCAGCTCAGGGTACGGTCTGGTCCAGGAAACAATCTTTAAAATGTTTTAAAGCTACATCATTCTAGATGCAGCCATGTATGGTAATCCTCTAGCACAGGGATGTCCAGACTCGGTCCTGGAGGGAAGGTTTCCTGCAAAGTTTAGTTCCAACCCCAATCAGACACACCTGGGCTAGCTAATTAAGCTCTTACTAGGCTTTCTAGAAACATCCTTGCAGGTATGTTGAAGCAAGTTGGAGCTAAAATCTGCCAGACGTCAGCCCTCCAGGACTGAGTTTGGACACCCCTGCTCTAGCATGTGGTGGAACAGGAGGTAACTGGGAATTTGATGTCCTTGCTGAAACTACAGCATCTACTTCTAATTAGGACTTTATAACCTAAAGGATCAGGTTAAATTCTGACTTTCAAACCATTCAGCCACAATAGCCCTCCGGTGCTCTAGTCTTTGGACGGGACACACCCAGCATACGTTCAGCCATTGGGCTTTAACAGTCCATTGGTCAGGCTAGTGTCTTTAGTGTGCTCCACATGTCGCCGCTCGTTGGCTCGACTCCAGGGTGTTGTTTCGGCATCGGCTGAAAAGAGTGCTCTGGTTGGATTTTCAGGAAAGAATCGGAGCACGAGTGCGATGTAGTGAAGAGACATAACACGTAAACAATTCAAGTCAAGGAGCGGCCGGCTGTAACTTTAATTTCTCAAACATTTGCAAATGATAGGGATTATTGGATTATCAGACACATTTCCATAAGCAAATCCCTCCATCTCCATGGTAAGTGACATTACTGTGACGGTACAAATATTGTACAATGGTACAAATGGTGTTTTGTTTGCGCTTAGTGCATGTCGGAAGTTCAGACAAAGACTATTAAATCCACAAGACATGTCACTCGTATACTTTTGAATGGGGAAAAGTGTAACTGTTAATATGCTGAATGAAGCCCCACCTTCTAGTACAGGAACCAATCAGCGATCGCTATATGACGAATCAAGCCCACCTTCTAGTACAAGAGCCAATCAGCAATGAATATAGAATGAAAATTCTCCAGGGGAGGGGCTTGGACTAGACGTGAGTTTCTGCAGATTTTGTGATACGAAAAATTAGAAATGAAACTAAATATACAGCTGTTATTTAATCTTATTGGTTATTCGTAATATGAACGAATCGTAACCTTGGAAAGTAGTTTTAGAGAATTCGATAGTCCCCATTCAAACAGAATGCCTGAGCTTACAGCGTTTCAAAGATGGTCGCCTAGTGAAATGACTTGCCTAAAGGGACTTTGGTTCATTTCCCCATTGCGGAATGAGAAAACAGACACTGCCTGAAGAGAAAAGACACGTCCTTTTGAAAAGGCACAGAAGGCGGCTCTTGTTTTAGTCAGCTTTTGTCTCTTCGGTGTACTCACGGGCAGGATTTTGTTCCAAAACGCGATCCAAGAAGACAATGACTAGTTCCAACCCTTATGTGTGAAAATGACCTTGTTTAGACTGGGCTCTGAGGTGATTTTGAGGCTGTTGGAATGTTTGGATATGCTCTGACATTCGTGCTTAATTCTTTTAATTATAACTTTATTCAGCTCAAACTGTGCTATAATGAAATGCAACAAAGAAGGATGCACATGCTTGCATTAAAAACAGATTATGCATGGTTATTGTGTTTTAAGGGAAAATAAAATCAGAAACAAGCTTAAAAACACATACCAAATAGATCTGAATTAGACATTCGAGAAACCAGGCTAGAAAATGTGCTACTAAATGATGTGAATATCATTATGACCACCCATTTTAAAGCAACAATACAGTCCTTTACATGTTGTGAATCAGTCGTTTTAACTGTGACCAGGTTGTAAATAAAAGCTAATAATATTGTAATAATGTTCACTTTCTATACCAATCGTTTCTCTTCATAAAACCTCAGGGTGTCATCAGGAGCCATGGCTATTGGACTAGTTTGTATGTGTTTGTTTAATCTACAAAACCCGTCAGCATTCACTGCCATTATATGAATGCTCAAGCACCACGGATTCAGCTCAGAATCTGCTTTAATGTGCCTGTGGGTGAGTAAATTAACAGGAGATTTACATTTTTGGGTGAACTAACCCTTTATTGCCAGCTGCTGTTAACCAAGATCAGAATCACGCGGTTTCGGTCTGCTATACGCTCTTCTTAGTAATACCCCTTTTTAATTGATGGCAGAAATGCCATCTTTATCATCCCATATTTAGGAAATTTGTGTATGTCAGAACACATGGAGGTCTCAGATACATCAGAATGCTCAATTTTCCACCAGTTTCACTGATTTGTGTAGTTAAATGACTGAGTGAAGCTTTGAGTGTGAAAACCAACCTTTTTGTTCCTCAGGATCTTCATGTTTGACTGCGAATGTTTCATCAATCTTCACATCTTCACTCTCCTCTTTAACAAACGCCATCTTTATAATAATCTGCTGTTCTTTGTGTTTGGACACTCTGCCAGGATCATTTACACTGAGGAAAGCAAAATCCAATACAATGAACACCAGAAATGCACATTAATAAAATAGAAAGCATATGAACAGATTTGGGTTTACTGATTTATATTACCTTCCCAGAGATGGGTTGCGGCTGGAAATGCATCCGCTGTGTAAAAACTTGCTGGATAAGATGGCGGTTCATTCTGCTGTGGCGACCCCGGATTAATAAAGGGACTAAGCTGACAGGAAAATGAATGAATGTTTTATATTACATTAACCATAACTTTTATAAAAACACAAACAGCTTTCACAACATATAAAACAAGATGCCATGGTGTTTTGCTGAACAGTTTAACTATATTTGAAGTAAATCATAAAAATATACAGATATTATAATAATACAGGTTTACTGTCAGGTTTTGTTCGTTTTTGTAGATTCTATCATGACTTATTTGTCTTTTTTTTATTAAGATTATTATGTACACGTAAAGAACAATGCAAATACATTGATGAAAGTTGACAAGGGGAATACAGAAAAGAAATTACAAATAAAAAGACAAAATATGCATGTGTCTAGCCAAAGAGAGTAAAGGTCTTGAGTAACGTAAGAATCATTAAGGTTTCAAATAAGAATATAGTTTAAATGCTTTTTTAAAAATTATTATATTGTCCCTTAATAATGGTGTTTATAAAACATTCCAGGCTAGTAAATTTGCATTAGTGAATATGACAAGTGACAAATAAAATCTAAATAATGATAACAAAACCCAGTGTTTTTATCATAATCCAAGAATTTCAAAACCAGATGTTATTGTGGTTTGTTCATAAAGTGTCGTCATCACATACGAAAGATTCGGATCATGGAATCATTTGACTCAATCGTCCAGCTGTTTAACCAGCTCGATTTCTCTCCTGTTCAGTGACTGAACTTGTGAAGCTCACTGACGATACAAAGAGTGAAACGAGATCTTTTCTGTTGCTCATGTGTGGAATAACCGTCGGTAATGTTAGATAAAGAATTACAGCGTTACATACTTACTTATAATCCGATTTACCATAACGTGTTACAAAATCTAAATCGGTCGAGCTGCGTTGATATTAACGCTTTCAGAATGTAAACAAGCACAAACCTTCCTTCAGCCGAATCACAGACGCAGGAGCGCGGCGCAGTCTGGTGACGTCACGTTGACAAACCAAATTAAAAGTCTTGCTAAAATCACAAACAGCATGAGCTGATTAACTGATTTAAAAAGTACATTTCTTAAATGATATACTGCAAATATAAAAAACATGTAAAAAGAATGCAAATACACAAACATTTTTAAATCATAAAGATGACTGAAAAGGCAAAGTGAGAGTGTGAATATTATTTATTAAATCATAGTTCACACATGTAAGGCATTTTCTTCCTTTGGCTGTTCCACCAAGAAAAAAGCAATAACATATTTGTTTGCATTTCTTTTTGTTACCTTTCAAAGCCAACACAGCCCATATTGTTTTCAATTATCAGCATCTACAACACTCTTGATTAATTTCCAATTCATGGTATCAAACACATATTATGAAAATCAGAACATACGAAATAGGAGCTGTTTGTATTTTTTTTTTGTCAGTCATGTCTGCATCCTCTCAATTTAATTGTCATTGTGAAATGAAATATTTTTGTACATTGAATGAAGTAAACCGTATAATATTTCAGGTTTCATCATCTCGGGCAAATTAATACATTATTTCAATTGAATTCAAGCTCTACTGCAATTTGAGGCAAGACTGCCAATGTCAAAATTAAAAAGCATGAACATTTGAAAACAAAAGAGTGTTTTAATGATGCTCACGCCATATTAATCGACACCATTCATATTAAAAAGTAAAGTGTAGTTTTCTGTATTAGACAAAGTCCCAAACATTAATAGTCTCTGGAGATGATCCTTCCTTTAACAACAAACTGCTGACGAGTCCCATGTTGCAGGGTAGGTGATTGTAATAAAGCATATTATGAAATACTGTTTGGTCCAAATGATCACCCACACATTTAATCCTGCTTTGAAGGGCATGTCGTGATTTATACAGATGTTCTCTCTCTGTTCAGGTGGCCATCAATTCTGCATTGTGGGAGTCATTTTTGTAAGACTGAATATCAATGCATATTAGTATATGAAGGTAAATACAGATTGTATTGAATTAATATTAAGATTATGCAGACATTCAACTAACACTTAGTCTATAGTCAGACTATTTTAAAGGACTCATCAAAGATGTTGTTGATGAATATGCTTACGGCACCTCCAGAACCCACATTGTACGTCTCTTTGAGCAGTTTCAGGAGGATTTCCAGAGCCCTGTGAACCACCGGAGCATTTCCTCAGCCACTGTGGACACTTGGAAGACAGCGCTGGGAAGAGTTTGATCATCCAGTGTGACCAAGAGTGCATAAACCACGGAGTTTGCCATAATGACATGCACTCTAGTAACGTTTTAATCAATACAGCTTTGATGCAGAGTTTAATTAAGGCATATTAACCCTGGATGTGGACTACGAATCAGGGCTACGTTTCCCTTTACGTTAAAGAGAAAACCTCTACTGGAGGAATTTAGATGTTTTCTTCTGAATCGGATTCACTGGTGTGTGTTAACATCTAAACATGTTTTTCTGACAGATCCAGAAGTGCATCTGTATCTTATGCGACTGTAAGGGAGCGATTTGTTCATTTGCACATGCACACATTGTGCAGACGGGGGAGAAGATTAGTTCCATTTTCTATCAGCTTTAAGTCCTTCATTCATCACATGATAGAAGAGTCGAAAGCTGAACTAATCATGGGTCTACCGGCTCAGACTGTGTACAGTGGTTGAGCTTATATGCGACTACATGTGTCACGTGAACGAACGACTCAAACTACGAACGAAAAGGTGAACTGAGCTACTCATAGGCCATGTCCACACTTGGTCCTGGAGGGCTGGTGTCCTGCAGAGTTTAGCTCCAACTTGCCCACCTGGAAATAAGACCAATACTACCAATACTACCAAATAAGACTTTGATTAGCTTGATCAGGTGTGTTTGATTTGGGTTGGTGCTAAACTCTGCAGGGCAGCCCTGTCATACTTTGTTGGTTTAGTCGTGTTTAATCAGGGTTGGAGCTGAACTCTGCAGGAAGGTAGATCTCCAGGAACAGGGTTTGGGCACCCGTTTTAAAACCTTCATCAAATCAATGATACAATTTCTAATGGCCCGCTTCCACTGAGTGGTACAGTACGGTTCCGTTTCCACTGTCATAGGTACCTAAAAGCAAACCGCCGCATACCACTTTTTGGTCACCATTTGCAAAGAGTACCTAGCACGAAAACAAAGGGTACCAAAAGGCGGAGCTAGACGCGCAGATGAACGCTATTGATTGACAGAGATACGTCACTCGCAGAAGCAGGATGAAAACAAAGGAAGCTGCATTTTTAAATACACGCTGAGACATTACAGCGTAATACTAAATACATATAATAACAACCCATGGTCAACCTGAGCTCAAACAAACATCAACGTCTTGATGAACAGCCACAAAGCCAAGAAGAACTAAATCTGCCGTGCCTTGCTGTTGTTTAACGAAGCTGTCTAAAAGTGCGAGACAGCTTGCAGTGTGGCTATATTTGAAACAACAAGCTTCTTAAGCTCATAATAACATGCACGTGATAATTGAATCGCTCTGATATCCGATCCTTTCAGAAATGGACAAACGCGAGAGTGAAGCGCAAAAAAACAGAGGAGAAGCTGAAAAAAACAGCAGCAAATGATGCTTTAGCAACCTAAAACATGAACAAACTGCCATGTTTAACTTTTATCATCAGCTTCTGGACTATTCTGAACTGGGAATGACGAAATAACAGAGGCTACACGTGCTGCTGAAGATTAAAGATAAAGGTGAGACGTGTGCACTGACTGTGGGCTAAATTTCGTGCTGTTTTTGAACCCAAATAAGGACTAAATGTCTGCTGTGTGTAGTTTTACTGTAATTAGTAACATATTGGAGACCGTAAGGGTCTATATGTGTTCATTTTATTTATTTTCTATAATTGCAGATGTTACAGTAGGCTATTTCGCAGTTATAATCAAATTATGTTCATAGAAAGGTTTGTAATGAACATTTATACAGCATTTTTGTGTATAGAGTAGGGGTGTCTAAACTCGGTCCTGGAGGGCCGGTGTCCTGTATATTTTAGTTCCTATTTAACCAATTAAACTCACCTGAAGCAGCTCATTAAGCTCTTTTTAGCCATATGAGAAACTTAGGTAGGTGTGTTAAAGGAAGTTGGAGCTAAACTCTGCAGGACACCGACCCTCCAGGACTGAGTTTGGACATCCCTGGTATAAAGCATCTGTTTTGTGAGTAGAGTTTCTCGTATGATATGTGAACAACCCCTAACTCCTTACTGTAGACATTTCTTAAAGTAAAAAATAACGTCGTTTGAAACCTTGTCGCACACCACGCCTACCAAAAGGGTACCCTTTTGGATAAAGGTGACCTGTACTGAACTCAGTAGAAACAGGCCATAAGGCTGCTTTCACACCTGTGAATCGATTCAGTTGTTCCGAAACAGAGATTACAAATGTTACATTGTTGCTCTTTGCTCTTGGAGCGGTTCGCTTTCACACTGCAAAGTTTCTAATCGGACCAAAAGAGCAAAAACAAGTCACGTGTGAGTAAACTCTCCTCACATTGGTCAGAGTGTCAGGGTTTATTTTGCAGCGTCCCGCTCAGCTGTCAGGAGAGGTGCTGGTTTGGTGGTGATTGACAGGGTGCGCGCGCGACGTGTCTGAGGAGAGATGCGGTGGGGAGGGGTGAGAAGGGTGAGCGACAAAGCCTATTTGAGTACCGGGAGGGAGACGGGAGATTACCGGGAGATCATCACTCGTTTGCGGGCATCCGGAGACTCGCGAAACTTCCCGCCCTACTCATAATTCTCTCTTCATATAGCCGTAAGCCTATTACATATCCATAAAACACTGTGATATAACCGCGCTCGGATCGGATCGATTTCTCACTGCAATCAAACCGCTCCAGGGTTCGTTTCAATCGAGCCGAGACCACCTCACTCAGGCGATCTCAGAGCGATTACTTTGGCGCGGAACAGAGCGCGATTGCCCTGTTCACATATGCCAATCGAACCGCGCTAACTGGGCAAACGAGATGCGTTCCGAAACAAAAGTGTAGGTGAGAAAGCAGCCTAAGACAAGTTTGTCATGATGCTCATAGGCATGTCAGCCATACAACTTAGACAAAACAAACAGAAAAGTTCCAGCAGAAGTCGAGAGTTGACTGTTTGAGCAGCTCACATTTAGAGAGGTTTCTCTCTCGTGTGGATTCTCATGTGATCCTTAAGAGTTCCGTTCTGCGAAAAGCTCTTTCCACACTGCTGGCAGGTGAAGTGCTTCTCTCCGGTGTGAGTCCTCATGTGGAGATGATGGCTTCCACTGTTAGTGAAACTCTTTCCACACTGCTCACACGTGTACGGCTTCTCTCCGGTGTGAATTCCCATGTGATCCTGAAGACTACGCTTCCGTGAAAAGCACTTTTCACAATATGGGCAGGCGAACGGCTTTTCTCCAGTGTGGATCCTCATGTGAGTCTTGAGGTTTGCCTTGTTTGTGCAGCTCACTCCACACTGCAGGCATATAAACGGCTTCTGTCCGATGTGAGTTGTTATGTGCCTCTTGAGGATGTTCATGTCTGAGAAACTCATTTCACACTGATGGCATTTAAAGCTGTTCTCTCTGAAGTGCATCAGCACGTGTTCATCAAGCCGCCGCTTACTTGTGAGACATTTTCCACACTGTTGGCACGTGAAAGGCTTCTCTCCGGTGTGAACCCTCATGTGTGTCGTAAGATTAGATTTCTGTTTGAAGGATTTCCCACACAGTTTGCAGGCATAAGGCATCTCTCCGGTGTGGAGTCTCTTGTGAATATAAAGAGATGCTTTGTGACCGAAACTCTTTCCACACAGTTGGCATAAGTAAGGTTTCTCTCCGGTGTGAATGTTCATGTGGGCTTTTAAAGTGTCTATGCGAGGGAAACTTGCTCCACACTGCTGGCAGCTGTACGGCTTCTCTCCGGAGTGAATTTTCATGTGCACTTTAAGAGTTCCTTTATTAACGAAACTCTTTCCACAAAGCTGGCAGAAAACATGCGCAGTTTTAGTGTTGTGAGCACTTCTTGATGACTGAGTATTTTCAGTCTGTGAATTTTCTCCAGTCCTGCCATCGTGAGGATTCACCTCTTCCAATTCATTCAGATCTTCACTCTCCACTTTCACCACAATAAAGTCTAAGGCATGAAACAAAAATCATATTAATGTTGTACATCAACAAACAGAAAAACATTTACCTATTTAAAGCACCAAAACTAACCCAATAATAATAACGTATATTTACCCAGTGAAGAGAACCAGTTCTCATTTACAATGACGACCAGGGGTGTGTTTCCCAAACAACAACGTAACTCGCGGCTGAACTATCATAGTACGATGCATCATTTGTGAGAAGAACAATGTAGTTACCATTGTTTCCCAAAACCCGTAGATTCTCTGTCGCAGATCCATCGTTTGAACCACGTTAGTTAGACTTTAAAACTCCTATAATGATGCTCTAAACAGGGGGAAGGTTACTACTTCTTTAGAGAAGAACCCCATCATTTATTTGTGCAAATTATAGTTTAACACGCACACACATTTAAAAATAATCCAATATTAGTTTTGGTATAAACATGCACTCGCTTTCCATATTAACTGAAATATATGTAAATGGGAGAGCTGCACAATTATTCGTAAAAAGATGGCGATCTCGATTCGACCCCCTAGACCACAGGTGTCAAACTCAATTCCTGGAGGGCCGCAGCTCTGCACAGTTTAGTTCCAACCCTAATTAAACACACCTGATCAAACTAATTGAGTCCTTCAGGCTTGTTTGAAACCTACAGGTAAGTGTGTTGGAGCAGGGTTGGAACTAAACTGTGCAGGGCTGCGGCCCTCCAGAAATTGAGTTTGACATCCCTGCCCTAGACGATCTTAATCCAGCATTTCTACGATTCTGTAAATCTTTTTTTTCAAGTTCAGGAGAGAAGCAAAGGTGGCTGCAAGTCTTTTCATTGTTTCACATATGTTGCTCAGTGACATGGACACCTCAAAATGATGTTGAATGAGTCACATACTGTATTTATAAGGTATAATTCACCTGAAAATGTCATTTTTGTCTTCATATAATGCTGTATTCGAGGCCGGGAAATCACACGTGACGTGAGCTGCTGACTGTGCGGGTGCGCGCCCTACTTAATGATAGACGTGCACACGTCTCCTTTAGTGAACAGAACCTGCATATGGATTGAGTAACAGGTTATACACTTGTAAATAATATTCAGTTTGTGGCACAGATCGTTTGAGAGCCGCACGCGAAGTATGAACAGCACTTAGCAGTGAAAATGAAACCGAAAGTGTGCACTTCATTTAAATAATCATCTCGCATTTTAGAGTTATGATTACGACAAGCATTTGATAAGTTTTTTCTTTCATAGCGAACACAGAGTTGTGCATGAAAATAAATGTTTACAGTGTCAGTATAACTACTCTAGCCTATATATAGTTTATTTTACCAGTGAATTAGTGGTCTAATAATTTTGTCAATGACAGATTGCAAGCATGGGCCTATATCACAAACATAATTCAACATCAGAATCATTATAAGTAGAATAGAACTATTTACAGAAAACAGTAGACCTAAACATAATATTAATATTGTTGTTTTACCATATGTTTGAGAAAAAAACAGTAATAACTGCCTACTCATATTAACCTTTATTTTACATCAGAATCCTGAGAAAATCCTGATTCTTATTTTAAGCAAATAAATCATAATTCTCATTTTAGCCAGAATCGTGCAGCTCTAGTATACGGATCATATCGAGACTTTGTTTTTTATACTAAAATTATTGAGAAAATTCCATAGTCTATTCTAAATCACTTACAAAAGCTGACACTTTTCTAATATCCTATATAAACATAAATAATGAGGCTTTTAAAGGAAATTTGATGGTTTTAACTTTGTCTTACGCATTAAAAAACGAATCCTTGCATTAATAATTTAATTTTGTTTTTAATTAATTACAACTCATGTTGATGTGTTTATCCTCATATAACCTTACTCCATAACAGCTGTGTCTTCGTGTGACTGATAACTGAGAAGTTGACTTCTCTGTACATGTTATCAACAAAAACGCGGAGCTCTGTAATGCTTTATTCATCTAATTAATTCAATTGATTAAACTTATTTAAAGCCTCTGACTGATGTTTTAACCTGGGAGGACTAGGAAAAGTCCAACACTGTTTATTAAAAAATTCAATTTAATATATAATATAAATGTAATTTTTCCAGATATCCGACTAAAACAAAAGCCCAGAAATCCTCATTAACACAGACAACCAAGGGTGTGTTTCCGAAAACCATAGTCAGCCAACTAAGGTCGCAAGTTGTGTCGTTACAAACATAGTTTGTTGATTTGGTGTTTCCCAAATCCATCGCTCCAACGAACATACGGAAATTACGTAGCAAACTTGTACACTTGCAACTACACCTCTGGAGCTGTAGTTAGAAACAGAGTTCCTGGCTGTGTTCTATTCCCACTTATCCCCCCTATCCCCTATTCATTTAGAACATTCTAACATTCAAACTTGAAATGATTAAAAAAACCACATTAAGCTCATCTCTCTTAGCCGTAATTTGCTTTCAAAGTATTTTTACGGTTCAGTTTTAGCGATCTTCATGTTTACAGTTGCGTTCCCTTCGCAGAGCACTTTGAAAACATTGATGTCATTTTGAACATGGCGAAAGCTATAGCTGACCTATTGTTTAAAAGTGGAATTTGTTACGTCTCCAAAGCTTGTGAAAACAAAACACAGCATACGCTAATGCTTTTAATGTATAGTGGGTTATTTATTAAATATCTGTACTGTATATGACATGGGTCTGCTGCCTAGAACATTTCTGCAGTGGTTTACAAGTGTCAAATTGTAAAAGTAGACTTTTCAAAAAAAAAAAATAATAATAATATCCTACTTAATAAAAATAATCATCATCATCATTAATATTATTATTAAAGTAGGATTTTTTTTCATTTCCTAATAAATATTAAATGTCATTTCATAATAAATTGCCTCATTATTTATATGATATTAAAATAGGTGTTAGCTTTTGTAAGTAGTTTTAAGTTTTAGAATTGAATATGTAATGTTCATAATAATATTTGTAGAGGAAACACAGGCTCTGTATGTGTCATTTACATATATTTCAGTTAATATGGAAAGCGAGTGCATGTTTCTACCAAAACTATTATTGGATTTTATTTTAAATGCGTGTAAAACAATAAAATTTGCACAAATAAATGACGGGGTTCTTCTCTAAAGAAGTAGTTCCTCCAGTCCATTTAGAGCGTCATTATGGGCGTTTTACGTTATAACTAACGTGTCTCAAATGGTGGATCTGAGACAGAGAAACTAGGGGTTTAGGGAAACACTCATCACTACATCGTTCTTTTCCGATGCATCGAACTATGATAGTTCAGCCGCGAGTTACGTTGTTGATTGGGAAACACCCCTGATCGTTGGCTCCTGCAGTAACCGTCACATCTTCATTCAGGGATGTGAATTAAAATTATATCTACAGATTTCCCGCTTCTCCCCCCTTATGTCAGTGGGATGCACTGTGTATATAATACAATATTTTGCAGTCTTATAATGTGCCGCTATGAGAAATGTGTGTTTTTATAATGACATTTAAATAATATATTTGCAATAAACAACAGAATGGCTTTGAGTAATAGTGTAATGAATGTTTGTAGATGTGCATTGACAGAATCACTGTTATACATCAAATAAGAGCTCCAAACTGTTCTATTATTATACCACGGTGAAAGAGTTTCACAGGGTTCGATATATAATCAATATTTTAAACAATTTAATGGCTGTAAACTAACGACTAGAAGTTTATTTACCACAATGGAACAAAGGGTTAACTAAATGAAAGTTTTGAGGATGAAAACTGACCTGTTTGCTCCTCAGGATCTTCATGTTTGACTCTGAAAGCTTCTTCAATCTTCACGTCTTCAATCTCCTCTTTAATAAACGCCATCCTCATAATAATCTGCTTTACTGAGAGTTTGGGCACTCTGTCAAAATCAAGACGATCATTAACACAGCGAAATATAAACAAACAGCTCTAGTATACACACTGTATTGTAATAGTGTACACTAGTGAGGGGGAAAAACTTTACTAAAAATTATTGTTACAAAAAGTGTATTATATTACACACACATAAATTTATATATATATATATATATATATATATATATATATATATATATATATATATATATATATATAATTTTTATTTATTTTTTTATTATATACATCGTATAAATGAAAAATGAACAGACGGTTCTGGAGTCGTCACGTTGATTTGATTCAGTGAATCACTTTAAAAGGTGTAAAAGCTCGTCCCTCAGCTCAACGTTTATTTGTCAGTGAATTATATCTGATCAAACACTTGACGGACGGACATGCTGAGGCATGCTTTCTTTGACTACATGTTGTTTACTCATAAAACTGCGTTCATTACTGTTTCTAAATTCAACATGTCCATGTCCATCAACATGTTTCAGACCATAATCATTTATAACGCTTTAAATTTCACAGGTTACACTGATTAACTTTTAATAAGTCTAGAAACAAACCTTTCTTCGGCCGAATCAGACGGTGTAGCGCGAGTGGTGCATTCTTATAACGTCACGTCGCCAGAACAAAATAAAAGTCCTGCTCATTCGACTTAATAAAAAACGAAAAGCTTCATGTAAACACAATTGTAGAGAAATTAGCGATCAATTTGTTGAATAAACCAAAGAGTTCCAAAGCGACAAACTCCAATAAACTTTTTAAAAGCTAGTTTTTGTAAACTGCTTCCATATCATACACTTAAAAAAACGTTGATTTATTTAACCAGGTTAGTTAAACATATCTAGTGCTTTGTTGAGTTATTTTTAACCTTTAATTGGTTATTTGTTTAATAACTTTACCAGCTGGGTTAAAATTTTGAATTTCAACAGTCAACTGATTTAACTGACACAGAACACTTGTATTAATGTGTGTGCGTGATGTTTTTTGCATTACAAGTTTATTTAAGCTATAACGCAATGTTTTTATTTTTTGTATCAAATTACCTCTGTGTTGTAGTTTTTATATTCGTTTCACCATCCAAGACCATCATTTAGAAGCGTATGGATGTGGTTAAATGCACTTGTGGACACTGAGGGAAGCCTGCAGCAGCTGCTGGACAGAGCTCCAGATTCTGCTCCATCAACACAGGGTTTCTGCTTGCAGTTTATAACCATCTACACTTTGTTTTGTTTCTTCATTGTTTGTGATTCTTGATTTATTTTAAGTAAAGTGTCTGGAAATAAATTGTAATGGAAATAAAGCGTTTTCAATATTTTTGAGTACTATTTATTTACCCATGCCATTATTATAAAATTAAGCTTAGTACTAGTAATAGTAGCAATAGTAATACCAGAATGGAAAAGAAATTGCATTGCATACAAGTTAAAATAAAATAGTTGCTTTAATAACCTATAGTTGGGTTACTTTTGCCCCACCTGTTTTAACAGAGTGAAAATTCTTAATTGAGGGTATGATCTGTACTTACTATTAAAGTATTTGTAATTACAAATTCTATCAGAAAATCAACTGATCCATTATTATTTATTAGATCTAAATCTGTGTTGCTGAGGGATCTCTATTAACTAAAACAGATTAACTCTATCGGAGTGTACTGCAGCACTCATCATATAGAGATCAGCACTCTTAACAAGAAAAGTCCTTTATATGGATGGTTTCATAAAGAATCTTTAACATCCACTAGAGTACACAAAAGCTTGATTGAAAAAGTTTAATTGAATAATTTAATAAAAACAGTTAAGAGTTATACAGTAATGGCAGGCCAAACAGTTTTCTTGTTGGTCTTCATCTTCACTGGTGTGATAAGTGAGATATCTTTACTCTGGTCAGCTGCACCAGAGTTTACCATTTAAAAATTAGATCTATATTTTCTAACAGAGACACATTAGTCCACTTCATAAGTCATTAAAGAGCCAGAACAAAATATGTAAGGTGCTCCAAACGTATAGATTGTGTGTACAATTTGGTTCAGTGTTAAAGTCTAAAGTTACCAATAAGCTAACCGGACTGTACCACTTTTTGGGCACCCTTTCCAAAGGACACCACCACAACAGAACAATGGAGCTAGACTCACAGCTGAACGTTATCGGTTTACAGAGAATCATCAAGGTGAGCAACAAGCCAGGAGAATGAAAACAGAGGAAGCGCCATTATTAAATACACAGCCAAGACATTACACTGTAATATTATATACATAAAGTGATTTTAAATGTTCTTTTTTTGTTTGTTTCTGTCTTCAAAATAAGCACGCTTTCCAATTTTGGTTCTTGCGACACATTTCAGGAAAAATTAGAAGAGTAAAGCATTACACGTTGTAATGTTGCCAATCCTTTTCACAACACTTAAAAGACGTTTAGAGACTCAGACGATAAAATATAAAGCAACAAATATGAAATGTGTTCTTGTAATATGTGTATGTAGTGAGTCCAGGAAAAAGGCAAGGCAAAGGCAAAATGCGCGTGGGCTAGTGGGCATGTGCACACGCTAATCTGCTAGCCGAGGATTAAAGGGCCATGAAACCCCGGGTCTTAGCAGGGTGTTTTCACACCTCTAGTTTGAAAAAAGTCAGGAAAGTGGGTGAGTCCAGCTCTGTTTAGGTGGGAGGGAAGGGTTTGCAAATAAATGGGAGTTTCTGTTTGGGCCCACAAAGGCAAAACAAACACAGACATCAGTAATCGAATTACTTGCCACTTTCTTATTTTGTCGATTTTAACTGCAGTTTAGCACTTTCACTTTCCTTCAGGAACATTTCATGCATGCCCCCTGTGACAAACAGAATACTGGATGCCAGGAACTGCTGGAAGAGTGTAGTGTTAATGGAATGTTTGATACGGCATGCTGTATGAAAAAAAAAACCTCCGCATTTTTCGGTAACTTAGATGCACTCGGTAGGTAACGTAGCTTCGGAAATCCGTGTGTGTATAGACTATCCTGTCACAAAATTCGGCAAAAATTCGACGTGACGGTAATAGTGTGATTGCAGTGTTTACATGTTTACACTCAGAAAGCATCATTTACAGCAGGAGCCTCATGTATCAACGCTGCGTACACACAAAAACTTTGCGTACGCCAGGTCTAACACGCACTTTGGATTTACTAACAATAAAATGGATGTGAGAATGTGCGCAGCTCCACGCCAACTTCATGGCAGCCGTACGTCCATTTCTTGTGTGTGTCTGTTTCATTTCAATTGTCGACTCCTAGAGGCAGTTGTGTTAAATTGCACTCTACAAAGTGTCTTTGAGCTGTGCAATGGCAGCTGTATGAGATGAGATCATCCGCATGTCTAGCAGGAATATAAAGTTTCCATATTATACAGTTGACCAGCCAAACATTAAAGCACAATTTGCAGTGATCGCCGGTTTTCCCGATATAATCGGAGCGATCTACTGCACGCAAATTACTGCAGGCACCATCTGAAGACGAATTTGCATACGTGAATCGGAAACATTTCCCTTATACACTAAAAGTGTACTGCTGACTATACTAACTATATTTGCTATCTGAATAAACAAACTGAAGACCTCTGATCGCTCGCCCAAATCTGTAGAGACAGGACAAATCAACACCAACTGGAGCCGCGTCTTTTTGAAAAGGAGACGAGCGGCAAATCCGGATTTCACCATTTCCAGATGCGTAAAAATCTGGAAAACAAATTTTCATTACAAACGTTCCTCTCTGCGCGGCGCTGTGCATTTCGGAACTCTGGGTGTGGGTTTCTGTCGGGGTGCACGCGGCGGCGCTTCGGGTTGGCGGCTGGGGGCCGTTGTGGAGGAGGCCAGTGTTTGGAGTTCTGGAATGCATGGAACGATTCAGGACACTTCATGTTTCTGCCGCGCCACTTAGAGAGTCTGGTGTGCCGTGTCGCTTCAAGCGGCACATCCGGTGCCTCAGTCAAAGTTTATTCAGTGTGCGTGGTTATTAGTCTCGTGTACAAGCTTGGCACTTAAAACTAGCACACAGATGGCTGTAAAACTATACAGAGACACAAATACTTTCTGCTTGGTCTGTGTCCGAGTCGTACATGTACGGCTGAATGCTTATCCTAGCTTAGCTTCTCTCTGTCAGCCTGTCTGTTGTAAACACAGCGCAGGGAGCTCTTGGCTCCGCCCCCTTGTTACGTTGGGCGGGAAGCTGAAACTAATTTTCATGTGAAGTAACACGCCCCTAAAAGAGCGAGCTGTGTACACGCCCACAACAGGTCGTACTTCTGTCGCGTGCACTGTAATCCACACGTGAGTCCAGCTGCACTCTCATAGCAGGAAATGAAAACGAAACGATTGCAGCAGATTTATAAACAACTCTAAGGACGTGTCTCCAAACTCGTTCTTCCACTTGTTTAGGCAACATAACGTGCCGTCTCACTGCAATCTGAACACTGTAACAGGCAAAAACAGTCTTCGAAACTATCATCTGCATACACAATAGAGCGTGCTGATTGGTTCAAACCAAGTCTTTCTCCGGAATTAATGCTGCACACTCAGAGACGTCACAATGTACTCCCAGGTACAGACGTCTAGTCTACACGCTGGAATACACACAAGGATCTGATCGGTCTGACGCAGCTACAAAAATTAGCTTCAAAACGGAAGAACGAATTTGCTCGAAATAACGCAAAAACAACCAATTTCACATTTTTGTGTAGTATATGTGTCCTAATAGTGTTTAAAGCAGTGTGGGACACATATACGACTGTCAACAGCTCAACGCATGTGCTTTAGTGTTTCGAGGGTATGTGCATGTTTGTGTGCCAATACTGCCGTTCCCCGGGATGAAGACATCATATCAGATGAGTTTTCTCTCTAGTGTGGATTTTCATGTGGAGATAATGGTTTCCACTGTTAGTGAAACTCTTTCCACACTGATCACACGTGTACGGCTTCTCTCCGGTGTGAATCACCATGTGATCCTGAAGACAGTGTTTCCGTGAGAAGCACTTCCCGCACTCACTGCAGGCGAATGGCTTTTCCCCAGTGTGGATCATCATGTGAGTCTTGAGGTTTGCCTTGTTTGTGCAGCTCACTCCACACTGCAGGCATATAAATGGCTTCTGTCCGATGTGAGTTGTTATGTGCCTCTTGAGGATGTTCATGTCTGAGAAACTCATTTCACACTGATGGCATTTAAAGCTGTTCTCTCTGAAGTGCATCCGCACGTGTTCATCAAGCCGCCGCTTGGTTGAGAGACATTTTCCACACTGTTGGCACGTGAAAGGCTTCTCTCCGGTGTGAACCCTCATGTGTGTCGTAAGATTGCATTTCTGTTGAAAACTCTTTCCACACAGTTGGCATAAGTAAGGTTTCTCTCCGGTGTGAATGTTCATGTGGGCTTTTAAAGTGTCTATGCGAGGGAATCTTTCTCCGCACTCTTGGCAGCTGTACGGCTTCTCTCCGGTGTGAAGTCTCATGTGGATTTTAAGAGTTCCTTTATTAACAAAACTCTTTCCACAAAGCTGGCAGAAAACATGACATGCAGTCTTCTGTGCACTTTTTGGCGAGTTTTCTCCAGTTCTGCAGTCGTGAGGATTCACCTCTTCTGTTTCATTCACATCCTCACTCTCCACTTTCACCACAATCAGGTCTGAGGCACAAAAAAACCTCACATTAATATCATAAAGCAACACACATTCAAAGCATCAAAACCAGTGATTTCATTGTCCTGTTCTAGTGATCCAAGCCTGCTTTAACACTGTTAAATACACCAGTGTGAATGCAGTGATATTAAGTGAGCCTTTGTGCCCATTTAGGGTGTACTCACACTATGTACAGTTACCTTGAACCGGGCCGAAGCACACTTGTCCCCCATCCCGTCTCCCCTGATGGCCTGGACTCACATTACATCCGAGCCAAACAGATCAGCCCCTTTTGATGCTTATAAACAATCATGAAGCCCTCATGCTGCAGGAATTAGGAGGTTTGCTGAAGGTGCAGCTGTCGTGCAGTGAGGGGTTTGCGTCTTTAATAATCTACAACAGTTTGTGTTCTGACACTTTGGGCCCTGTCATACACCCGGCGCAGTGTGGCGCAAGACGCGGCGCAGTAGTCTTTTGCTAGTTTCAGCTTGGTGCAAGAGTGGTTTTGAGGCGTTGCGCTACGCTGTTTAAATAGCAAATGCATTAGCGCTCATATGTGCGCCCATAGGCGTTCTGCTCTAAAAAGGAAGGCGTTCTGAGGCGCACGGCTGGCGCGTCGCTATTTTGAGAAACTATAATAGATTTTTCGTTAGACCAAAACTAACCCGGTCTAAACTCCAGCGCAGAATTGCGCCTCGCTTACACACTGCTTAATACACACAAGAGAGCAACAGGCAAATATCTTTACATATGAAAACATTAAATATTAAGGATATATATAGGATATAATAAGAATAGATATAGGATATAAATATAAAGGATAAAAATATTACAAAACAGATTATTTTCTAGCCTACATAAATATGAAAAATCACTGCTTTTATGTCTTCTTCATCTCGGGAGGCTTTTTTAGTTCATTCATAACAGTTTGCTTTTGTATATTGTTATTATTATTAGCAGTATTATTTATTATATCCATATTTATATTTGTTTTATTAAAAACAAGCTTAGATTTGTCCACCTGTCAGGTTTTAGACCATATGGGGCACAGCATGTGTTTTAGGATATAACTCAGGTTTTTGAGCACACTTCATTATTATTGTTCATTTATTCGTTTGCTGGAAATTAGAACTGAATTTAGAAAAAGTTTTGAAATGAATATTTGCACTTAACAAACAAAATTAATTATTTATAGACTAACTCAGTGGTTCTCAAAGTGGGGGTCGGGACCCCCCCCCAAGGGGTCGCGAGACAATGAAGGGGGGTCGCCTGGTGATTTCCAAAAATCTTTTTATTTATGTTAAACCATAAGAATTACCATATTTTATCAATAAACTACTGAAGAGAAAAATTGTTGTTTATAGTTAATATATACTATATAGTTACTACAGTAGCTCATAGTTACTAGTTCTATTGGATTGCGACCCCTGGGGTAATTACATAATTTTAAAGACACACCAATGGCGTCAGATGCAGCAGATTGATTTTATAACATCAGGTTAAACTTTCTGGCACATTTACAGCTCTGATTTCCATTAAAAAAAGATTAAACTAAGAATAAACTTGGGTCTATTGGTGTGTGTGTGTGCGCTATTGCATGCAAGGTTTCTGTATATATAACCACCTCAGAGGATATTGGGGGTCGCGAGTCACTAGCATTGTTATTTTGGGGGTCGCAAGCTAAAAAGTTTGGGAACCCCTGGACTAACTGATGTCTGTGTGTAAAGGTTTCCCTTTCCAAGAGCGAATGTGAAAGTAGATCCATTATCTCTCATTCTCACGCAGTAGATGCTCTGTTTAACAGTTTTCTGTTAAAAACACTGTGAACTGTTTGCTAGTGAAATGCTCAGTTTAACCACTTTGACTTACTTTACGTCCTGTAAATAGCGAATGCGCTTATGGCGTGACACAGCTGGCTCTTAAAGGGAATGGGAGATGAGACTCTGATTGGTTTATTCTCAAAACACACCTATAACTCATTAAGAAAATGAACTCAACTCTTTTAGCCCATCCGACATGGCGCAAAGCCGATTTTCCCGTCCTTAAATTAGCAAAAATGCGTTCTGACACGCCCTGAAAGAGTTTGCGTCAAAATAGAGCCCTTTGTGTTCATTAAACAGTAAGAATGATTAATAAATGCATATCAAAAAGTCCATTAAACGTCACGTCTTGTCTTCAGTTTCGGGCTAAGGTGCGCTTTGCACTAGAGGTCTGCATTCCTACGGCTGCTCTGCGGGAACAGTCCAGTTTTATTGCGGCACTTTAAAGGGCACATATGGTGAAAAATCTTACTTTTCGAGCAGTTTGGACAGACATGTGTGTAGGTATAGTGAATAGACCGTCATAAAATCGACAAAGGTTTCATTTTTAACTTATTTTGACTTTTATTTTGAAATGTCAAACGGTAGGGTTGTCGTGCACACATGTGAAATTTAGTTTAATTATAGCAACAAATATGTCGAAGCGCAAGGACGACCCTGAATATGTAAAGTATGGATTTACATATATTGACGACAAAAAAAAGACTTAAAGCCTCAGTGTGTCATAAGTAGTGAGGTGCTCTCACAAGAGAGCATGAAATCTTCTATATTAAAACGACATTTAGAAACCAGACAACATGTTTGATTAACAGTTCAGTTTAGTTCATGGTAACTGAACCTTTCCTTACCCTAACCACAGTTTACAGTATTGTGGTTTTTACTTTGTAATATTTCTATAGTTTGATACACTTTGTTAAACGACAGCAATAAAATATTGTTTATTTGTAAGTCTTGGTGATTTTCTTATGATTTATCTGTCACTACTTGTGTATGCTAACAATTAAATACAAATTAATTATAATTCCTAAAATTGTATTATAATTCCTAAACATTTGGGTCGCGGCCTGATGACCATGTCAAAATGTGGGTCCCATGGCCAAACCAGTTGAGAACCCCTGTATTATAGCATGCTGTGTGCACTTAATTGTGCTCACAAACCATTCAAGTTGCCTCCATTTCCCAGATGAGTGAAATGATATACTCATACACCATCTCCATACATGTATTTGCTTTATTTAAGATCATTTATAATGTTCTTTAGTGCTGTAAAGCACTCCAGAATCTGCCAGATTGATCAGCTGTGGGCTCTAGATCAGTCGTTTGAAGTGTTGTCATACAGTGTTCTGCTGGAGTTCATCAATAGTCCTGCATTTACAAACACACACTACATCTGAAGTGTTTGGAAGTCATTCACGTTTTCCTCCTGTTGAAAATGCACGTGTGGTACTTGACAAAGGTAGCGCCAACATTTTTAAAAATGTGTCACAAGAACCAAAATTGTAATACGTGTTTAATATCGATGCACTTTAGATTAACATGAATAAATCAGAAATGAACTAATGTAATGAGTAATGAAGAAGTGAGCACTTTAATCATGTTCATGTTTTAATAACAGGGTTTTTATTAATAAAATTTACTTATAATTAATTTATGGACTAACTAAGTTTTAGTTTTGCTCGTGTTAAGAGCGACACATCAAACAAAAACCAACCTGTTTGCTCCTCAGCATCTTCACATTTGACACTGAAAGCTTCTTCAGTCTCTTCATGTTTGACTGTGAATGTTTCTTCAACCGTCACGTCTTCACTCTCCTCTTTAATAAACGCCATCTTCATAATAATCTGCTGTTCTGTGGGTTTGGACCAGATGAAGAGCATCATTAACACTGAGAAAAACAAATAATCAGCTTTTTAATTCATTGGTCAGCACAATAGCTAGATAATCAGAGCAATGTCAGAATTGATCAAAATAAAACATTTATTTGAACTAATAATTATTTATTTTAATTTTAAATTTAAGCAATGCAAAATAATATGCTACTTAGCATCGAATAACTATATAATATATTGTACTGTTGCTTTATTATAGCTGTTCTTCACTCGTGTTTGTTGTTCATAGATTGTTTGAACAGGTTGTGCGCACACAATGAGTCCCTGAAGCACTTTAAAAGCTCGTTCCTCTGTTCATTAATCAGTGGCTGAGCTCGCGGTGAGGAAAACTGACCGACAGATGAACGCAGACAGCAGCTGATACACTGTGTTGGTGTGTTTTAATAAACCAAGTTTATTGATGCTTCTAGATTAAACAACACCGAGTTGCATTCGGTAATCATTCATAGCGCTTTACATTTCACATCTCACACTGATTAACATTCTTAGAGAATATAAACAAACCTTTTTTCCAGCCAAATCAAGACGCAGCGGTGCGGGTGGCGCACACTTATGACGTCACACAGCCATGACAAAATAAACGCGATTCAAGATACAATCATAGAAATACGCATATCGTGAAAACAGTAGTCAGTAACTTAGGCAGTATTGCAAAGTAATAAATAAATAGCCTAAATGAAAGGAACAAGAGGGACTAAAATCAGTCACCAGGTCTAATGCCCCCGGGATTAAAATGCCCCCTCAGTTATAACAACCCATGGCGCCGGGCCTGAAGTGAACACTGATCCTGAAGGCTGCAGGTTAAGAGAAAATGTATTAAATTTAACACAAATAACAGCGACTTCAACAGCTTCTAGAAAATGCTTCTTGGTTTAAACGTCTAAAAAAGAAAATCATTTTTTTTTTTTTGCAGTATAGGTGGATTCTCGTCCAGCCTAGTTATTGCTTGTTTTACTAGCAATCATAAAGCATAAATAATGAAGCATTTTTGTACGTTTATTTTATTAGGTTAATGTTTTATTATTTATTTATTAATACATTTATTTATTATTTATTGTTTATTATTTATAGTATGTGTAATTCTAACGCGCTAACAAGACTCTTAATTTGACATGCCGCTTGACGTGATATAACAGCGCCGCACTGCTGCGTCTGCGGTGTCTCGGCTGAAGGAAGGTAACATTTTACAAGAACCATAAAACGATTGCTATTGAGTCCAAAATTAACGTGTGCTATGCAGTATTCATGAGCGTTATGTGTAACAGAAATGCTGCGTCTCATTTCACTCGTTATATCGTCAATCTGTTTAACAGAGACGCCAATTCAGTCACTGACAGAGACGAGAGAAGCGAAGCTTTAACAGGAACTCCGAGTCAACTGAACCGAGTGATTCTCCAAGTGATTCAGTGCGTTTTGAGTCGACTCGCGCTGGTTATTGACCATTTTTACACGATCCAGAATAGTTTGGCTCTTCAAAACTCATCCTGATGTCATAGCGACGGGTCTGTAATCTTAAACATGTTGGCTTCAAATAAAGAAGATGCGATGTGAAAGTATGCCCTTAAAATGATCTTACAAAAGTATTTTATTAAATTGAGAAAAATAACAATAATGTAAAAATTAATATTGTAAAACAATCATTAGAAAAAAAAAAATTAAAGCTGTTATGTAACTTACAGCTCCGGTTTCCCCCATGCGCTATAGGGGAATTGGGTAAGCTAAATTGGCCGTAGTGTACGAGTGTGTGTGTGTGTGTGTGTGTGTGTGTGTGTGTGTGTGTGTGTGTGTGTGTTTGTGTAAATAAGTGTGTGTGGGTGTTTTTCCAGCGGGTGGAAGGGCATCCGCTACGTGAAACATATGCTGGATAAATTGGTGGTTCATTCCCCTGATTAATAAAAGGACTAATAAAATGAATGAATGAGTAATTCTAAATATTCCAACCTTTACCTTATGGACAAAGGCGGAGGGTGAACAATCTCCAGGGTAAGGCTAGTATATTCGCTACCCTTTAATGCATTTAAAAAGATTTGCGACTGACAAAGAAAAGGTTTTACAGAAGCACCACCTATCAACAAACAACTATAATATATTCAACACACATATTAAATCATTTTATTAAACTGACCTATATAATGATAATAATAAATATAATAAATTGTATATTATATTTTATTATAGATTAAAGGTAGCCTTCTGTCTTACTAACAAAAATGTGTTTTGGCATGGCAGTCAATATAAATAATAGCCACTGCTTACAGCAAAATCCTCCTTTTAGACCTGGCATTATAAGCGTTGATTTTGTCTTCGTTGTTAAGTCCGTTTATATATATATATATATATATATATATATATATATATATATATATATATATATATATATATATATATTGTTGTAGTCAGAATTATTAATTATTAGCCCCCTTTTAATTTTTTATTTCTTGTCTGATAATATTTGTTCTTCTGGAGAAAGTCTTATTTGTTTTATTTTGGCTAGAATAAAAGCAGTTTTTAATTTTTTAAACACCATTTTAAGGTCAATATTATTAGCCCCTTTAAGCTATATTTTTCTTAATAGCCTACAGAACAAACCATCATTATACAGTAACCTGCCTAATTACCCTAACCTGCCTAGTTACCCTAATTACCCTAGTGAAGCCTTTAAATGTCACTTTAAGCTGTATACTAGTGTATTGAAGAATATCTAGTCTAATATTATTTACTGTCATCATGACAAAGAGAAAATAAATCAGTAGATTAGAAATCTGCTCTCCGTTACACAGAAATTGGGGAAAAAATTACAGGGGGGCTAATAATTCTGACTTCAACTGTATATATATCAAAGTCAAGTCAAAGTCAGCTTTATTGTCAATTCAACCACATGTACAGGGCGTTTCAAGAATTGAAATTTCGTTACTCTCAGACCCTAGGTGACGAACATATATTATTAATACAAAAAGTAGAATTTTAGTAGGAAATTACAATAAATAAAATTTATCTATATAATGAATGTATATATATGAATAAATAATAATAATTGATAAATTAAATGTCATCTAAAAATATACATTTAAAATAAGAAATTGTAAACAATACGATTACACTTAAGAAGATAGGGCAATGAGTGCAAACCAGAGTTGTGCATATGTAGTCATGCACACGTCTGTATTTAAACATTGACAGCTAAATATTATGTGAGTGGCTTAATTGATGCAGCTCAGGAGACAATTCTCAAATCTCAAAATGCATTTGGAGATTCCAAGTGGATCTGCAAACTGGTGGTGGTGTGGAGAGACCCTGTCATGATTGTGAAGCGCTTTGTGTGTACGGCCAAACACAATAAATGCGCTATATAAACACACTTATTACATTTGATTCATTTAAATAACCAGTTTTGCTTTACACCGCAGGATTGAGAAACTTTAATGCTGTCGTAGCAAATCCACACTACATGCAAAATTAACTACTACAGATGATTATCGTGTATCGTTTAACAAACCGCTTTATACACTGGAATGTTATGTCATATTGTTCACATAGCTGATAATTGGATAATAACTAGACAATGTCATTAATGTTACACTGTTGTCTTTGGTATCTAGCTAGCTAGCTGCATTGCTGATCAACTTGCGTATAGAGGTAGAAAAGCGATGTATGAAGAACAGAGCTAGCAAACTACCTGCAGATGCTTTCATTCAGAGTTTGTTGATTGAGACACAGCCAGAGGTTTAGTTTGGTTTGTTTTCCTCAGTGTTAACGAAGGTCTTCATCTTGATCTCGACAGAGTGGCCAAACCCACAGGAAAGCAGATTATTATACCGATGGCGTTTATTAAAGAGGAGAGTGAAGACGTGAAGATTGAAGAAGTCAAACATGAAGATCCTGAGGAGCAAACAGGTTGGTTTTCATTCTCAAAGCTCCACAGATAAACCGTAATATTTCCTTTACTTAAGCATAAGAGTCATCACACATGAAATCAGCTGATGTAAGTCTAAACAGAACCATCATTCAGTGTGACGTTACAAACAAAATACACTCAAGTACAGAAAAGAATAAACACTTAATTATGTATTGACAGTATTATAATAAAACCACTCAAACAACAGACTCAAAGTTCTCAAGTTAAAGCTGCTGTATGTCAGTTTTTGTCTCTTCGAAAGCATAAAAAATACCATAAAATGTTTGCAGATATTTAAGAAACATGCCAAATGAACATTCCTCTTCATTCAATTCAAGTATCTTTAGATAGTGTCAAAGCAGCTTAAAGGGCCATGAACCCCCCCGTTTCAGCACGGTGTTTTCACACCTCTAGTTTGGAAAAAGTCAGGAAAGTGGGCGTGTCTGGCTCTGTTTGGGTGGGAGTGTCGGGGGAGGGTAAATGGGCAGGGTTTGAATAAAAATGGGAGTTGCCATTTGGGCACACGCTGCTGACCGAGGAAAAACAAACACACACAGGAGAGAAAGACAGTGTGTTTAATGACGGTGAAGTGTTTGATATCGCATGTCGTATAGGAGAAAAAAGCCTCTGCATTTCTCTGTAACTCAGATGCACTCAGGTCAGAAAGCCGTGTGTGTGTGGACTTTAACACGATGGTCGGCAATAGTTTGCTTACAGTGTTCACGTGTTTACACACAGAGAGCAGCATTTACAGCGGATCTTTCAATATTGCAGTGATATTAACGTACTGTTAACTGAGTAACTTAGAAATCATTTTGACTAAGTCTGTTTTTAAACACTGAATGAGTACTGCTGACCATACCAACTATAACTTTGCCATCTGAATGAACAAAGAAACACACACTTACCGAATCTGTAGACAGGACAATCAACACATACTGGAGCTGTGTCTTTATTAAGAGGAGACGAGCAGCAAATCCAGATCTCACCACTGATGAGAAATGCAAAAATGTCCCAAACAAACGCATTTCTGCCGCGCGTCGCGAGCACTGATTCATACGTGAGTCCAGCAGCGCTCTCATAGAGAGAAAATAAAACCTTCACATTATGAAAGCAACACTGGCGACCCGTATCTCCAAACAATTATTCTCCCACAACTTTTGGCAACACGACGTGTGTCGTCTCTCTGCCGTCTGAACACTGTTTCAGGTACAGTCTAAGAAAGCTAGCATGCATATTAATGAAGTTGCAGCGCATACATAATGAAGCGCGCCGAGTGGTTTGAACCAAGCCTTACTCATGAATGAATGCAACACACACAGAGACGTAATACGGGACACTCTGGTACAGTCCACACGCTGGAAAACACGCTAAGATCTCATGGCCGTGACGCAGCTACAAAAATCCGTATCAAACCAAAAGAACGAATTTGCTCAAAATAACGCAAAAACAACCAACTTTCACTTTTTAGTGAGATATATGTGTCCTGATAGTGTTTATAGCAGTGTGGCACACATATACGACTGTCAGCAGCTCAACATAGAAGTTCTAGTAAATTAAAACTGGGTCAGTCCAATTAAAGTGACTGGGATAAGAGGGCGCTCTCAGCATAAACTACAAACACCCACGAAGAAGAAACCCAGGAAATCCACATAGCGTTGCTATATCATATTTATGATTTAATAAAGAGAGTAAGCCACAGGAAAGCTGCAAAACTCTTAATATTTACTTATTGCATGTGATCTGATCTACACTTTCTCTGATCATTTTATGTCCTGGAGGGCCGGTGTCCTGCAGAGTTTAGCTCCAACTTCCTTCAGCACACCTGCCTGGAAGCTTCTAGGGCTGCGTCCGAAACCGCATACTTCCATACTATATAGTACGCCAAAATCAGTATGCAAGCCGAGTAGTATAGAATTCGAAAATCAGTATGCGAGAAGTACCCGGATGACTTACTACTTCCGGCGAGATTCCAGAGTGCTCATCCCATGCATGCTGCGCTATCCCATGATGCCCCGCGAGCGAATTCATGAATGGAAGTAACGCGACGCAACTGACGCACGTAGGTCACGTGACCATGACAAAATGGCGGATGTAGTACGTCCAAATTCCATTCATACTTTTTACATTCATACTGTATAGAACGTACTTTTCTAACGGCAGAGTAGTGCGTTTAAATTCAAATGCAGCACCTACTGAGTAGTAGGCGGTTTCGGACGCAGCCTAGTATACCTATAAAAGCTTGATTAGCTGGTTCAGGTGTGTTTAATTGGGATTGGAACTAAAATATGCAGGACACCAGCCCTCCAGGACCAAGTTTGGGCACCACTATTTTAGACCTTTCCAACGAAACAGTTTGTCATGATTAGACTAGGATTTAACTGCATAACACTGATGTAAACTTAAGCGTCCCGGCTTTTAAGAAATGTTAAGTTGTGTTTAGCAGAAATATGGAAATTCATCAATGTGTGGCACATGTTGAGGGTGAGTAAATGATGAGGACATTCATATTTGCCTGAGCAATACCTTTCATTTGTGTTCCTAAATCAGCGGTGGCCAACCCTGTTCCTGGAGAGCCACCTTCCTGCAGATTTCAGTTGCTCCCCATATCAAACACACCTGAACCAATTAATTAGGACCTGAACACCATGTGATGATTACAGGCAGGTGTGTTTGATTTGGTTTGAAACTGAAATCTGCAGGAAGGTGGCTCACCAGGAACAGGGTTGGCCACCCCTTTGCTAAAGCATGCGCTTCTTTGTGTCTTAGACCTGATGATCCTGAAGGAAGAAACTCAACATCTGAATGAAATCGAAGAGAGAGATCTGCAAGATGATTTGATGAATATGGGAAAGTCTTTCAGTGGTTCAAAGTTTAAAAAGCCTCAGAAGAAAGGTAATTTTACCTGTAAGGTGTGCGGAAGGAGTTTCAGTAAGAAGGGAATTCTTAAAGTGCACATGATCGTTCACACCAGAGAGAAGCCGTTCACCTGCCAGCAGTGTGGACAGAGCTTCCCACGCAAGGAAAGTTTAAAGATTCACATGAACATTCACACCGGAGAGAAGCCGTTCACATGCGTTCATTGCGGAAAGAGCTTCGCACACAAAGGAACCCTTTATACACACACGAAAATCCACAGCGGAGAGAAGACGTACTCCTGCAAACTGTGTGGGAAGACGTTGAATCGGAAAGGCAATCTACAGACTCACATGAGAGTTCACACCGGAGAGAAGCCGTTCACCTGCGCTCAGTGCCCAAAGAGTTTCACACGCAAAGAAAGCCTCAATAAGCACATGTTGTCTCATTTCCGAGAGAGCCATTTCAAGTGCCGTCAGTGTGGAGAGACCTTCACGGACAGACCTCAGCTCGAGAGTCACGTGGGAGCTCACATCGGACGGGAGCTCTTAATGTGCCGTCTCTGTGGAATTGGCTGCACAAACAAAGCAAACCTCAAGATTCACATGAGAGTTCACACGGGGGAGAAACCGTACAGCTGCCAACACTGCGGGAAGAGCTTCTCTCGACCAACAACTCTTAAAAACCACAGCAGGATCCACACCGGGGAGAAGCCGTACACCTGCACTCAGTGTGGACGGAGCTTCACGCACAGAGGAAACTTTAATACCCACAGACGGATTCACACTGGAGAGAGGCCTTTCAGGAGCCTTCCATGCAGCGTCACTGTGGAGTAAGATACGCAAGATACTCCCTCTGAACTAACACGAGAATTTCAGTCTTTCATTATTAAAAGGAGGAACCTACGGATCTGGCTGCAAGCTCTCTGCAACTCTCACATGGTCGCCGGCTGAGCGAAGCAGGGCTGCGCCTGGTCAGTACCTGGATGGGAGACCACATGGGAACACTAGGTTGCTGCCGGAAGTGGTGTTAGTGAGGCCAGCAGGGGGCGCTCAACCTGTGGTCTGTGTGGGTCCTAACCCCCCAGTATAGTGAAGGGGACTCTATACTGCTCAGTGAGCGCCGTCTTTCAGATGAGACGTTAAACCGAGCTCCTGACTCTGTGGTCGTTAAAAATCCCAGGATGTCCTACGAAAAAGAGTAGGCCCAAATAGGGTAGCTTCTTGTTTTCAGAAATAATGTCAAGATTAAATGAGGTTTTGCTTAAATCTGCCAGTGGGGTACGCTAAATAATGTCATTCACTCATTTTCCTTCAGCTTAGTTCCTTTATTCATCAGCAGTCACCACAATGGAATGAACCGCCAACTTATCCAGCATGTTTTACACAGTGTATGCCCTTCCAGCTGCAACCCAGCACTGGGAAACGCCCATACACACTCATGTAAATATATGTTATACAAACTATACCTATTACAACTCCAGTGACCCAATTGTCAGGGGGGACCCGATTTCTTACCACACCGGCCCTCCAGGACCAAGATTGGACACCACTGCCTTACAGCAAGAAGGTCGGTGATTCAAGACTCGGCTGGGTCAGTGTGTGTTTCTGTGTGGAGTTTGCATGTTCTCCCCGCGTTCGTGTGAGTTTCCTCCGGGTGCTCCGGTTTCCCCTACAGTCCAAACACATGCACTATGTAAAGAATGTACGTGTGTGTGAATGAAAGTGTATGAGTGTTTCCCAGTGTTGGGTTGCAGCTGGAAGGGCATCCGCTGCGTAAAACAAATGCTGGAATAGTTGGTGGTTCATTCCTCTGTGGCGACCCCTGATGAATAAAGGGATTAAGCTGAAAAGTTTGGCAGTGTGCTGCAGCCATCAAATCTTATTACTTGTTAATTAGAGGAATTAATGAATTCAGAAATCACACAAGCATCTTGGAAAACATCACATTTATTTTGCATATGGGGCCATCGTATTCACAACACTTCCCGACCCTGTATAGTAATGCTTGTTTTACCTTTTTTTTGTGTAGAAATTCTTTCAAAAGATGTTGGGATGCAAGAAAATGAAAAGTCAGGGCTCCAACCAAGAATTGTGGATGCGCTTGTGCTAAAATGAAACTACAAATCGTTAGTGATTATATATTCATTCATTCATTCATTCACTGTTCATCTTAGTCCTCTTTAATCAGGGGTCTCCACAGCAGAATGACCCGCCAATTTATCCAGCATATGTTTTATACAGCGGATGCCCTTCCAGCTGCAATCCAACACTGGGAAACACCCATACACACTTGCATTCACACACACTCATACACTACGGCCAATTTAGTTCATCAATCCCCCTTTGGATTTACCCACTGTGCCACCATGTCACCCAAGTAGAATAATCATACGTTTTAATTAAACGTTAACAGAACACACACACACACACACACACACACATGCAGTCAGTTGCCTGTAAATATATAGATATGCAATATCATCACTGTTTAGTAGGAGACACACACACACACCACACCCATCAGAGATGTTATTCATACTGGATATGAAACTATCTTACTCAATCACCTGTCATTGTCACCTATCGGTTGGTGGATGTGTTCCTTATCAAGACACACACACTGGAGAAACACGCTGAACAGTATAAGGCTGAACAGAAATAAAAGTGATCGCTCATTACAGTTTTTTCCAACCGCTTACAGAACGAAACTACCCAGCAGATCTCCACAACCAATTGAATTAAACACTTTAATTGAATTAAACACTTTAAAAAAAAACACTACACACAGTACTGGGAAACACCCACACACACTGGGAAATATTACAGTATAATATGCTGCATACATTTTCTGTTTACTATGGAAGATACTTTATGTGTGTGACTGTTTAAATGAGGAGATTTAGTTTTGACAGGAGTTTTGGGAGATGTGAGCTCATGTAAGTGAGCTGTAGTGTTGTGCTGTAAGACGATTTGAGAAGTGTTGAGAATGTAATTCCCGTTTCAAGAAATGAGCCAAACCAATGGAGAAAACTGGTGATATTATGCTCAGCTGGTTTAACACGATTTTCGTCTTTTTGATGTACAAGCACAACAGAGACATGCTCTATTCGGTTTATTAGATGGCATCAACATTCAGCCAGTGAAAGTCAGGGAATTCTTTATGTGGCTTAAAGAGGAATCCTGAAAGGCAGGGTTCAACAATAAGGATTGCCCGATGGCCCAGGGCCAGCGTGAGAGATGCTCGGGACAGTAGATAGAATTGTTACTGGCCCAATCGGGGTAGTGCTGCCTTGTCGCTAAATTTTAATAGACGACAACATGACCGCAACGTCAAATTATGAGGCTAAAAGAAAACGTCTGTTTCTAACGTTGTGGAAACATTTAAATGGGTACAACATAATAAAAAAAATATGTTTTGCATAGTTTGCCATCACTTTCAAGTCAGCCACCTTTAGTTTTGCAGTAAAATACCTGCACATTTTCCCTTACTGCTGTATTTTACTGCTAAATATTTTAACATTTTTCAAATATTTAAATTCTACATTCACAGACATTATTTTCATTTATTCATTTTCTTTTCCGCTTCGTCCCTTTATTAATCTGGAGTCGCCACGGCGGAATGAACCGCCAAACATTATTTTGTGGCACAATATTTAATATATTTGGCTAATGAATAGCAATGAACTTTTTTATTTCGTTGGTTGGGCCAGTGAAAATTTAGGCAGGGCAAGTGAAACTCTGAACCACTGGTCCAATCGGGCCTGTAGAAAAAATCCTTAGTGTTGAACCCTGCTGAAAGGCCTTAATTCACTTCCACAAAAAAAAAAAAAAAATCAAGGAATTTTTCTTGTTAAGAAAAAATATATTGTCTTGTTTTTAGTAATGAGTCGAAATGAAGTGAGTTGTTCCTTAAAAAAAAAAAGCTAAATAATCTGCCAATGGAAGAGGCAAAATAAACTTCAAATGAAAAACAGGATGTTTAAGGAAAAATATCCTATTTGGACATTAATGTGGAACATTATTATTTAATATTACATTTCAAGAGTTCACACTTAGCTGATGATTTATAAAAGCTTGTTTGGCATGCTGTCTGGGGAGAGAGCCCCGAGCTCAAGGGATCCTCGAGCCCGGGGCTTCCTCCCGTTGGCAGAGCGAGAGGGGAGCCTGAGCTTGGTGGATCTCAGAACTCCCCTGCTGCGGTAGCTAAGGGAACAGAGGGGTTAGACAAATGCTTGATTATTATGTATGTTGAATGTCTTTGGATGGTGGGAGGAAACCGGAGAACCCGGGGAAAACCCATGTGGACACGGGGAGAACATACAAACTCCTCACAGAAACACCCACCGGTCCTGTGGAACCAGGGCCGGCAGTGTTCTTGCTGTGGGGCTCACAGTGTTAACCACTGGGCCGCCGTGCCGCCCAATCAGAGGTAAAGGAGGAGAATAGGGGAGGAGGGGGGTTTTTCTAAACGAAGATAAAATGAGCTGGAAACTGTGGTTATTTACAATAGCTTACGGCTCATGTGATTGGAAGATGTGATAAATCATAAGCACGTGATCCTCTCGAAATTAGTTTATGAATAAACCTCACTTAATTTATTTACAAACTATCACAATATAACTACACAGTAGTTTTAAAGGTCATACACACAACATGCATAACAGCAACTAAACAAGACACAAAGCAGAATTTCCTGAAATTAATTTGGATATTTCAATTTGTGAACGTCTCTACATTACAAGTAGACATTTAAAGGGATAGTTCACTTAAAAAAGCACTATTTAATCACCCCCAGGTAGTCTCAAACCTAAAGAAGATACGTTTCAGAAAGCTGAAAACCTGAAACCATTGACTTCAATAGTAAAACAAACCCTCTGGCAGTCTGGGCTTTTCATTTCTTCTCAGAGTATCTCCTGTTGTGTTTGACAGAAGAAAGAAACTGAAAAAGGTTTAAAACAAGATAATGCGATGACTGAATGCTTATGTTTGGGTGAACTGTCCGTCTAAGTTTAAGCACTGTGATCATTTCCCATCTAAAAGTAGTAAAACCTGTCCAAAACAAGATTAATCTGGTAGTTGTTTCTCGGGTCTTCTGTCATGATAAATTCCCCCATGTGAGCATGAAAGCGTTCACACATTTACACTTGATTGCTGGATGATCTCTGTTCACTCCTCAGGTTTTGATGGGCTCCGGGAGTGGCTCCATAACCGGCAGAGCATCTTTTGATTACTTTAAAGAGATTGTTTCTCCCAGAAATGAACAGTTGCTCTCCCTCGAGTGCTTTCAAACCTTTCTCTTGAACACAAAAGAAGAGATTTTGGCGAATAGCAGGAAAAACAAATCCCATGGAAGTCAATGGTTACAGGTCTCTTGTGTTCAACAGAAGAAAGAAATGCTTTGAAACAAGTAATGATGACAGAATTTTCATTTTTGGGTGAACTGTCCCTTTAAACATCAAATACAGTAAACATGTTTGACTACAGTACTGTATTACTGAACTGCACAGTCCTGTCCTGAAGTAAATTACAGTTTCCAAACAAATATCACACATCTTTAATGACTCGAATAAACAACAAACACTAATAAATCTTTTATTTACATTTCAGCATTTTGTTATACTCCTTCATTATTACATTTTCCAGCTAGGAAGGTGCTATACCTGTATTTTCCACCAATTTGTAAAAAATAATACATATTTTTCCTCATTTTACTCATCCCATTAATCCAGAGTTGTAATAATACGCTCTAAAGTGAATTAGTGTTGCTGTAAAACACATTATTTGCACTGCAGAGATGCTTTTCTTGAGTTTTTGTCTTGTTTCTAGGCCAAATATCTAAACATTCCTAAACCAATACCCTAATTCTAGACAAGCAAATAAATATTGTCCTATTTTTAAAAATTAGATGCCAAAATGTAAGTTTTTTTAAGCAAAATGATCTACCAATGGGGTCAGCTTTAAAATATTATTATTTCATAATTTTAATATTTAATATTCGGCAGCATGGTGGCCCAGTGGGTCTCTGGTTCGAGCCCAAGCTGGGTTAGTTGGCATTTCTGTGTGGAGTTTGCATGTTCTCCCCGTGTCCACATGGGTTTTCTCCTGATATAGGTGGTATTGGGTAAGCTGTAGTGTTGTGTGGATGTTTCCCAGTGATGGTGTGTAAAACATATGCTGGATAAGTTGGCGGTTCATTCCGCTGTGGTGACCCCAGATTAGTAAAGGAACTAAGCCGAAAAGAAAATGAATGAATATTAATATTGTTTTAAGGAAAACTCAATTAATTTTGATGTATTATTTCTGGAAACAGGACAAGAGTTTCTGCTTGTCTAGAAAATGCGTCTTGATTCAGGACTTTTTAGATATTTGGACTGGAAATGAGACAAAAACTCAGCATTTTGGCAGTGTGGTTATGACATTTCATGGTTTGGTTGCTGTTTGTGAAACTAGTGTTCAACGTCAACTTTACATCTGTAAATAAAGGCTGTGTGGCTCATTTGTAAGTAAATTCTGAATTAAAACAAAGACAGAACTAAACTGTAGAGGATTATGTACAGAGCTCAGCCTTTATAAATTCACCCCTTACAACTCTTTCTTTTAAATTCATGTTTAATAGGAAGCTCTACAATATTTTATGTGTGCATATACATCAGATTAGTCAGTACTGAAGCCAAATCTGGAGCTCATCTAACAAAATAACTTACAATAACCGTCCAAAAACTAGTACAGCCACATTTATATGATATAGAAAAATTCAATCATTCATTTTCTTGTCGGCTTAGTCCCTTTATTAATCTGGGGTCACCACAGGGGAATGAACCGCCAACTTAACCAGCACGTTTTTACGCAGCGGATGCCCTTCCAGCCGCAACCCATCACTGGGAAACATCCACACACACACATTCACACAAACACTCATACACTACGGACAATTTAGCCTACCCAATTCACCTGTACTGGATTGTGGGGGAAACCGGAGCACCTGGAGGAAACCCACGCAAAGGCAGGGAGAACATGCAAACTCCACACAGAAATGCCAACTGAGCCGAGGTTCGAACCAGCGACCTTCTTGCTGTGAGGCGACAGCACTATCTACTGCGCCACTGCCTCCCCCGATATAGAAAAACATTAAATATAAATTTGAAAAAGAGGAAAAATCAAGAGAAGCAAAAAAAAAATTGTTTGTTTAAAATATTACTGCATGTCTGTAAGTAAAGACACTATTTGCAGTGGAAACCCAAGCCTGATCATGGTGAACCATACTGAACACTACTGTACTGTATTTGCTAAGTGAAAACAAGCCATAATGATCTAATAATGGTGGATTCACAGGTAAATCTGGGTCAAATTTGTTTACATTTTGTAGGTTGTAATTGTAATTTTACTTGAATTTAATTGTATCATCTTTCAATTTATAAATATGTTTGGTGACTAAAACATTATTTTAATAAATACATCAGTTTAATAAATCTGTTTTGTTTAAATGCACAAAATACGCCACCTATATTCACTGAGAAATGGAGGAAGTATTCATTTTCCAAATGGGCTGTACTCAATTACGCTGAGCACACTGTAACTGAGTGAGCTGTTTAGCATCAGGCAGATCACAAACACCAGCATTTGTTGTAAAATGAACACACTTCAGCAATAGTTATCGTGTCCTAAAACAGTTGTGGAAATAAACCCTGAAAGTGCAAAAAAAAGTGGCCAAAAACCAGGTTAGTTTGTTGTTGCTCAAGAGCACACATGAAGAGCCAATCACAGTAGAGGATGATGTAATGGTCATTATAACGGGTCATCAGCCTCTCTATATAAACTGCTGCATCTCTGAGCACTCGCACTGAACCTCCCGGCGGGATTAAAGCACATCAGAGGCGTCATCAAGAGCTGCAGGTTAGTGGATCAACCAATGGTTTGTTGACCACAGTACAACTTTTAACATTTCTTTAGGAGGCTGAGATTACACACTGCTGTTTGTGAAGAGCCGACGGATTAGTGTGAGTGTAGAGTAATTTAATGACTTTATTTTAACTTTAAAGGAAATAAACGACCGCAATTTAGCCAAGCCAACAATCAGCCCACATGCTGTTAAGAAACGCTGGGTTATTTAAACCTAACTTGGGTAAAACATGGACAAACCCAAACATTGGGTTACATTTGGTCCTATTAATTGAATTTTAAAAAATCCAGCAGTTGGTTTAGTCTGTATTACTCCCTGCATTGGGTTGAAATAACCAAGCATTTTTTTTTAAGAGTGTGAACAAAACACTGTAGTAACTATACAGTAAATGCTAGTGTTTTAACCTGTACTAAAGCATAATATACTGTATGATTGCATTTAGTTGATTTTAATGAGTGCTACTTTATTTTGTTATAATAATTTTTAATTTTGTAATATTAACCACAGTTACTGCAGCAAAATATATTGTAGTATAAAATATCCTGTTGAAGACTACACTGCAAAAAATGCTTTTCTTATTTCGATTTTAGTCTTCTTTCTAGTCCAAATATCTAAAAATTGTTAAAGCATTTTCAAGTCAAGCAAAACATATTGAATTGTTTTGAGAAATAACATGCCAATATTAAGTGAGTTTTTTTCTTAAAACAAGCAAAATAATCTGCCAATGGGGGAAGAAAAATAATCCTGTTTTTCCTTTTGACATCAGATTAATTTGCTTCCCCCATTGGGAGATTGTTTTTCTTGTTTTACGGAAAAACTCACTTAATATTGGCACATTATTCCTAAAAACAAGACCATATGTTTTGCTTGTCTTGAAAATTCTTCTTGATTTGAAAATTTGTAGATATTTGGACTCGAAACAAGACAAAAAAGTAAGAAAAGCATTTTTTGCAGTGTGCAGTACTGTAGAGTACTTAAGTTTCTACTGCAGTAAAATATATTGTAGTATATAATATACCCTGTTGAAAACAACAGTACTGGGTGTGACCGGTCCTCGCTTTACTCTGCGTTGTGTGGTGTTTAGGTGAAAGGGACCAGTTATATGAGATTAAACTGCCTTTTATTCTGCATGAATAAAATAAACAGTTGGCAAAGCTGAGTCTGTGACTCTCCTTATGTGCTCAACAAACTCTCCGTGAAGGGGATAATTCTCACTACAAAGTTTGCACACTCATGCTTATGAACTTTACCCAAAATACATGCTTCATATACTTTACACAACCTCTCATACATGTTTACAATAACAGTGAAATGCATTTTAGAACGAACTTGCATGTGTTACTGTGATTATTAACACTTATATGACAGGTTTTAACCGGAGATTCAACACAACTCACCTCTCCTCAATCGCGTTTGGCGCGAAGGAACTGAGCGTGAGCAGGCCGGAAAACTACACTTAAAGGGGCCACGTACCATTTCCCGAAATACACCAATACATTGAAAACAAACACAACTATGATTTCATTAACTCTGAAATATAAGATATTTAAAGAACAACTCTGAAAATATAAAATTAATTAATGATTAACAAGGGGAATTTTAAATGAAATTATATATATATATATATATATATATATATATATATATATATATATATATATATATATATATATATATAAACACCTGTTACATGGGCAACTATAGAATCACAACAACATATTAATTGCAGCACTTTACTGTAGTAAATGTGGGTGGAGTAAATGCAGATCTCCCTGAGAAAAGAGCACAATGCCATTTGCATTTAAAGTGACAGTCACCAAAACGCCACAATTAGTATCAAAGCCTGAAAGGGTCAGCTTCAGCGAGCTGGAGAACATCATCTGTGTTTTATTCACACACACTCCAGAAACATCTGAGACAAACTTGATATCTTGTGGAAAGAGGCATATTATCTTCTTTAAAGGCAATTTTCTAGATTCGATCAACATGCACATTGAAATTGTTGAAGCTTTTCACATCACAAATGCTGCTTGACAAGAGGAACAGATCAGAATGAGTGTTTATTCTGTCCATGAACAACAACATGTTGAATTTAAATGTGCAAGCAGCCTGTCTGAATCAAGCTTTAGTGTAACTGATTAAAGGAAAATGTGAAAGAACAAATTCAAAATAGAGTAATGTGGGCACTGCCATATCTCCATGAAGACCACACGCTTATCATGACAAGTTTGATTAACTGCCGTAAATAAACCTCACGGAGATGTAAAAGCCCACTGATGCTGATGTACTCGTCTTCTCCATTTCAGCAGGATGTTCACATACAGCGTATCTGTCGAGACTGGAGACCAGGCGTTTGCTGGCACTCTGAACTACATTTACCTGACGCTGGTGGGCGATAAGAGAAGCAGCGTCCGAACTCTGCTGGACAAATCCTGGCTTAAACGTTTGGAAAGAGGAACGGTAAGACTTTTACTTTAACTCTCCTTTTAATCTAAGAAGGAAACCAGTTTCTGTTAACTCTAAATTAGCACTGGATGAAGATTAATCTTGATTTATTGCATCAAAAGTAAAAGTTTATTTTGATGTAGTATAGGTGTGTAAAGTTGAAGTCCAGTTTATTCCCCTCCTCTGAATTTTGTTTTATTTTTCACAGTATGTCTGATAATATTTGTTCTTCTGAAGAAAGTTTTATTTGTGCTAGAATAAAAGCAGTTTTTAATGTTTTAAAGCCATGTTAAGGTCAATATTATTCACCCCTTCAGCAATATTAGTGTTGGATTGTCTCCAGAACAAACCACTGTTATACAATGACTTGCCTAATTACCCTAACTTTACCCTAATTACCCTAGTGAAGCCTTTACATGTCACTGTAAGCTGAACACTAGTGTCTTGAAGAATATCCAGTCTAATATTATGTGCTGTCATCATAAAATAAAAGAAATCAGTTATTAGAAATGATTAGAAAAGGATTACGTTTAGAAACGTGTTGAACATCTCTCCGTTAAACAGAAATCGAGGAAAACAACTATAGTGATGTGACGTCTAACAGAAGTTGTCGTTAAAGGTGATTTCCATTGACGTTCATGTGGAGGAGACTCTTGGAGAGCTTCTGCTGGTCAAACTGGAGAAGGAGAAAACCCTGATCAATGATCAATGGTACTGCAGGAGCATCAGCGTAACAGCACCCACCGGAGACTGCTTCGAGTTCCCCTGTTATCACTGGATAGCGGATCAACAGGAGCTGGCGCTTCCGGAAGGCCGGGGTAAAGTCCTGGATGAGGAACAACACTCTGCTTTGTGCATTTGTGTGTGTGTTTATGCATTGTGTATGTGTTCCTTCAGGTCGATTGCCTCAGGATGAAAAGCTCTCAATACTGAAACAGTACAGGCACAAGGAACTGGAAAACAGACAAAAACAATTTAGGTACAATTACAGACTTGACCAGAATTCAGTCATTTGCCAGTTATTTTGTTGGTTTAAAATACTTATAATCATACTTAAAAAAACACTTTACACAGTTCAGGTTTATGGAAGATTTAGAAGAGAAAAAAGGCGGCTCCTGGTGGACAAATACCACATTACAACAGAGCCGCAATGTAAAGTGTTCTGTCGAACCATCAGGGGGCGCCATGTCTGAAATGAGATGTAACACAAGATCTGGTTGTTCAAGAGAATAATGCTGAGATTTTATTTAGGCTTTAAAGCACTTTGAAGGGTTGTTGCTAGATCGGATATGGTTGCAGCCAGAAGTTAACGAGAATAATTTATATTATTTATTAAATAAGTGTATTTTATTAACGTCTACCCCACCCCCCAACCATCACAGTAATTTAAAAACAGTTGTTGTACCAAGTATTATTTATGTTATCTATTAAATTACCCAATAAACTGTATTTTTTAACCCCTACCCCAAGCCTAAACTCAACCGTCACAGTATTGTTAACATATTATAGTTATACAGTGTCATAAAAAAATGCTGCTATAATAATGTGCATATCACTTCCAGCCGGCCGCATATCCCATCTAGACTTTACCACTTTGAAGATATTATAAAAATGTCCAATCTCCTTTTCAATAATGCCATGCGCCGTCACTCTCCCTGTGAACTTTCTCAAAAAACACTTCAACTGTCACACAACTAATGCTGTCTCTTTTGCAGGTGGAATGAATGGAAAGCTGGTTTACCACTGTCCATAGATGCCAATGGCTGCTCTGAACTGCCTCTGGACGTTCAGTTTGATACCGCAAAATCAGTGGACTTCAGTGTGAATTTCCTAGAGGGGTAGGTTATCCTGTTCGGGTTTAGTATTTTGCATAAATCCCCAACAAATGTGCATCTTATTGATTTCTTGAGACCTAGTCAGGTTGCTGCAGGGAATATGTCTAATTAATAGTGATGTGTGAATGTGTGATACCACTGGTTTACTATCCGATCCGATACCAAGTAAAAAGTTAAAAGTGTCACTTCATACTGAATACGAGACATATTACAGGTTATTCTTGTTTTTTTCTTTACATTTTAACCTTTTAAATGATTGATTTGCTTTTATTCTTTTTCGATCTGTGGCGTCAATAATTATGGTGGAAAAATGATGCCACACAGTGTAACATAGCCAGAATCACACACTGATATTCAGATCTAATTTATTTAATCTATTTTATTCTTTTTTTTTTTTAATGTATTTTTTTCTTCTTTTTCAGGATCAGGATTCTTGGTCTTAACAAACTTAAGAGTGTGTTCCAGTCTTGGAAAGACTTTGCAGATTTTGAAAAAGTGTTCATAACCATCAAGAACACCGTGTCAGGTTTAAATAACTTCTTCCTTATTTATTATTATTTTTCAAGATTGATCCATCTACTGATTGTGCTGCCAAACAAACACAAAAAATAATCAATTCACCCCTTAACTCCCTTTATTCTTCACGTTGACAGAGTATTTGATGGAGAACTGGACTGAAGATGCAGTGTTTGGTTATCAGTTCTTAAATGGCAGCAATCCTGTGATGATCAAAAAGTGCAGGAAACTTCCAGACAAGTTTGTGGTCACGCAGGAGATGGTGGAGGACTCCCTGGATAGAGGAACCACACTGCAGGAGGAATTACAGGTCAGAGGAAAACACTACTCAACAGTAAACAAGTGAAGCTGAAACCACACCAAATATTATTACAGCATTTGCCTGGATACTCAGTACAGTGGTGCATTCAGCCAGATATACTGTCACTGAAGTATGTAGTAAAATAGAGATTTTGTGCTGTTTGATCATACTCTCTGATACTAACAAGGTGTTGTTTTTATTAAAGTAACTTTGATTGTTATAGCGAGATCTATGTTGGTAGAATAGGCAGCGAGCTCTCTGCAACTCTCACATGGTCGCCCACTGAAGCCAAGCAGGGCTGAGGCTGGTCAATACCTGGATGGGAGACCACATGGGCAAGCTAAACTGCTGCCGGAAGTGGTGTTAGTGAGGCCAGCAGGGGGCGCTCAACCTGCAGTCTGTGTGAATCCTAACGCCCCAGTATAGTGACGGGGACTCTATGCTGCTCAGTGAGCGCCATCTTTCGGATGAGACATTAAACCGAGGTCCCGACTCTCTGTGGTCGTTAAAAATCCCAGGATGTCCTTGGAAAAAGAGTAGGGGTTTAACCCCGGCCAAATCTGCCTACTGGCCTCTGTCCATCATGGCCTCCTAACCATCCCCATATCATAACTGGCTTCTCTCCAGTCTCCTCTCCACCAGTCAGCTGGTGTGCGGTCTGGCCAAAATGGCTGCCGTTGCATCATCCAGGTGGATGCTGCACACTGGTGATGGATGAGAAGATTCCCCCCTATGTGTGTAAAGCGCTTTGAGTGCCCAGAAAAGCGCTATATAAATGTAAGGAATTATTATTAGAATGACGTGATTTGTCAGGATTGGAGTTGTTTCGTTGGTTTTGTCCCTGCTGAAAAATCCAACTTAGGCTGGTTTTAGAGGGGTTCTGGCCACTTCCAGGCTGGTTTCCAGCCATTTCCAGCCTGGTCATTTTCCAGGCTGACCAGCTAAGACCAGGCTGGAAATGGCCAAAACCCATCTAAAACCAGGCTGGTCAACCAGCTAAAACCAGCCAACCAGCCTAGGCTGGTTTAAGCTGGATTTTTCAGCAGGGGTATGTTTTGTTTGACCTAGTTTTACCTGTGCTTCCACTATTGATCGATCATTATGGCTTGTTTTCACTCAGCAATATGCTTTAATACAGTGCAGTAGTGTTCAGTATGTTCACCATGATCAGGCTTGGGTTTCCACTGCAAACAGTGTGTTTACTTACAGACATGGAGTAAGCCAGAAAGTAACGATGGACGTCATACTAACACAAAGAAGAGAGAAAATTCCCAAAACGAGTTTAGTTTGAGCTTGCTTCATCCGTTGGCGGTGCATTTAAAAATGGCTGTTCCTGTGTTGTTGTTCCCCTGCACAACTGACGATTCTGTCAACCACTTAGCATTCAGCAGCGAGTTTATCTCCACCTTTTGGTACCGTAATGTTGTGCTGGTACTCAAAAGGTACTGGTACTTACAAAGGGCCAAGATACAGTTAACATTCTGCAATTCACAATTTCTGACAGTTGACATGGAAATAAATGCATTTGGATCTTATCTTGATACCAAGCAAAGGTGGAAAAGTATTCACATAAATAAGTCCACATTGCGTTTGCCACGATTGTGCAGAATTCTTCTCAGTTGCATCAACTGTGCAAGATCAAATCATTAACTAATAATAATAAATTAACTAATAATTTAAGCCAAAATTTGGGTCTGGGGAAAAACATCAACTAGAGAGAGGGAGATGGTGTTCCACATTTGGTGAACACCCAGCATTAGATGACATGCCACAACTAATGCTGTTAAAGTAGTCGAATCTGGATGTGAATGAATAATAATGAACAAAGAACATGTTTTTCTTTGGCTTCATTGCTAAATTCCTCTCCTTCACAGGCAGGAAACATCTACATAGCAGACTATGAAATACTGGAGGACGTTCAACCCAATGACACAGACTCCAGCACCCGGCAGTATTTGGCCGCCCCCTTCTGCCTGTTTTACAAGAACAGCCAGAACAAAATCATACCAATCGCCATTCAGGTGCCTGCAGAAAACCATTATTCCACAATTACTCGATAATAAAATATCAGTGTCAAGTTTTAATAAACATTCTGCTCTGTTTTCTGGAACAGCTCAGTCGTGAGGCTACTCCAGGACAGAAGAACACAGTCTTTCTGCCCAGCGATAATCACTACGACTGGTTGTTAGCCAAAATGTGGGTGAAATCCTGCGACTTCAACGTACACCAGCTCATCACACACCTTCTCAGGACACACCTGACATCTGAGGTGTTTGCCATAGCCATGTTCAGACAGCTCTCTGCTGTCCATCCTGTGTACAAGGTAGAGTATACAGCACATATGTTGGTCACTTCTATGCGATTACTAGTTCTGTGCCTCAGGAGTTCCTTCTTGCCTTTATTTATTTATGATTTTTTATGTCATCTGGGCCAACCACAAATATTCCCAAATTGATTTGATGTAAATGTTCAGATGAAGAATTATTATTATTATTATTATTATTATTATTATTATTATTATTATTATAAGTTCAGTTTTTGATGAAGCTTGTGGTACAGTCACTGAAACATGTTGGTCACATTCTTATTTTCTCTCTTCGCAGTTACTGATCCCTCATGTCCGTTTCACCATTGCCATCAACACTTCAGCTCGTCAAACACTCATCAACGACACTGGGGTCTTTAATAAGGTATTTTTAACACTTCATAAATAGTTTCCCACTGGTTTCTCTCTCAAGTGTCTGATTCTTTCAGATGGCTTGTTTAAAAGGTTAGTTCACTCAAAAAAGAATTAACTACTGTTATTAATTACTCGCCTCTAATGTCATTCCTATTTCCTGAGACCTATAAATTAAGATGCTTTAGATTAAAGAGCTCCCTCATCCTCTACTGACAAAAGCATTGTCAGAACAGATTATGTTACTTCAATGGTTCGTTTGTAATAGTTCAAAGCTCTAAGAATTGTTTTGTGCACCAAAAAACACTGAATTTGTTTGCCTATAACTTCCCTCTGCGATATGGTCATTAGTGTACTATTGTATTGCTGTAGTAAACACAGACCCTCATCTGAAGCTGTAGACATAGCTGAACTAAGTCATATTGACAGTTTTCTGTGTGCACAAAGCATCCTATAATTATTGAACCTATGAAGTCACATGGACTGTCTTGACAATGTTTTTGGTTCCTTTTCTGGACTTTCAATGATTCAGGATTTTTGCTGACCAAACTAGTTTATATTTTATCTAAAATATTTTCATTTCCCTGCTGAAAAATCCAGCTTAAGCCAGCCTAGACTGGTTTTATCTGGTTTACCTGCCTGGTTTTAGAGGGGTTTTAGCCATTTCCAGGCTAGTTTTCAGCCAGTTCCAGTGTGGTCTTAGCTGGTCAGGCTGGAAAATGACCAGCTAAAACCAGCTTGACCAGCCTGGTTTAAGCTGGACATAGCTGGTTTTGGCTGGGCTCCCTGGCTAGCTAGGCTGGCCAAGCTGGTTTTAGCTGGTCATCTCCCTGCCTGACCAGCTAAGACCAGGCAGAAAACTAGCCTGGAAATGGCCAAACCCCCCCTAAAACCAGCCTGGTCGACCAGCTAAAACCAGCCAACCAGCCTATGCTGGTTTAAGCTGTTGTTTTCAGTAGGGTTGTGTTCAGTGGGTGAATGAAGGTATCGGTATAAGGGTAAACCAACCCTTTAAGGCAGGGGTGGCCAACCCTGTTTCTGGAGAGACACCTTCCTGCAGATTTCAGTTGCAACCCATATCCAACACACCTGAACCTATTAATTAGGAACTGAACACCACGTGATAATTACAGGCAGGTGTGTTTGATATGGGTTGCAACTGAAATCTACAGGAAGGTGGCTCTCCAGAAACAGGGTTGGCCACCCCTGCTTTAAGGCCTAATAAGCCAACTGTTTTAATCCTTCATCTGACGTTCGTCCTGTGATATTCTCTGTTTTGTTCACAAGAACTCATCCGTGTTCTCTTATTTTACAGGCTAACAGCACTGGAGGAATTGGAGTTTTGCAAGTGGTCCACAGGGCCATGAAGACATTGACCTATAAGTCCATGTGCTTCCCTGAGGCTATGAAAGCTCGAGATGTTCACGACCAGGAAGATCTGCCCAACTACTACTATAGAGACGATGGCATGCTGGTCTGGGAGGCTGTGAAAAGGTAGTTAAACTGCACTAACATTTACAAATTTCAAACACTGATATTGGTAGTATTATGATTCATCATTTGTCTTGACCTTCCTCCAGCTTTGTCTCTGATGTGGTGGAGATCTACTACAGTAGTGATGAGACCGTTCTGGAAGACGAGGAGATCCAGGCGTTTGTTCAGGATGTTCACTCCTCTGGTATGAAGAATTGTCCCAATAGTGGGGGTGAGTACAACACTATTTTACATCAACCTGATCTCACCAAGTAGGACAAGTTCCTGAGTTAACATATATGCTGATCCTGGAACAACATTCCAATCAGCTTATCAGAATTATGGGATATGTTTTCCGTTAATGTTAATATTAGGCTTATGGTTAGGTTTATGCACTTCTACGTGATTGTTATCAACTGTTATTATCCTCTGATTTTGGGAATAATTTACAGTTATGCTTGGGTTTACAGCAGGGGTCACCAATCTCGGTCCTGGAGGGCCGGTGTCCTGCAGGGTTTAGCTCCAACTTGCCTCAACACACCTGCCTGAATGTTTCAAGTATACCTGGTAAGACCTTGATTAGCTTGTTCAGGTGTGTTTGATTAGGGTTGGAGCTCAAATCTGCAGGACACCGGCCCTCCAGGAACAAGTGTGTTGATCACTCGTTTACAGGAAGGGAATGGGTATGGATTACATTTTCTAAAAATTGATGTTCCAGGATCAATATAGATGTGAATCCAGGATCTCATTGTGCTTGGCAAAATCATGATGTGCACCATTTTGCTGTATATTTTCTTATGTAAATATCTGTGCAATCATTGAAGACTGAATGTTTGAACAGAAGCAGCCCTTGATAACTACAGGCAGATTTATTTGGTCAAGGGTGTGACTGAAATCTTGTGCTAAATTCAATGGTTTAAGTGTCCCATTGCACACACTATCCTTCCTAAAAAGTATTTTAAAATGGTAATAATGTATAGCAAATCGTAGTATGTTGAAAAGAGTACGGCAAAGGTTCCCGGATGCTCTACTATGTCCGGTCAAATTTGGAAGTGTTTAACCATCCATACTCTAACCGCTAATATTACACACAATACATTGCACATTGGACTTGAATTTGATTAGAACTACAAACGCGGGTGAAAAGTGTAAACGAACTACAAACATGGTGGACATGCAAGACTGTCAAGTAGAGAGGCTTCTGTAAATGTTTTAATGACCATTTATTAATATCTAGCCACAAGGAAATTATTAAAATCACCTTTTCTGTTATAGTTCATCTGCAAAAACAGTGTGAACTTATACAAAGACATGTTTTGACATTAACTACTGAATGTATAACTATCCAAAGACCTAAGGAGATTTGCGACTTGCGAAAGTCAGATTAACCTGCTGTTGAATCTACAATATAGTAGGAAATCTGACAGAAATGCAGACCTGTCCAGACGATTGACAGGGGACATGACTAAACAGTATAACAATCTGTTAATGAGGAAGTAGTTTGAGTACTGAAGTTTGCATACTCTTCTGTTAAACACGTGTATGAGCTTTTTTTCTTGACAAAATACACACAGCATAGCTCTCCAGGAGGAGTATGGTGACCCCTGGTTTACATGAAGGTGCTTCTACATGCATACTCAAACACGTTATCAATGTCCACAGAGTTTCCAAACATGCTGAGAACCCGGGAGCAGCTGGTTGAGTATCTGACCGTGATGATTTTCACAGCTTCAGCTCAACATGCAGCAGTCAACTTTGGACAGGTGGGATTTCACACACTTCTCTGAAGAAATATAAACTAGACCTCTGCAAATATCCAGCCTGATTTCTGTGTGTCTCTCCTGCGTTTCAGTTTGACTGGTTTGCTTGGGTCCCGAACACTCCGTCCACCATGCGGAAACCTCCTCCCACAGAGAAAGGCAAAGTGGATATGAAGTACATCATGGAGAGTCTGCCGGACCGCGGACGCTCCGGCTGGCACCTGGGAGCACTTTGGTCGCTCAGTCAGTTCCAGGATAACGAGGTTAGCTGACTGGTTATTCATAACTAGCCTAGAATACACTTGCTTTCAATATACGCATCGACCAAAGAAACAATTAATAGTTTTGCCCCCATCCTCTGTCCAGCTGTTTTTAGGCGAATACCCTGATAAGTACTTCACCGAAGAACCAGCCATTGAAGCTATTAAGAATTTCCGCAAGACATTAGTTGACATCACAAAGATCATCAAGAAGAGAAATGAAACTCTGGAGCTGCCCTACTGGTATCTGTCTCCAGACAGAATCCCCAACAGCGTGGCCATCTGAAGAAAACATCTGTCATACATCCACAAAAGCTGTTCACAGCACATCTGCACAGCACGTCACTTAAAAAAACGCCAGCAAAACACTGGGCTATTATCACTCAATCAAAATAAACGTGCAAGCAACAAATTACTGCCAATATTTACTGTACTTCAGAGATGCATGGGTGGCTAATGAGAATTTTTATAATTATTTATAATCAGTTTGGCATTCACACAGTTGTTATTTGATTTTAATCAAACATCACATATTTATTATTGTGTTTTTGTGTTTTATATAATTCTTTATTTTCCATTGTTTGTAAAGTTTCATATTATTTGTAATTGTCATCGGGAGTAACAGCCATTTCTTTTTTTTTTTTTATATTACTGGACAATGGTTTAAATGATATTTCTTGTATAATAACACTGGGTGGATTTGTACTGAGCATTAAAATACACTGAAGTTCATTCAATAAACTAACTATACTTTCCCATCACTTTGTCCACTGCTTTCTGCTCTTGAAGACGTTTCAAACAGTTTCAGGTACCGGGCAAGACATGTTATTGGCAGGTTTGACTGGTTTATTCTGCATAGGGACATCTGATCTAACATCATTAATCTAAGAACATTACTAATACATTCAACTTCTTTCTTGTTTTCTCTTGACTTTCTAAAAGTTTTTATGAAACCTAAAACACATCTCTCAAACCACAAGTAGAACTATTGTCACACAATTGGAGAATTCCAAAGAAATTTTCCCCTCGCAGTGATTCTTTTCCTTGACTGAAACACATCTCTTATATTTTTATTACAAGATTCTAGGTGCCATTCACTATTTTGTGTGTGTGTGTGTGTGTGTGTGTGTGTGTGTGTGTGTTTTAATAAGCTTGAATACAATTTATACAACAACAAATATGCAGAATAATTATCTTTAAAAAAAGAAGAAAAAAACAACAGCTAAAAACAAAAAGAAAAGAAGAACTGCTAAACACAGGAGTTATAAAAAATTGCATATTAAATAGGTAAAAATTACTGATTAAACACAGGGAAAGAGCCGCAGCAGTTGAAGTTTTAGAGCCTTTTTGTTAAAACCCAATTGGATCAATAAAAGGTATTGCTTAAATTCGTTCAGAGAAACCATAAACATAGGTCTGGAGATAAAAAAATTTTTGATTTATAAATGTGAAGCCATTCACTGTGTCTGTTTTTTATTATTTCATAACAAGAACAATAGCATGCATGATGAATACAATGCTTACATTTTTTCCACATCAAAAGAACAAATCAGTAGAAACCTAAAAACAAAATCACATAAATATATATAATATATATAAATTACAAAAAAAAAAATCGCATAAGAAAATGATTCCAAAATCCACTCACTTTTGTTTTGGTTTCCCTTTTGTGAATGAGAGCGAGAGTGACGTCATAAGGCTGCGCCGCGATTACATATCTGCTGTGAGTCGGCTGTAGAAACCAATGCAAGCCTTTCGGCTGGTGTAAGTTCACAACAGATGTAACATCGCGTACCCGTTGCTTAATTTAACATACCAATACTTTATTTATCATTTCTAAACGGTGTTTTGTGCGAGTAAAGAGCATCTACGCGAGGAATAGAAGAGCCGCGTCTCATGTTACTATTTATATCGTCAATCAGTTCATCAGAAACACGAATTCAGTCACTGACAAACAGAGACGAGAGAAACGGAGCTTTTACAGAAACTACAGAAATTCCGAGTCAATTGAATCAAATGATTCAATTGACTCGTTTGAATCACCCCTGTCGACTTCTTCTGGCCAAACAGAGAAAAGAGGAGCGACTGATTTATTTGTTAGTCAATGTTGCTTTGGTATTATTGTCTGGTGATTTCACAATAATCTCAGTCTGCCTGCACTAGAGAGTTGTTTGAGATTTGTTTTTCCTCAATGATTGTGTTTATCTGCAGACTGTTATAAAGATGGCGTTTATTAAAGAGGAGAGTGAAGACATCAAGATTGAAGAAACATTCACAGTCAAACATGAAGAGACTGAAGAAGCTTTCAGAGTCAAACATGAAGATCCTGAGCAACAAACAGGTTGGTTTTCATCCTCAAAGCTCCACATTTGATCCTCATTCAGGATAATCAGTGAACCTTCATTTGGGCTGTAAGGCTGCATTTTAAAGTCATTTAATCTTTACACTAGACATCAGTGTTACTCTTATACCAGTTACTTTTATTTTATAAGTCTGTTTGTAAAATTGACTCAATCTCTTTCTTGGTCAAATGCAGATTTGATGGATTAAATTAATGATTAATACAAATTTATGCAAATCACTATAATTTATAGCCGCTTTAAGCCATATCTGTCTCCAAAACAAACCATCGATATACAATAACTTGCCTAATTACCCTAACCTGCCTAGTTACCCTAATTACCCTAGTGAAGCCTTTAAATGTCACTTTAAGCTGTATAGAAGTGTCTTGAAGAATATCTAGTCTAATATTATTTACTGTCATCATGCAGAAGAGGAAATAAATCAGTTATTAGAGATGAGTTATTAACACTATTATGATTAGAAATGTGCTGGAAAGTCTGCTCTCCGTTAAAAAAAAAACTGAGGTAAAAAATAAACATTAATACATTAATCCATTAATACTATTCACATGCATACTATATAGAAGGTACTTTGCTAACAGTCCTGTAGTAAATTCAAGTTCTAACCTAGTACCTTCTAGAGTAGTTGTCAATATCGGATGCAGCCAATGTCCCTCCAGGGCTGGGATGGGCAACTTTGATCGTGGTGGGCTGGTGTCCTGTAGATTTTAGCTCTAATCCTAATCAAACACACCTGCCTGTAACTTCGCGATCCATGCCTCAGGGTATACTGGGTTGTCCTCAAGGTCTGAGATCTGTTCTTTTAGTCATGACGTATAGCTCATGATCATAGTTGAGTGTAGGAGCGTACATTGACCAGTAAATTGACAGATTTGCCTTTTCGTTCAGTTCTTCCTTCACTACAAGAGACCAGTACATGGCTCACATTACTGCTGCCACTGCATCTATCCACCCGTCAGTCGCACTCTCCATTCTTCCCTCACTCCTAGATGCCTAAACTTCTTAACCTGGTGCTCTCTTGCAACATGGAGATGGACAGTCATCACACAGGATTAATTGAATATGTTGGTCTGATGGTTGATTGGGGGGTTGTCTTATTTTATTTTAGACCTTGTTACCTTCACCCTTCTTCCTCCCAAGTAAATGTAAGTTAATAGGACACTGCATGTCAAAAACAGGGGTCACCAAACTTGTTCCTGGAGGGCCGGTGTCCTGCAGATTTTAGCTCCAACCCAAATCAAACACACCTGAACAAGATAATCAAGGTCTTACTAGATATACTTGAAACACCCAGGCAGGTGTGTTGAGGCACGTTGGAGCTAAACCCTGCAGGTAGAGGTCCAGATTTCTTTTGGCGTGGGAATAAATTTCCGAATAAAGCGCGGGAGCAGTAGGTAACAGGTGTATTTTTGGTTGGGAGCGGGCAGTCTAACAATATCGCTCCCGACTCCCGAGCGAGCGAGCATGCGTATGTATGTGTGTGAATGAGACAGCGTGATGCTGCGTTTAGCTTGTTTGTTGCTGTGTGTGTGTGTGCACGCGAATGGGAGAGAGCTTTGTGCTATGTGTGTGTATGAAAGAGCTTGATGTTGCTGTGTGTGTGTGTCACTACTCTCACCACCTGTGCCTTCAGTTATATCCGTGTCTAGGGCGCCAGTATAGAGAAGGCGGCATCCCCGACACTACCCTCACCATCTGCGCCCTCAGTTATATCCGCGTCTAGGGCGCCAGTATAGAGAAGGCGGCATCCCCGATACTACCCTCACCACCTGCGCCCTCAGTTATATCCGCGTCTAGGGCGCCAGTATAGAGAAGGCGGCATCCCCGACACTACCCTCACCACCCGCGCCCTCAGTTATATCCGCGTCTAGGGCACCAGTATAGAGAAGGCGGCATCCCCGACACTACCCTCACCACCTGCGCCCTAAGTTATATACGCGTCTAGGGCGCCAGTATAGAGAAGGCGGCATCCCCGACACTACCCTCACCACCTGCGCCCTCAGTTATATCCGCGTCTAGGGCGCCAGTATAGAGAAGGCGGCATCCCTGACACTACCCTCACCACCTGCGCCCTCAGTTATTTCCGTGTCTAGGGCGGCATTCCCGTCACTACCTTCACCACCGGCGCCCTCAGTTATATCCATGTCCAGGGTGGCAGAATAGAGAGGGCAGCTACCGCGACAGTACTCTCACCACCCGCGCCCTCAGTTATATCCCCGGTTTCACTTTAGGGTTGAGGGCGGCGTCACCGTCCGTTACTTAGAGCGGTAGTTTAGCCCTGTGTATAGCTGGGGGGGTTTCGGTTTTGCTCTTCCCCCAGCCCATTAGCAGGAACGGGTGCGGCGGGTAGAAAACGGAGCAAGTCGAGCTGCGGGACGATGAATGCTGAACATAAGCGGGAGTGGTCGGGTTTCGGGTAAAACCTGGCGGGTGCGGGTGGGATCAGGATTCAAAACTTAGTCCCATGCAGATCTCTACTTGCAGGGACACCGGCCCTACAGAAGCTGTGATAAAAGTTATGATGTCTGTTTTATGACATTTAATCAATATTTTGTCTTATTGTCCTAGATCTGATGCCACTGAAAGAGGAGAGTGAAGAAGTTAATGAAATGAAAGGGGAACCTCAATATGAAAATCAGAATTTCATAGCTGAAGGAAAATATTTTAGTTGCTCGAATAATGAAAAGACTTTATCAATAAAAAGAGCTCAAGACACTGGAAGTCAACAATGTGATAAGACTATCAGCAACAAAATAAACCATGAAAGATGTGTTAAATCTCGGAAAGGAAAGAAGTCCTACACATGCTCCCTGTGTGGAAAGAGTTTTAAACATACAGGACACTTTAAAGATCACATGAGAATTCACACTGGAGAAAAACCTTTCACTTGCCAACAGTGTGGAAAAAGCTTCAGTCGCAAAATAACCCTTCAAAGACATGTTAAAATTCACAACGAAGAGAAGCCGTACATGTGCCATCAGTGTGGAAAGAGTTTCATTCAAAAAGGATACCTTAAAGTCCACATGAAAGTTCACACTGGAGAGAAACCCTACACTTGCCCACAGTGTGGAAGGGGTTTCATTCAAAAAGGGAACTACAGAGTGCACATGAGAATTCACTCAGAAGAAAAACAGCACACTTGCCCTCATTGCGGAAAGAGTTTCAACCAGGCAGGACACCTTCGGGACCACATTAGAACTCACACTGGAGAGAAACCCTACACATGCCCTCTCTGTGGAAAGAGTTTCATTCAAAAAGGGAACTACAGAGTGCACATGAGAATTCACTCAGAAGAAAAACAGAATACTTGCCCTCAGTGCGGAAAGAGTTTCAATCAGACAGGACACCTTCGAGACCACATTAGAACTCACACCGGAGAGAAACCCTACACTTGCGCTCAGTGTGGAAAGGGTTTCAATCAAAAAAGTCACTATACAGTCCACATGAGAATTCACTCTGAAGAAAAACCCTACAATTGCGCTCAATGTGGAAAGAGCTTCAATCAAAAGGTACATTATACAGCCCACATGAGAATTCACTCTGGAGAAAAGCCCTACACATGCCCTCAGTGTGGAAAGGGCTTTAGCTGTAAATTGACCTATAACAGACATATTGGTAGTCACAATGCAGTAAAGACTTAATGTGGGACACACCGTGCAGTTGGACCGTCGATGAGGGTCTGTAGTGCCAGTGTGTTTGGTGTGTTCTAGATGTTGCAAAACACTCTCGTTTCAGTCTGCTGCCATCTCTTTCATGTGTTCATGTGCAGCTTTTCTGTCCAGGTAGGATCAGAAGAGTAAAAGACTCTTGAATTTTGGGACTTGGTCCAACACCTGAGACACTGATATTTGTTATTTTCTCAGGTCAGCAGGTGTGTTAGATGGCTGCCGATCTCTGTCCAAGATGATTTAAAGACTAGAGGCTTTTCTCCAGATGGCCAACAGTTCACAACTTTTCTCCAAGATTGTTTCTAGTTCAGAGAGTTTGTCCAAAATGTTGAATAACCTAGATCAGGGATGTGTAACTTCAGTCTTGGAGAGCCATTGTCCTGCAGAGTTTACATCTCAACATCTGGGTTCTTTTACCTGTCCTCCATTCTTACTGTCTTGAGGATTGGAACTAAATTTTGTTGGTTGATTATGACGTTACATCAGAACACAAGAATGCATATTAAGAAACAGCCACTGATTAGCTTGTCAAGGTGTCCTTGATTAGTGTCGAAGCAGAACTCGGCAGGACAATGGCCCTTCAGGAACCCTGATCTAGATTACCTCAAGGTGAGAGTCAGCCCAAATTCCCCTTCCAAGATTGGCACCAACCCAGAGTCTTTTTCTGAGTCTGCTGAGTCCTTGCGTCTGTGGAACGGGACACCTCGAGAAACACTTTAGAACTCACACTGGAGAAAAACCACATGGATGCACCGAGTGTGGGAAGAGTTTCACACAAAAAGAAAGCCTCGCCAGACATGCTGACATCCACAAAGGACAAAAACCCTACACGTGTGAACACTGTGGAGATCCTTTTGATCAACATGAAAGCCTTGAACTGCACATGAGAGTTCACTCTGGAGGAAAACCCTTCACATGCCCTGACTGTGGAAAAGGGCTCAACACAAAGGGACACTATAAAGCCCACATGAGAATCCACTCTGGAGAGAAACTGTACTCATGCCCTGAGTGTGGAAAGGGTTTCAATCATAACGGACACCTCAAGGACCACATGAGAGTTCACTCTGGAGAAAAATCCTACAAGTGCCCTCAGTGCGGACAGACTTTTTATCAACAAATCAACCTGATTTCCCACATAAGATATCACTCTGAGAAGTACTTTAAAAAATAATGTAGAGACTTTGAAGATCATATTAAAGATTTCTTAAGGACGTTCCAGGAGGAGCACCAGCTCTGCACATTTTCCACGTCTTCTTAACCAAACACACCTGATTCAGGTCATCAGCTAATTAGCAGAGACTGATGACCTGTAATGGGTGTTACACACTAATGGCTCCAGCGTCAATTGCACATGTATGCTTCACGTGGTCGCATAGCCCTCACCGTCATGACGTGCACCTCTCAAAAAATGTAACTACACATTGCAAAGATGCGTAGCCAAGCTCTGTAATTGGTCGACTTAGTAGCGCTGATGAGTGTGGGCGGGATTGAGAGCCGTGTGAACCAGTTGGAGCGAATGTTTACAAGTGTGGAGTCCCGTGAAGGAGCTCCAGATGAAAAACTTTGTTTTGTGTTTACCTTAGGATTGAAGTTATTGCACGTCTGCTGGTTGCCGCTTCTGAATGAGCGAGTTTTAGCGTTTAGAAAAAACAAAACACCAGCGAAGAAACTCATCCCAGAGGAACATAAACACCCACCGCCAGCTAGCGTTTCGGAAGTGTTATTGCGGGTAAACACAAACAGCGCAGAAGTACAGGCAAGGCATGTGCTGTGCGTCACGCCGATCACTCGATGCAGAAGTGTAAACCAGACTTAAGGAGACATCCAAAACATGCAGTGTTGGTGGCAGTGGTGGATTTAGACCTGGGCAATATGGGCGATAGCCCAGGGCGTATCTTGCTGTGCGACGGCATGGGGAGATTAAAATGAGGCCAAGAAAAAAAATGAGATCTATAAAAGCTTTGAGATACCATTTACTTTATGTAAGTGTATTAATTTATAGTGGTAAATCAAGAATAAAGATGTTATGTGCTGTTCAAATTTGCATGCCCAAGTTCGTTATTCTTTATGTGCAACCGAAACAATGCTGGTGAAAGCAAACTGACGCCTGTGCACAGAAAACCCTTCCTGTGTGCCTCACGCTGCTCCTGCTCCTGCTCCCGGTGTGTTTACATGCATGGCGTTAAAATACATGCTGCTTATGCGCTGTGAAACTGGAGTAACTTTTATGCAAAGGTGTCGGAACGCAGCGAGTTTTGCAAGTCGACAAAACTAAAGTTATAATATGATGAGGATCTTATTTTGACTATGCATGGCTATGAAGCAAAGAGATGAGTCAGGGAGGTATGAGGTTACTTACCTTATTGTATTAGAAGACTATTGATCAACAAGGGAAGCCTTCAGGTATGGTACTCTACACGGCTTAATATGCACTTCTCACCAAATCTAATCCCAAAACAAACTTCCAAACCTGCTCAAAAAACAATGTTCACTGCAGATGAGTTTATTAAAGTTAAATGTCTATTGTTGTGTTTATTCTCTCATTATTTTATGTTGTTTAAGTAGCCAATAAAATAATTTAGTCTCTGTTCTTTCAGTTTTAACAATCCGCTTCAATGCAACCGCTGAAGGTCCAGTTACTTAAAATATCATTGCCATGTGAAACTTTAAATATAAACACATTGCAAGTGTTTTTATTTTTTTAACATGCTTTGGAAAAGTGAAATCAAACAGAGGTCAAATACACCACTTCACAACCACATTTGAAGAAACATGAAATGACCCTTCAAAGATTTACTCGTTGTTCACATTCAGTTTTGTGGTCGACTTCAATTATCAGAGTTAATGTTCATCAGTTCAGATATAAAGATAATAAGAGGATGTACAAGAGGCACCATCATGAAAAAAAAACATTTCTCAGCTTTCATTTACATTTAAACAAAAAAAAAGTGCCATGGGTATGAATAATTTCAGGCTTGACTGTATTTGTACTTTGTTTTAATGAAAATAATGTAATACTGATTGGTCAACTTGCTTCTGTGGTGTGAATTGGTCGTATTGTGTTATGCTTACACAACCCATCTAAAAAACACCTATCTGAGCCCCATTAAATAGGTTAGGATGTATACCATTTCCAACCTTCTCAATAGGACTCGGTGGGTATTTTCTGAACAATCATTTTAATACATGTTCAGTGCATTATGACAAGCAATTGAGAAGAGTGATCAAAAAGTGTTTTATTAAAGCAATAACAACATACATGTGTTTAATCCATGTTTAAACAATATTTAGAACCCTTTCAACTCTTCATTACAAATTTACAAATGTTAAATGACTTCACACAATGCTCAAGGTCTGCTATGCATATCTGGCAGCGTCAAATAGTGGTAAATAAATGTGGAAGAACGAGACATTTTAATCAACTTTGCCTGGTTCTGGGTTCAGCGTAGGGACTTGGAGTGTCCTCTGTGAAAGCAGAGGTATGTTTTCAGTGCTGTCACACCTGTAGTGCTTCTCTTATGGTCCAGATCAAGGTTATAAATGATGCATTTTCAGCCATTTTGTTTCTGTTTCACACCAGACCGAATGCTCTTAACCAGGAGTCACCTATCTCGGTCCTGAAGGGCCAGTGTCCCAGCAGGGTTTAGCTCTTAACTTGCCTCAACACACCTGCCTGGGTGTTTTAAGTATACCTAGTAATGCTGCTGTCACACTAGAGTTTGAGCTTGCGAAATTCTGTTATACGGTAAACAGGGGCAGGATTAATCAAGATGATTGGACACTTAAAGCGAGCGATTGCTCCATGTTTTAAATTTCTGTCCAGAGAGCTCATGTTTTCATCCTCGATTGGTCTCACGCAGGTCAGAGTTCACCAAGCTTGAACTTTACATCGCATTGAACTGCGAAACTTGTTGCACGAGCTTGCGTTTCTGGTGTGATGCATTGGCGTGCATATTAATGTAAGTCTATGGGGAGGAAAGTCTAGTGTCACCACAGCTTTAACACCTTGATTAGCTTGTTCAAGTGTGTTTGATTAGGGTTGGAGCTAAAATCTGCAGAACACCGGACCTCCGGGAACAAGTTTGGTGACCCCTGCTCTTAACCAAACCAGTTGAAACGAACCATAAAAGCAGTCACAGGACATCTACATCAGTCACTGGCTAGACTCATTTCCCCAACTGCAGTTTGATTGGTCAGAGGTAAACTTGTGTCCGCAACACACTGAAGTAAATGAAGAGCAGAGGAAAAGTCAGCAGGCAGTATGGACCCACTCACAAGGAGGGGTGGGGGGCGGGTGGAGTCGTCGCAAACTGAAGAGCGGGAGGTGGGGGGAGTGGGAATGCGGGGCATTTCAGATCATTTTGGAAGGACACTTTCTATCCAAGACTAAAAAGGGCATGTGCACTGCACAGGCTGAGCCCAATGTGTGCACATGCCTGCTCCCAACTTCCAGGTGCAGCGATCCTGCCCTTTGTAGCTGGTTTATTCTGGGAAATTTTCTTAGCCCTTGGTTTTGAGTGTGGTCTTGAAAAATCTTCGTTCGAAGGGGTATCTACCCTTTCCCTTAGCCCTACGCCTTCATGCTAAAGAGAATTGGGACACCCCTACCCCTTTATGGGAACGCGCGAAATGAGGGGTAGGGGAAGGGCTAAGGGGTAGAATTGGTATCGGGCCGTAGTTTTTCTCCACTGTGAATTCTCACGTAGACCTCAAGGTTTCCATGTGGAGTGAAATTCCACACAGAGAGATTTTATTTGTAGTTCATTTTTATTTTTTTTAATAAAAAAAAAAATCATTTTATTTATTTATTTAAATTTCATTTAATTTAACTTTTTTAAATTTTATTATTTTTTATAATTATTATTTTAATTTAAATGTTTTTATTTTATAAAAATGTTAATTACTTTTTTATTGAATTTAATCTTTTATTTTTTCGTACTTTATTTTAATTTAATTCAATAAATTTTTTTATTTTTATTTTAAATGTCATTTTATTTTTATTAATTTAAAAACAAAAAATTTACCATAATTTAATTTTTTTATTTAATTTTGATTGTAATTTTTAAAATTTTCATTTAAAGTGAATTCGAGGTCTCCTTTTGTTAGAAACCCCAATACGATGGCAGCTTTAAGGCGTTTCTTCCTTGTGGGATTTATTGTGTCTGGTGAGGCTTACTTTCTGTGTGAAACTCTTCCCGCACTTAGAGCAAGAGTAGGGCTTTTCTCCAGTGTGAACTGTGATGTGAACTTCAAGGTGTGCACCATGACTGAACTTCTTTCCACACAGAAGGCACTTGTAGGGTTTCTTTCCACTGTGAGTTCTCACATGGGCTCCAAAGTGTGGCATTTGATCATAACCCTCTCCACACTCAGGGCATGTGAAGGCTTTCTCTCCAGAGTGAACCTTCATGTGGAACTCCAGGTGTTCGTGCTGACTGAAGCTATCTCCGCACTGCTCGCAGGAGTACGGTTTCTGTTGTTTGTGGATTTTAACATGTCTGGAAAGGCTTAGTTTATAGATGAAACTCTTTTTGCACAGCGGGCATGTGTAGGGTTTCTCTCCAGAGTGGATTCTCATGTGGACTTTGTATTGTCCTACATGAACAAAACTCTTTCCACACTGAGGGCAGGTGTAGGGTTTCTCTCCAGTGTGAATTCTCACATGATCTTTAAGGTGTCCCGTATGATTAAAACCCTTCCCACACTGAAGACAAGAGTAGGGTTTTTCTCCGGTGTGGATTCTCGTGTGAACCTTGAGGTCTCCTGCTTCTTTAAAACTCTTTCCACACTCTTGGCAGGTGTAGGGTTTCTCTCCCGTGTGGATTCTCATGTGGACATTACAGTGTCCCACTTGTCCAAAGCTCTTTCCACACTCAGGGCACTTGTAGGGTTTCTCTCCAGTGTGAACTCTCATGTGATCTCGAAGATATCTTCTTTTATTAAAGCTCTTTCCACACTCTTGGCATGTGTATGTTTTTTGTCCTTGGTGAATCTGAATGTGTCCTGGTAGGTTTACTTTTTGACTGTAAGTGCTTCCGTGTCGTTGATAAATGAGATAACATGTGCTTCCAGGATTTAGTTCTGAGAAAGCCTTTTCAGTGTTTGAACCGTCTTCAGCAATGTAATCATGATCATTGTGAGGTTTCTCTTCCACTTCATTAATCACTTCACTCTCTTCCTTCAGTGGCATCAGATCTAAAGCAGAAAAACATCATTTTATTCCTGTCAGATGTCATCAAAACAGGCACCAACACATTCAGACCAATGACTGTGAAAAATATGGACGACGCGACAGCCCCTTTTCCCATTGAACGCCTTGAGGGCAAAACGCCTGCTTGACGGGCACAAACTGTCGCAAAAGACTGCTGAAATTGGAGCCTTGACATGCGCAGAAGGACTGTCTGATGGAGCCAGAGGAGGAGCCGCGAAAATGAGCAGAGTCGAGCTTCCAACCAAACGCTTTATGTAAAATCAACCACGCCCCCTGAACTTCTCAGCATGCGTTTGCTGTCATATCAACACAAATGGATGTAATAACGTTAACAAATATGAGGGTTTTATATATTCAATCGCGCCAGCTCCAGGCCGCAGCGCATAACCTACTCGCGGCGTCGCGGGCTGATTCCGGCTCGCATGCGACAGCGCCTGCTCGCTCGGCCGCCGCATCTGGCTCGATTGACTCGGGCTGGAATCGGGCAGTGAGTCCAGGCATCCGGAGTAGGTCCAGCAGAGGTAGTCAGTCTGAGCTCTGAGGGGTAAGTCTCCGGCAGGCGAGAATCTAGCCTGAACTGGTCCGAGTGTATTTTGCTCTCTGGGTGGTTAGGCGTGTATCAGCAAACTAATAAAGCCCGAAAAAAGCCCTGACCTTAGCGAATAAACAGTGTTCCACCAGGATCATGTATGTCAGAAACTGTAGTTTACTGCTGAACTCATTTTGTCATGGTAAAATAACACAGAAATCCAATAATAACACTTCAGTCTCCTGCTGAAGCTCAGACGCGCTGCTTTGAGAAACTGTCAATCACAGCTGTCAATCACGATGACACGCCCAGCATTAAATTACTGCTAAAAACAAACTGTTTACAAAAATGAAGATCTGCACCTATTTCAGCACAATAACCAGTGCCTTAATCCACCAGAACTATCTTTCAGGACATTTTATTGCAAGTGTAATATTTTTTTATTTGGGCTCAAGTCTCCTTCATTAACACGGAGGAGGCGGGCTTTATGACTTGTACTGCAGCCAGCCCCCAGGGGGCGATCTAACGGCCGAGACCTTCACTCAAACGCAGGCTTGCGGCACACTTGATTCAGACACCTAATTCATAGATGATGCCTAAAACTGCGTGCACGAATGTCTGGCCAATATCAAACCTAAAACCAGCTTTACTGAGCAAGGAGGGGATTGGTTTTCTAAAGTATTTTGCAGTTCACGCTCCAGGGCTTGTGCAGCTTCCCGAAGCAGCAGAGGAACAGACTTCACCATGTTCATTCTGCCAATTGTCCCAAATAGTCCTCGCTGCAGCTGCAGCTAATCTAATACCCGCCTTGCAGAAACGTCCACCGTATGTGGGCATGGCCAGCCCAGAATGCGTTTTTAATTTCACATCGGCGTTCATTCGTCGCGATGTATTAAATGAAAATGGATTGTTTATTTTTTCATTTTAATTTTGCAGCAAACATTGCACATATGTCTTGGAAAATGCTAGCTGAAATACAGAAATGCCAACGCAATCTCACGACAATTCGTAACGTTTTGATTTAGTGGCTAAATCGTATGAATTTGTACGATCTAATTCGTACAGTTTAGTACGATCTGCTCATCACCCAATGACGGTTGGGGATAGGTGCCATACCTCCTTTTTAAAATTGTACATTTTCGTACGACTAAACTTATACAAATTAGTATGAATTAACCACTAAACTGACTAATCGTAAAATACGTTTCCTCGTGAGATAAGGCTGGAAATACACTGCCATTTAACATATTGCGTTAGCGCTTTGTGGATTACACTTCACAATGAATTTGGCTACACACATCCCACGGTGTTACACTGAAAATGTAATCCTGCGTGTCCTAGACATGAGTGTAAATGCGTTTAAGACAGAGGTGGGCAAACCACAGCCCGCGGGACATATGTTGTACATTTGACTCAAATTATATAATATTTGCTGTTTAAATGTGGTCATTTTTGTCATAGAATACATTTTCCATGCATAAATCCACTTTAAAAAGTTATTTTATCAAAGCCTTGTGGTTTAACAAGTGTTATGACGATTGATCTGTACAATCTAAAAGCAGTGCACATCAGATTAAATAGTAAACTTTAAGAATTATTTTCAATGTCTTAATCTGCGATTTTTTTCTATCAGACAACATCTTTTCTATTCTCTACTGTAAAAACTACTACATTATTATTATATTTTCTAAGGGATTATTTTATTGTTTTAAGATGATTGATAAGTAAATATAAATAGCAGTGCAAATTCATTTGACTCGATAATAACTATACAAAAGAAGTCTGTTTTGTGTTAATGTGACATGTTTCTGTCTGATATTACATGTTTACAAATTACAAATTTCACTGATTTAGGACAAATAACATTTAAATGATCATATTGCTACAGTTTCTGCTTGCACTTTATACTCATATACATATATATATATATATATATATATATATATATATATATATATATATATATATATATATATATATATTTGTGTGTGTGTAAGTGTCTATGCATTTAATTAATAATAGGAATAATAATTCTAGAAAAATAAGAAATGTATTCTTTTTATTAATGTTACACAATTTCAGTTAAATGCTTTTGTTTAATCGGGACATATCCGGAAAATACGGAAATCTGTATTTATACAGACGAATCACATCCCTGTACAACACACATGTGTTTAGACAATGCTGATTTGAGTATTCCATGTTGAAATAAAAAAAAAAACATATAGTATGGTTTGGGCTACTTGTATAGTGAAAACCTGGCAACCCTGCATTCTGTGCACATTAAAAAAAGACTTTAATGAGGATTAGTGTGGATCCAGAGATCTGAATGAGGATCAAATGTTGAGCTTTGAGGATGAAAACCAACCTGTTTGTTCCTCAGGATCTTCATGTTTGACTCTGAAAGCTTCTTCAGTCTCTTCATGTTTGACTGTGAATGTTTCTTCAATCTTGATGTCTTCACTCTCCTCTTTAATAAACGCCATCTTTATAATAATCTGCTGTTCTGTGGGCCAGAATACAGTCAGGATCAAGTCAGTTATTTCCACTGTGGAAAGTTATATAGTATCTGTAAATGCGTGTTGGATATCGAGTATACTCTTTCTCAACAACGTTATATTTATCTATTTTACGATGTTAAATCATTGACAGCATTATCAGAACGACCTACAATGATTTATGAATGTTGTGCACGAACAACTTTAAAAACACGCACCTTCTCCAGACTAACCGCAGAAAACGGGTGAGCGCGGCGCATACTTCTGGCGTCACACGCCGCACAAACATAATAAAAGTCCCGATCTCACACATCATTAAAATGACTTGATATAATCGTGTTACCATTCAAATGCATTACAACTGTTAACATTTGTAATTTTTAAAAGAGAAAAAGTCACCTAAAGACCAAAGCCACAACATTTTAATTTTTGTATAATATAAAAAAAACTACAATAAATCTACAGAGGCTGTTCATCTGTATTTGGACACTGGTAACTAATATTGAATATAGGTCCATCTTACATTTGTTTGTCCAAGTGCTGCATTGTCACTCATGGAGTTGTGACTGGAATACACATGATAACGAAGCCGCAATACATCAAGAAACCCTCTGCAGCAGAGTTCACACTGATTGTCTTCCGTGACAGGTGAGGATTCCCTCAAGTAGAGCAGATATTGATGAAACACATACAAACATTAAAGCTAAGAGGACATTTTGAGACGTTAACGTTGGGCAACCAGGAAAAGTTAATGATGCCAGTGTTTTAGTTTCTCTTCACTCTTTGATCGTGGTGGTAGTGGAACCCTTCAGCCGACCTGGACTGACACATTTGAGGAAGTTCATATGCCACTTTTTGGCTGATGAAGCCTTATCCTGAGGCAAGAGGAGTAACACCTGAACAGATCAGCTTCAGCCACCGCTTAAAAATCAAGCTCCGATGACCAAACTGCATTGGATATTAAAGAGAACTTCTATTTAAGTGAGCCAGTAGTTGCTCTGCTACAACTTTTTTCAAGCACTTTGACACAACTGGTGTGATGCTTTTAGGCCGATAACTGCTGATTTGCTGTTTGTCACCTGATTTAAATAGAGGTGTTATTAATGCTGCAACAGGAGAAATGCTGTCATTTATAGATTGATTTATCATTATTGTTAGAGGAACGCCTAACACAGAGGTCAAACTCGGTTCTGGAGGGCCGGTGTCCTGGAGAGTTTAGCTCCAACCCCAATCAAACACACCTGCACGGCTAATCAAGCTCTTACTAGATATACTAGAAACTTCCTGGCAGGTGTGTCAAAGCAAGTTGGAGATAAACTCAGCAGGACACCGGCCCTCCAGGACCGAGTTTGGACACCCCTGGTCTAACATATCTTTATATCTGTTTAGAAAAGCAGTATTAAGGCCATAGACATCTTTTGCTCTACTTTTATTCATTGTGGAAATTATTTCATCCGTTTGATCCAAAGAAAATACTATTGGTTTGCATTTAACAACACACCCACCTGAACACACCTTATTTCAGAGCAGCAATCAGATGTGGCAGTGTGACTGGACATGAAACCAGCATATAAAGCACTTGTGCTACTGTGCCAGGTGTATGTTAGGTCCCTTTAGGTTTATACAAGATCTGAAATCAAACACTCGCTGCTTTATGCTCACACTGAAAGAGTTCGTTCAGAGTTTTTGCGTCTCTTTGTTGGTACAAGTCAACATGCAGTGTGATGTTTTGTGAACTCCAATCCAAGAAAGAGGACAGATAAGTGTCAGCTTCACCCAGCCATGGGAATATAATGACGTTCTGCAGGAGAAGAACAATACCTGCCCCATTTTCAGCACAGAAACGCACACAAAAGGCCCTGCCCATGCTCTGCAGGAGGAGGCATCTGTGCTGCCTTTATAGGCAGGACTACAGGATTTGGTGAGAACTCATTTTCCAGTCTTTCAGTTGAGAGACAGCAGCAGAAATGAAAGGTGAGTCTAACTGTATACTTAATTATAATTCAATTAAGTCAATTTGGATTAAAAAATGTACATAAAATTTAATCTAACTGTGCAAATTTAGTTGCGGTCATTATGTTAGATGTATAGACCATTTCACTGTGGTAATGTCCCATGAACATCTCCTGCTTGTTGTCAAACTATTTCATATCGACACCAAGATGCAATTCAACCACATCATTAAAATAGCTGTAATAATAGCATTATCAATATGCAGACCTTCGTGGATTCTCAGAAGCTATGGACATTAATAATGTAAAACAGGAAAAACGTTAGCACCATTGTTATTATTTACATCCCTCAAGATGGTCTATATATCAGTTATATTTATTGGTGTACAGGAGTGTCAGGATGATAACTTTGTTTTCTTTGTTTTAGCCGTTGTTCTCTTAAGCGTTTTGGGATGCGCACTTGCACAAGAAAGATTGTTTTCGTGGAGTGATCCGGGACAACCTATTCAGCCTGACCCAACAGATAACGGTGACAAAACTAAAACAAAACATGCATTTAAAATGTTCTGTAACACTTTCCAATAACAGTGCATGAATAACCATGTACTTATAGTTAAACTAATTATGTCAATGTAATAAACTAATGATGAGTGCTAATAAATTAATTACTTGTTAGTACTGGTAGCTTACTAATGTTATTGCAATATGGATCTATGAGATTAAATATTAATTAAAGTGCATCTTGACCAACATTAATTTATGACCATTAATGCAGGGGTGTTTCAGTTCCTGAAGAGCCGCAGCTCTGCACAGTTTAGTTCTGACCCTGCTTCAACACTCTTACCTGTGGGTTTCAAACAAGCCTGAAGGACTTAATTAGTTTGATCTGCTGTGTTTAACTAGGGTTGGAACTAAACTGTGCAGAGTTTTGGCCCTCCAGTTTGTGTTAATGTGTCATTATGTCATGACTTTACTTGGAGAGGAGCACATTATAATTAATTAATTAATTATTAACTAATAAATAGCTCATTATTAACAACTCGTAAACTCCTGTGATTAAACTGTTCATGAGAATAATAAGAGTTTTTTGTTCAGACATAATTAATACACTAGATTTATTTTCATAATTACAAGCAGGGCCGGCGCGTCCATAGAGGTGACCTAAGCAGCTGCCTAGGGCGGCAGTATAGAAAAGGCGGCGTCCGCGACACCTCCCTTACCACCCGTGTCCTCAGTTATGTCCGCGACAGCTCCCTTACCACCCGCCCTCACCACCCGTGTCCTCAGTTATGTCCGCGACAGCTCCCTCACCACCCGTGTCCTCAGTTATGTCCGCGACAGCTCCCTCACCACCCGTGTCCTCAGTTATGTCCGCGACAGCTCCCTTACCACCCGCCCTCACCACCCGTGTCCTCAGTTATGTCCGCGACAGCTCCCTCACCACCCGCGTCCTCAGTTATGTCCGCGACAGCTCCCTCACCACCCGCGTCCTCAGTTATGTCCGCGACAGCTCCCTCACCACCCGCGTCCTCAGTTATGTCCGCGACACCTTCCTCACCACCCGCGTCCTCAGTTATGTCCGCGACAGCTCCCTTACCACCCGTGTCCTCAGTTATGTCCGCGACAGCTCCCTCACCACCCGCGTCCTCAGTTATGTCCGCGACACCTTCCTCACCACCCGCGTCCTCAGTTATGTCCGCGACAGCTCCCTCACCACCCGTGTCCTCAGTTATGTCCGCGACAGCTCCCTCACCACCCGTGTCCTCAGTTATGTCCGCAACAGCTCCCTCACCACCCGTGTCCTCAGTTATGTCCGCGACAGCTCCCTTACCACCCGCATCCTCAGTTATGTCCGCGACACCTCCCTCACCACCCGTGTCCTCAGTTATGTCCGCAACAGCTCCCTCACCACCCGTGTCCTCAGTTATGTCCGCGACACCTCCCTTACCACCCGCATCCTCAGTTATGTCCGCGACACCTCCCTCACCACCCGTGTCCTCAGTTATGTCCGCGACACCTCCCTTACCACCCGTGTCCTCAGTTATGTCCGCGAAGCTCGTGGCAGATGCACCCAAGAGGTTTGGTGATTGGCTGAATATTAGTTCTCTCTATATCTCGTTTTATCTAAGTAACAACTCAGAGAATACAGGTGGAAATATTGTTGCTACTAAAAAAAAGTGTGCAGGAGTCGGGGGAACAGAATCCAGGGCCGGAGCAAGCTGAACTGCTGGTCTAGGCAAAGGACGGTTGTGCCGCCCTCAACCCTAAAGTGAAAGCGAGGGGGGGGTGTCGAGGAAGCTGTCGCGGATGCTGCCGCCCTCTCTATTTTGCCGCCCTAGACGCGGATATAACTGAGGGCGCGGGTGGTGAGGGTAGTGTCGCAGACGCCGCCCTAGACGCGGATATAACTGAATATTCTGAATAACTAATGTATTCTGCCGCCCTAGGCACCCGCCTAGGTCACCTCTATCGGCACGCCGGCCCTGCCTGTCTCTTAAGTAAGGGGCACCTGCCCCTCTCGTTTACTTCAGTTGCTACGCCCTTGGAGGCTGGAAATATTCACATACTGCTGACACACAACTGTGTTTAAACCCCTTATAAAAGAGATCTTTGCATAACAGGTGCCCGTTAAGAATGAGTTAATAATAATGTGCCCCTCCAAGTAAAGTCATTACACAATGGTACATTAACAGGTAACGAGCTCATGTTGGTCAAGATGCACTTTAGTTTAATATTGTTCTTCAGTGAGTGAGTTATATTTACCTTAGACTAAAGTGTAAATTAACTCATGAGCTGCTGTGTGTGTGTGTGTGTTTTGCTGTAGCGTGTGTGACGGATGTGGCGTCCTGCGGCTGCTGTCTGATGCAGAAGCAGATGTGGAAGATGGAGAGTTTCTTCAACATGAGCTTAAATGAGCTGCAGCGTGGCCTGGACCGAGCTCACGCTGTGCTCAACAACATCCGAGGTGAGATCTGAGGCTATTGTGTGTCTGTCTTCTGTTTCCTGAAGTTCACAGTTCGTTGTTTCCCATTGCTTGTGTTTTGTCCAGTGAGTCGCAGTGCTTTCTCTGTGGCCCTGACTGACTCTCGCCTCTGCGTCGGCCCGAACCGTGAAGACTCTGTGCTGAAATATGGGAAGGTGTTCATTAATCTGGGCGAGGGCTACAACAGCAGCAGCGGCGTCTTCACCGCTCCGCGCTCTGGAGTCTACAGCCTGGCCCTGACGCTGTACAGTGACTCTGGGTCTGCGGGGTCCGTGCTGGCGGCCTGCGCTCGACTGCGGCTGAACGGACGCACCATCGCCTCCCCGACCGAAAAGAACACTCAGGACCAGGAGGACAGCGCTAGCGCTCTGTTAGCCGTGCAGATGCTTGCCGGAGACCATCTCGATGTTTCTCTGCCGGCCGGATGCTTTCTGTGTGACGATAACAACCACTACAACACCTTCACCGGCTTCCTGCTCTACTCTACTGATTAACACGAGGAGAACTGCTGTCTGTCGCACATCATGCACAACTACAGATGAAGATATGATCAGTTTAAGGCACTCGAGAAGGGGAAGTGTTCTGGAATTAAAAATGCTTTTCTTTGTTTGAGTTGTTGTCTTGTGTCTAGTCTAAACATCTGAAGATTCTTAAATCAAGAAGCTTTTTCTAGACTAGTGAAACATTTTGTGTCTTGTTTTCAGTCAAAATGAATGAGTTTTTCATTAAAACAAGCAAAATAATCTTATTTTGAAATACGACTACTTTGCACACCCCAATGGCAGATTGTTCTGCTGCGTGTTTTATTTAGGAATGTTTAGACATTTGGACCTGAAACACTGTTAAAAAAAGCATGGTTTTACACAATTCCTTTAAGTTGTACAAACACAACTTGATTATCATTTGTACAAATTTAAGTGGATTGAACATAAAACAAGGGACGGCACGATGGCCTCACAGTAAGAAGGTTGCTTTGTTGCTTTGAGTTGATCTCGATTCTGTCGACTTTTGATGTTTAACAAATCAACTGTGGTTTTAAAAAGTCACATTTATTGAGATCATATATACACTGCACAATATGCTTTTCCTGCTTAGAGTTTGTGTCTGGGTTCTTTCTCTTAAATTATTTTCTCAATTTCTCTAGAGAAGCACAAAATATTGTCCCATTTTCAGAAATAAAGAGTCAAAATAAAGAGAGATTCTTCCTAAAACAAGCAAATTAATCTGACAATGGAGCAAACAAAATAATCTAGTTTTTCTTTTTGACATAACTTTACACATTTTTTTTTGCAGGATATATAATTATGTCTGTAAAATAACAGAAACTGGCAGTTTATTAACACATTTTTTGGCTCCATAATACACAACACCAACCCAGACAGCCAATACATCACTTCAAACCAGGAGTGGACTGGCCATAGGGAGCACCGGGACATGTTCTGGGAAAACTTCCAGGCAAAATTACTGTCCCAGTGCCTTCCGCTTCAAATCATCACAATTGTCAATAAAAATAAGATTTTTATACTTTAAAACATCAAATTTTGTAGTAAAGATATAATAATTCAGTTCAAACACTTCAAAAATGATTTTCTTACTTAGATTTTTTGTTTTGTTTGTAGTCCAAATATCTAAAAATCTTAAATCAAGAAGCATTTTCTAGACAAGCAAAACATCTGGTTTTAATAAATAATATGACAAAAATTAAGTGTTTAGCTTTAAGTGAATTTTATTTATAAACTAATTTGGAGAGGATCATGTGCTTATGATTGTTCACAGCTGTTCCAACTTTAGCTAATTACTAATTATCCGATCAGACGATTCTTAACTCACTATAAATAACCAGACTTTTCTCATCTCAATATCTTCGTCTTGAAGAACCCCACCCCCCACCCCACCCAATCCTACTTTCCCTCCTTTCAAACGGGCGTCACGGTGGTCAGCGATTAGCGCTGTTGCCTCACAGCAAGAATGCCCCTGGTTTAATCCCCTTCCAAGCCAGGCGACATTTCTGTGCGGAGTTTTGCTCGTTCTCCCCGTGATCACATGGGTTTTCCCCGGGTCCTCCGGTTTCCTCCCACAGTTCAAAAACAAGCACCGTAAACAATTAATCCAAAATATTTTAGCTAAACTCTGAGTACACCTTTCAGCATCCATATCTGAAACTTAGCTACAATAAGCAGAAGGGGGAGTCATCGAGATCTACCTGAGCTCAAACTCCCCTCTCGCCTTGCAACAGGAGGGAGCCCAGGGCTCGAGGATCTTATAAGCTCAGGGCTCTCTCCTGGGACAGCATGCTAAACACGCTTTATTATCAATCATCAGCTGAGTTTGAACTCTTGAAAACAAGCAAAATAATCTGAAAAGAAAATAATCCTGTCAAACGGAAAAAAACAAGATTATTTTCCCTCCGCCACTGGCAGATTATTTTACTTGTATTAATGAAAACTTATTTAATTTTGCCATATTATTTCTTAAAACAAGACATTACATTTTGCTTGTCTAGAAAATGCTTCTTGATATTAGAATTTTAGATATTTGGACTAAAAACAAAACAAAAAATCTAAGCAAGAAAAGCATTTTTGCAGTGAATAGGCAAAAAGAAAACAGAAAACTGATCATTTACGGATGTGTTTAAGACATGAACAGTTTCTGTATTTTGTGTTTATTTGCAGTGGTGAGATGCATTATGGGATGTTGATCTCTGCTCTGTCCTCTTCTGATGATGTAAATTCAACTAAATGTGAAATGACAATATAATAACATGTCTGAAAATAACAGACAGTTTTCACACTTTACAATAAGGTTTCATTAGATAATGTATTTACTATTGATAATTCATAATCATAATTCAGCATTTACTAATGCACTCTTACAAGTGCAAGTTCATGCTTGTTATCATTAGGTAACTCACAGAGTTAACATGCACGAACAATGAACGGGTCACGGAGCAGCCCGGGTCAACTCCAGACTTCCCTCTCTCCATTCCTCCAGCTCCTCCAGGGGGATCCCGAGGTATTCCTAGGCCAGCTAAGAGATAAAGTCTCTCCAGTGTGTCCTGGGTCTTCCCCGAGGCCATGCCTGGAACACCTCCCTAGGTAGGCGTCCAAGAGGCATCCAAAACAGATGCCCGAGCCACCCCAGCGGTCTTCTCTGGATGTGGAGGAGCAGCGGCTCTAGCCACCCTGGACGGCTCTGCCACCCTGCCAAGGAAACTCATTTCGGCCGCTTGTATCCGAGATCTTGTCCTTTCAGTCATGACCCAAAACTCATGACCTTAGGTGAAAGTAGGAATGTAGATTGACCAGTAAATCGAGAGCTTTGCCTTTCGGCTCAGCTCCTTCTTTAAAATAACAGACTGATGCATCAACCGCATTACCCATAAAAGTTATGAACAGAATTGGTGACAAGGGGCAGCCCTGCCGAAGTCCAACATGCACTGCAAACAAGTCTGACCTATTGCCGGCAATGCGAACCAGACTTCTACTCCCAGAGCACCCTCCACAGAATGCCATAAACACTGTAATAAATGTATTGTTCATGTTAGTAAAAGCATTAACATTAACTAATGCAACCTTATTGTGAAGTGTTACCGCAGTTTATTACACGGCTTTTGTAGCATAACATTCAACACCAATGCAGACATTATCGCACTGCAATCTATTGAACACGTCAATAAAAGTCAAGCTTAAAAGATACTATAAGATTAAGATGCCATAATGCAACCCAAAAGAAGAAATAGACGGGGAGAAATAATAAATGAAACCATGAATCACCAAATATGGATGTTTTTACAGTACAAAACAGTGATCTTAGATTGGCATCTTCCTCTACACCCTCTTCTGAGAATCAGGACACTGAATCCTGCATCCGCCTCTAGATTGGGACAGATGATTCTCCACGTGTAGCACTAACAGAGAAATAACAACACAGGAGCAATAATGCTATCATGATCTGCAGTCCACGAGGAGCTGACGGACACAACACGCATCCGGGAGAGAAACACATCACTGCGGGTATCGCTGACATGATTATCTTTTCATGCTCTGACACAAATGAAGCTGTCCCAGATTGAGTCTTTATCTGTGCTGTTATCAGGTGTTGGATGCGGCTCCACCCTCCGCATAAAGCTCTATTTACTGCAGGACTTTTGTTTTTCAGTCCACTCCGCTCCTCTGCTCCTGATCACAGTGAGTATCTGCATTATATCCATTAACAACATGCTCTGTTTACAACATGTTTGAAAATATCTCAAAATTCTTGAATCAAGAAGCATTTTGTAGACAAGTAAAATATATTGACTTGTTTAAAAAAAAAAAAAAAAAAATATATATATATATATATATATATATATATATATATATATATATATATATGGTCAATTCCATGAAAATGTCAACCTTATCATGAAAAAATAAACTTTTGACCAAAATAACAAAACCTATTTAAATTTGCTCATTAAGGTCTATATTTTATTGTAATGATGTGCTCTTGTTGAATTTTTAAGGAAATTGGTTTGTTTATCCATGAAATATGAGGATTGTGCCAATGGTAAATTTCATTATAATCCAACCACATTTCGTGCTTTAGAAAAAGGGATTAAAGACTCACCTTTTCCATGCTTTATGTTAACAGTAATCATTCTGCAGAAGGATTGGAGTCTGTAGTATAAATAATTACCCTTACTTTTTCATAACATTACTGCCCTTTTGATTTATGAGCTACATATTTAAGACATCACGCAGCTTCGGTCACGTGTCACGTCCGTAACGATTTAATGAAAAAGTTTATATTGTGGAATAAATATTATAACAAATAAAATGAAACTTTGTATACAAAGCCAAAATATGTCCATACTAATTATGATCGCCAACTCATCTCAGGTCTTTGCTTTAAACAACTACAATTTTGCGTTACGGACGTGACCATTTTTGAACTCCTTATTAATATAAGCCAATGACTAGCGCATATTTGTTCATTATGATGCTGCATTACAATTACTGACTTACATTACATAACATCCATATGTTATATCAAGAACTGAACATTTCAGTCAGCTATAAACCATTTTAGTAACATTTCAAAAATAAATGTTTAATAAAGAGAACAACATTTTACATGCCATAATCTTGGCGCATAATCTTGGTGTTTTGGCGATGCAGCACCTAAGCACTTCTTGTTTCTTTTGTAGATAGGGTAACTGACCGTCAAATAATAGATCAAATAGTTAAGATACAATTTATGCCAAACTAGGAATGCTGATTTCGATTCATTTTGCCAATCAACAACCGCTCGTTAAGCGATATTAACCGTAACAGATTAATATCAAAATATTATTTAATAAAAAAAAATTTGACGTGCCTATTTTGTCTGACACATTAAATATTGCATTTTAAAATACGGATTTGGGTTATTTTAACATGCAAACAGCATACAGAAGGAGCATCTTCACGCACCTGCAGTGTTTTTTAACAGCACAGAATAACTGAATAAACTAACAAAAATAATAAAATAAATCCTGCTCTAAACCTTTTTACTTAAATGACAAATTAAGATTACAAAACAAAAACATGACTGAATGCTTTTTAAGAATCGGCATAGACTGTTTGTCCAATCGTGTTTTTTTTTTCTTCCGTCAATTAAAAAATATTAGGCTAGCTCAAATAGATTGCTTTACGGAAAAAATGCATTCAATTAATGCTCCGCTGTTATAATATTACAAAGCCTGTCAACATTTTTAATAGAAGTCATTTTAAAGATTATGTCTTAATTATGATTTATTAGCCTATTTCCTCTGTCTTACTTGCGGTTCATGTGCGCGCGCGCGCTGAGTATAAGGAAAGATAATGACAATGAACCATAAGGCTTTGAACCTATACTTTTTGTTAAATATAGGCTAAGGATATAACAATTTTGTTATTTACATGTGATACTGTATTAATTTGCATACATGTTTTATAAGCTGTTGAGTTTATGACGCGGCTCCAGGCTGCACAGACGACCAGCATCAGCGCTGGTTCGTCAACTCCTGTGTCAAACTGTGGCCAGAATATCCTTCTTTCATTTTGCTTCTTTGGCAAAATACATCTGTAAGCACGTGTTTGCACGTGTTACTGTTCTGCGAGTTAACAAATATGTGTTGCTCATAGAGGCCGATCACAACGAACGCGCTTTTTCATTCCATAGACGTGGGGCGCTCCGCAATGCATTTTATATTAAAAAGAAAAAAAGGAGCACGGTGCTCTTTTGTATGTCACTATTGGTAACAACTGAATCAGCTGGTCTATTGTGCGCTAATGTTGCTGTCAATGTTGTCATAATTTAATTTTTAAAATAATATTATGAAATTCAAGATTTGTAAAGTCATACAACTTTGGATGACTTAAAAGAGCGACCACAAGTCTTTACTCCGTTATTAAAAAGTTCGCCGTATCTTGACTACACACTTTGTCACCTCAAAGGAAACCCCGCCTCTGCTTTCATTTGATTGAAGAATGAAAGACGCCACTGAGGTAACATGCTTTTCCTCTGGAGCTCACAAAGCGGGCAATGGCAAAACGCGAGGCGCGCATGCAGGGCGCTAAATCAATAACCTCCATGCATTTGGTCTTTTACCATTGCTCAAAATGCGCACGCCGTGGGTCAGGATGCAGGCACTTGCACAGGCCACAGCGGAGTTTTCATTTCATGCAGAGCATAAATATGTTTTTTTATTTTATTAATTAAATAACTATTTATAAAGATAAATTATCATAGCGACACAATTAATTTTCCAAGCCCTTTATCCAAAATCTAAGCACTTTCAAAGCTGGAAAATAGGCTATAGCCTACATTAAAATGAAAACATTTTCAAAGATTTCAAGCACCCGGCAAATGTGCTTGAGTGCTTATTAAAATTATTTTACAGGCGGCAAAATAAGAATAAAATCTTGATATTGATCTAAGCTTTAACTACATTATAGGAGTATTTAATTTGTTAGTAAATCGATAGCACCTGCAGCTGTAATGTCATTCAATGTTTTACACAATCGGTTATAAACTATAGCCTAAAAATATAAACATTATAGTCATCCATCGTACATGCCTGCAATTAATGGCTATTTTCCACAAAACCTTTCATAATAAAGTTTTCTCTCTCATCCTGGTCCTCTGTTTAAATTTTTTCAACCTGTCCTGAAGTGACTGCCGACGAGAAAAAGAAAGCAAGCGCGAGTGGACAAATTAAGCTATTTATTCAATCGACTAACACATTAACTAGAATAAACTAAAATAAACTTTGTCAAATATAATATTGCCATAACTGTGACACAACTAGATTTTGAATATTCGCCACGTAGACACGGTCTTGCGCACTAACAGTCGGGCAATGATTCAATTCAAGTTTGTCTGGAAAGGAGCCCGATAAACATATAGGCCTATTATAGCTGATTATGTTTATTATCAATTCTATATTATTCAGAGAATAAAAGCACCATGTTAGCATGCACCACTGTTTCCGAATTGAGTTTTGAACATTCGAACGTGCGTTAACCTTTAACAACACACATGCCATAATACGAATTAAATATAACAAGGTGATATCTATTAAAGTTTGATAAATTGTGCAACCTTACCATTCAGATGTCTCAGAGGTTAAAGTTTATTGGTTTACACACCCAACAGATATCCATAAATAGGTCTTTTGTCAAGTTTTGAAAGCATTTATCTGATTTTCATAATGTGTCAACTGTCAATTTCAGAGCAGTCACGTCCGTAACGAAGACAAGTCACGTCCGTAACGATAGTATTTCCTCATTAATGCAAAAATGAAAAAGTAAATAAAATGAATTATATATGTCCCATGCAGAGCCAACCCTTATCCTTTTGACTGTTATAAATATTTTTGGCTTCTGCATTTTTATTCACAGAATTTTAACCAAGTATGTCAACTCACAAAACTCATGTCTTTTTTTTGTCACGTCCGTAACGCATTCATTTTGCCGTCATTTTAAATATAAAACACCTGCATAGACTGATATTTTTTTGATGCCTAAACTCCATGGTTAAGGGGTAATAAAAATATAAACAGATATTTCAATATTCTGTTAACATATACCTTCTCTGAGAATATACGTTTCATTTTTTTTCTGCAAATGTCACGTCCATAACGCTGGAATCAGCCATATATATATATATATATATATATATATATATATTATTTTTTTCCAATAAAACAAGCCAAATAATATTGTTTTTGCTTTTAAATAATATTATTATACTTTATTATTATACCCCAATGTATAATCTAAAGATGTATAATAAAGATGTTCGGTGACCAAACTCTTATTTTAATGGATAAAACTGCTGAATAAAATAGTTTTGTTTAAATGCACTAAATATTCACTGAGAATGGATAAAAATAAAATGTATGCTGAGTGATACACACTACCGGTCAAACGTTATGGGTCAGAAGGATTTATAAATATGTTAAAATAAGCTTCTCCTGCTCATCAAAGCTGCATTTATTTAATCATAAATACAGTAAAAACTGTGAGATGTTATTGCAGTATAAATAACAGTTCAGAAGTAGTTTATAATTTAATTTAATCATTTATTCCAGTGATAATAAATTTTCAGCTTCATCACTTCAGTCGTCACATAATCCTTCACAAATCACTCTAATATTAGTTAATAATAATGATAATGGTAATTTATTAAATTAATGGTCATTTAAAAAATGCCGCCTTGATGAACAGAATGAGCTTCTTTAAAAAAAAAAACTGACCGCAAACTTTTGACCAGTAGTGTGTTTACCAGATTATTTCAGTGTTGTTTTTAAAGAATATTAGTCTGTTCATCAAGGCGGCATTTATTACATGTAATTCTTTTTTTTTATTTGTTAAATATTCATAAAAATTTGTATTGAAATAGTTATTGCTCCTGTCATTATTATTAGCAATAATAATAATAATAATAATAATAACAATAATAATAATAATAATAATATCAATAATAATCATGGTGGGGCAGTGGGTAGCATGATCACCTCACAGCAAGAAGGTCGCTGGTTCGAACCTCGACTGCATCACTTGGCATTTCTGTGTTAAGTTTGCATGTTCTCCTCGTGTTGGCGTGGGTTTCCTCCACAGTCTGAACACATGCACTATAGGGGAATCCAATAAGCTAAATAAGTGTGTGAATGCAAGAGTGTATGGGTGTTTCCCAGTGATGGGTTGCAGCTGGAAGGGTATTCCCAATTCAGTATAAATAACCAAAAGCATTTTACCTTAGTCATTTTCGTCTTGAAGAATCCTTCCCTCCACCCCCCTCTCCTCCTCTCTTTCCTCTATAGGGCAGCACGGCGGCCCAGTGGCTAGCACTGTGGCTTCACAGCAAGAATGCCTCCTCTCTGGGTCTCTACCCGGCCAGTTGGCATTTCTGTGCGGAGTTCATGTTCTCCCCGAGCTCGCGTGGGTTTTCTCCGGGTCCTCTGGTTTCAATCCAAAACATGAGACATAAGTAAATCACCTAAACCAAATAGTCAAACTCCACCAGCAGCTCACCCTTAAGCAGCAGGGGCAGTATTGACAGGCGGGTGACATTGAAATGCTCTGTAGAGAGGGAGAATGTAATCAAACACCCTGCAGTGATGATGCACAATGTGAATTTGTGAATGCGTTGTGTTCTTCAGGGCGGTGTTGTTCTGCAGTGTGAGGATGAAGACTCTTGTGTGTGTCTGGATGATGATCTGTCTCTGCTGCTGTGCTGAAGCCGCGGCCTCTGACCTCCTGCGGGACAGTGCTGGTGAATAATAACAACACCATTATTGTCTGATTGATATGCAGAGGACGTGTAAATCATGAGCCCTACTGTGACATTTTAATGATTTATAAATCATTTCCCAAGTGCATTTAAAACATATCAGAGGGGGAAAGCCCCGCCCACTATTGACAATCTCTCCATCTCATTAGCATCTCCAGCAGCCATTAGAGTGTTTGAGCTGCTGAAGATAATGTCAGCATAGACTACAGGAGCCACATAGACTGACAGAAGCATCAACACACACTGAAGCACACACACACACACACCTGACCAGCACTCACAACACACACACTGCTGTTTACATTATCAAAGCGGGGACGCACAGGTATCTGTAGCTCCGCCCTCTTCTGAAAAAAGCACAATCTCATTTGCGTTTAAAGCGACAGTCACCAAAACACCACAATTAGGATCACAGCCTGAAAGGGTCCAGCTTCAGAGAGCTGGAGAACATTATCTGTGCGCTATTCTCAGCTCAAACACAAACACACAGCTTTTTTTGAACAACTACTAATAACAATTTTGAATAACTCATTTATTTTGACTTTGCAATGATGACGGTACCAAATATTTCAGTTATTTTGCAAGACACTAGTAATCAGCTTGAAATGCACTTTAAAGGCTTAACTAAGTTAATTAGCTTAATTTGCCAAGTTAATGTAATTAGGCAAGTCATTGTATGACAGCGGTTTGTTCTGTACACAATCCAAAATATATTGCTTAAGGGGGCTAATAATATTGACCTTAAATAAATACACTTAAACTTAAATTGACCTTAAATTAATATTGACCTTGTTTAAAAATCACTAAACGAAATATGATAGGACATATATGAACATGTCCCTGGTCTGCTAAACATCTATTAGGAAACATCTGAAAAGGAATAAATATTTCATAGAGGGGTGAATAATTTTGACTCCAACTGTAAATCCATCTTCTAAGATACGGTTGATCCGTTATCTGTACGGATCACAACCCACAGTTCAGAACGCACGTGACCCGCGGATTAATTACTTTTTTGAACTTGTTGGTTAATCCAGTATTTATAACAAATGCAGAGAGACCTTTTGAGAGCATTTTGGCTTTCCTGTAAAATATAATGATGATGGGAAAAGTTGATGTTGGTGGGACCTAAATGCCTTTTTAGGTTAATAAATAAAAGTGTTTTCTGTCACTGTTTGTTTAGTCTGCTTTAATGCATTGAGTGTGAAGCTGCACAATTAAACATTACAAGAATGTGATCTCAATTCAAACCCACGCAACATGAATGCTAAATGATAATGATTTGCATTTGGTTATTAATTTTTCTAAGCGCTGCATTCTGATCTGATCTGATCGAGAGAGATTCAGTTTTGACACTTTTTTTTATCTCGTTACAAGCAGGTACTGGGAGAACAGTTTATAGCTCAGATACAAACACGGATGTTTATGGCAAAGTTTAAAATCACCGTTTAATGGAACTTGACGCTGGTGAATGTTGTAGCATTTACATTGTGTCAGCAATGGGTGGCGACAAACAACCATCAACATTATGGGCTCTATTTTGACGGTCCATGCGCAAAACGCAGAGCGCAAACGCTTTCAGGGCGTTTCAGAACACTTTCAGAACACATTTTTGCTAATTTAAGGACGGGAAATCTGCTTTGCGCCGTGGCGCATGATCTAAAAGGGTTGAGTTTATTTTCTTTATGAGTTATAGGTGTGTTTTGAGAATAAACCAATCAGAGTCTCATCTCCCATTCCCTTTAGAAGCCAGCTGCGTCGCACCATAAGCGCATTCGCTATTTACAGGACGTAAAGTAAGTGGAAAAACTGAGCATTTCACAAGCAAACATTTAACAGTTTTTTTAACAGAAACAGTTAAACAGAGCATCTACTGCGTGAGAATGAGAGATAATGGATCTACTTTCACTTTCACTCTTGGATAGGGAAACCTTTACACACAGACATCATCAATTAGTCTATAATTATTAATTTTGTTTGTTAAGTGCAGATATTTGTTTCAAAGCTATTTCTAAATTCAGTTCTGATTTCCAGCAAACGAATAAATGAACAATAATAATGAAGTGTGCTCAAAAACCTGAGTTATATCCTAAAACACATGCTGTGCCCCATATGGTCTAAAACCTGACAGGTGGGCAAATCTAAGCTTGTTTTTAATAAAACAAATATAAATATGGATATAATAAATAATACTGCTAATAATAATAACATTATACAAAAGCAAATTGTTATGAATGAACTGAAAAAGCCTCCCGAGATGAAGAAGGCATAAAAGCAGTGATTTTTCATATTTATGTCGGCTAGAAAATAATATGTTTTGTAATATTTTAATCCTCTATATTTATATTCTATATCTATTCTTATTATATCCTATATATATCCTTAATATTTAATGTTTTCATATGTAAAGATATTTGCCTATTGCTCTCTTGTGTGTGTATTAAGCAGTGTGTAAGCGAGGTGCAACTCTGCGCTGGAGTTTAGAGCGATTTTGTTTTGGTCTAATGAAAAATCTATTATAGATTCTCAAAATAGCAACGCGCCAGCCGTCCACCTCAGAACACCTTCCTTTTTAGAGCAGAACGCCTATGGGTGCACAAATGAGCGCTAATGCATTTGCTATTTAAACAGCGTAGCGCAACGCCTCAAAACCACTCTTGCGCCAAGCTGAAACTAGCAAAAGACTACTGCGTCACGTCTTGAGCCACACTGCGCCGGGTGTATGACAGGGCCCACTGTCACTCAATGGGTTTTCAAAAAAGATCCACCTAAAATCAGTTTTCTGTGTGAATTGTTGAATCATTAATTGAAAATAAATGATCTGTTGTACAAGATGTTAGATTTCTCTATTTTTTCAGCTGGTTCTTTCTTGATTTTTAGTTTTATTAAATTACAGCTTCTCAGTTCTGTCTGTTAAATCCAGTGGGTTTTGCAGTAATATTTTTTGTATAAATGGAACGCAGTTGACATTTGTCTCCTCCCTTTTTTGCTTATATGAAAAATGGTTCGATCCATGACTCGAAAACCGTAGTGTGATCCGAACCGTGAGATTTGCGATCCGTTACAACCACGACCATCTTCTGCTGCTACTGAACTGTGTTCCTGTCTCCTGTTCTGCAGTGAGCTGGCTGGGAGCTCTGCCGTGCGGCAGCTGGGACTGTGAGTGTGCGTTCAGTAAACTGCAGGGCTGCTGCTGTGTCTCCAGCGCTCTGGATGATCTGGAGCAGGCCACCTTCATCCGCATGATGGGCTTATGGGACGGCCTGATGCGCCTCAACACACAAGTCCAGGACATCACAGGTATGAACACTATGCTCACTTCAGTTCACAGGCGGCCATACATCGTGCCATTTTTAATCAAGTAAACTAATTTTGCACCATTTTTTCCCCTTAAAGTCTTAAATAAAAAAATCAATAACACACTAAAAACTCTTAAAAACTTTGAATCCAGATCTGATTCTGATTAAATCAAAACTGGCTCTTATTTTTATATATGTGTATAGTAGTTCTTGTTTTAAACGATGCATCTGTGCTCTTCACTGGTCTTCAAAATCTGTAATCAAGTATCATAACCTTCCTGTCCTCCTTGAAACGACTTTTCTTCACCTCTGGTCACCTGTAATGTTTTTAGGGTGGGGCTATTAGTCATTTAGGGTGGAGCTATCTGTGCTTTAGGGTGGAGCTATCAGTGCACTCAGTTGTGCTTGAATTCACTCACTTCATTCACTCCTTCAAGTGGACTATACTAGTGCACTACTGTGGGGAATAGTGAATGAGGGTACAGGGGAGCAAGTTCATTCATTCATTCATTTTCTTGTCAGCTTAGTCCCTTTATTAATCCGGGGTCGCCACAGCGGAATGAACCGCCAACTAATCCAGCAAGTTTTTACGCAGTGGATGCCCTTCCAGCCGCAACCCATCTCTGGGAAACATCCACACACACATTCACACAAACACTCATACACTGGACAATTTAGTCTACCCAATTCCCCTGTACCGCATGTGTTTGGACTGTGGGGGAAACCGGAGCACCCGGAGGAAACCTACATGAACTCAGGGAGAACATGCAAACTCCACACAGAAACATCAACTGAGCCGAGGCTCGAACCAGCGACCCTCTTGCTGTGAGGAAGTTAGATACAGCAAAGATCTTCCCTTGTCCATGTTTTTGGTATGGATTTCATACGTTGCTTCCAGGTCATGTCGCATATCACTGCATCTGGATGATTTTCATATCAGCTCATTTATGACATCTGCATGCATAAACACTATTCCAGTCATTAGCATTCCCACCGTGTGTGTCTGGTTTAATTATAGTAAACACTACGCAGATATGCTGAATTACCTGTGTGTTCTGTCTCTCCCTCCAGCTGGCTGTAAGATAGCCTTCACCGCTGCCATGCTGCCCATGAGTGGGTGTTTCGGGCCTTTCACCAGCAACATGTCCATCTCTTACCAGTCTGTCTCGCTCAATCAGGGGAACGGCTACAATCCTGCGCTGGGTAAGTGGATACAGGGCCACTATTCAGGGTATGACTGCACATCAAAAAGCTAAGGGCATGACACCCTGCTGTAAAATCCAGCTTAGACCAGCCGAGGCCGGTTGGCTGGTTTTAGCTGGTCGACCAGGCTGGTTTTAGAGGGGTTTTGGCCATTTCCAAGCTGGTTTCCAGACATTTCTTAGCTGGTCAGGCTGGAAAATGACAAGCCAAATCCAGCTAAAACCAGCTTGACCAGCCTGGTTTAAGCTGGATATAGCTGGTTTTGGCTGGACTCCCACCTTGGCTAGGCTGGTCAAGCTGGTTTTAGCTGGTCATCTCCCAGCCTAAAACCAGCCTGGAAATGGCCAAAACCCCTCTAAAACCAGCCTGGTTGACCAGCTAAGCAGCCTAGGCTGGTTTAAGCTGGATTTTTCAGCAGGGCAGGAGTGAAGTACACCATCTTGAAGTACGAGGTTTGGATACTTTTACCAACTTGGATCTTTGAGACTCGTTCATTCAGATGAACAGATCTTTTCCAGTTCAGTTTTCATTCAATAATAATATTACAACTGGCTTCCAAACAGATCTACAACTAGCCCCGATGTTAATCACACTACAAACAAGTCAGAACGAGCATACTATAAGAAAATGACGACTGTTTACCTGGTGTTTAGTCTATGATCAGCTCAGCTCTGCAAGTCTGAATCCTTGGATCTCTTGACACAGACTCATGCAAGCTTAAAAATGCACACAGTCTGAGCCAGAAGGACTCATGACCCGTTCAGCTTTTGAGTCTTTGGGTTTTTGAATCGTTCGTTCGTTCATTTCTTCGTTTGCTGAACATGATGAACGAATGAATCAAAGACCTAAAGAGTGGAAAGAGGAACTAATCATGAGTGTGATCAAGCTGATGGACGAGAGATAAACCAATCAAATCTTGTTTTCGGCTTTGACTAAATATGATTGGCTTCTGTCTTTCACAAAACGAACAAATGATTCAAACACGATACAAATGAACAATGCGAGCATGTGCTAATGAACGAATCACTCCCTGAGACAACTCATTGTTCCCGATTCACCACTGTTCAGGAATGACCCGTCATCACTAACCCATCTCTGCTGCTCCGCAGGCGTGTTCACGGCACCCCACGCAGGCCTGTACTCCTTCTCCTTCACGGTGTACTCCAAACCGGGCAGCTCCGGCGAGCGGCTGTACCAGAAGCTGCAGCTGGTGAAGGATGGGACGGTGCTGGCCTCGTCCTGGGAGGATAACCGTGAGGACTCGGAGGACAGCAGCTCTCAGACGCTCCTGCTGCAGCTCAGACGGGGCTGTCAGGTCTACATGGAGCTGCTGTCCGGACGGCAGATCTGCGGAGACACACAGGGCCTCAACACCTTCAGCGGATTCCTCATCTACCCCTCCTCTGATGAGCTGGGCAACTAACACACACACACACACACACACACACACACACACACATACAGTACAGTGCAAAAGTCTTAATCCACTACCAGCTCTGGGAGATTAAAGCTATGGAGCAGGTGCAGGGTCAATACTTTTGGCTGAATTATGCCTTTAATTCACAATATTCAAAACAAAATTACTCCTGGAATCAAAAGACTAGCATCAAAAGTGTGTTAGCATAACCTCTTTAGCATCAAGAGCAAGAGCTCGAACCTTTCTGAAAGGATGTGCCATACCATATCAAGCATCTTTCAGCCTTTCTAAGAGCTTTTCCTTGGATTTACCATGATCTATCTTTCTTTTTCTCTCCACGTAAAGTTCACACTGCTTATAATATCGCCTACACATACTGGGTACCATATTCAGGTCTGGACTCTGTGTAGGCCATTTCATGACTGTCTTCGTTTCATCAGCTGCATTTCTCACCAATTATGATTGCATGCAGTGAGTTTGGGATAATTGACATGCTGAAGAATAAAACTATTACAAATGAGGTGCTTTCTAGTAGGGGCTACATTAAAACCTGTCTGTATTATTCAGCATTCACAATCCCATCAGCTCTGGCAGAAATGCAGATTAAACCAAGACAGAAACTCATCGTTCTCCATTTCTTTCACATGTCTCAAACAATAGGATCTTAAGAATCTCACTAGAATCTGCACATTTAGTATTTTATTAATTAAAGAGGAGCAGTAATAATGTCATTATACTCTCACTATAACACTGAATATAACTGGGGGCTGAGATGTTTGCACAGTACTGTATATACAGCAGTCTTCACTGTGATATCTGCCCTCACACACTAAAGTGGACAATAAATATAATAATAACAACAACAGCTGTTCAATCCATGTTAGTTTTTCACATTCCCGCACGGTTCAGCCAGTTGTTTTCAAGATAGTCTTTTATTTCTAATAGTGGAGCTATCAGAGTTATGTAACTTCTACAACTACCAGAGTGGTCATTCTGACCGATCTCATATACAGTTGAAACCAGAGGTGTACATACACTTAAACAAATAGCATAATTAATTCTTTTAATATGTCTGATGGTAAATGAGACTAAACGTTTACTATTTTAGGTCTGTTAGGATTACCTAAATGATTTGCATTTGCTAAATGCCAGAATAATGAGAGAATGTTTTATTCATTTCTAGAGAGTCAAAAGTTTACACACATTTCCTTGGTATTGTTTAGCTTTGCTTTTAAACTGTATAACTTTAGTCAAATATCTCCCACAAACTTCTCACAATAGTTTGCAGGAGTTTTGGCCCATTCCTCCTGCAGAATTGCTGTAACTGAGTCAGATTTGTAGGCTGTCTTGCTCACACAAGCTTTTTCAACTCATTCTCTATAGGATTGACATCAGGGCTTTGTGATGACCACTCCAAAACATTCCCTCTGTTGTCCTTAAAGCAGATTTGAACTAATTTGGCAGTGTGCTTAGCATACCTGGAATTCCGGGAGTTTTCCAGTAGATAGAACAATACGGGAGATGGGTCTTACAGATGCCAAGCTCATTTCCTCTACATTCAGTCCTCCACAAAATGGTTTATAATGTAATAAACTGGTTGAGCGTCTGTTCTCAGAGCACTGGAGGGCAGTGATGGTGTTTTGTACCGCTGTAGAGCTTTATGAGGACCTCTGCTGGTGAAAGTGTGGGAAAACACTGTCGCTCGACTCACGCTTTACAGTTTTTCTTGATTGTTTTGATGCAGCCGACAACTAAAACTCCACATTTTCAAGACATTTGAACTCATACAGGCCTAAACAGCGGCACTAATGGTCAACATTTTGCTTGTAAAACGCTCTAACCATGTCAAAACATTTACAACATGCATCAAAAGCTAGTTTTACCTTCAAACACAACTTGTATAACACAAGTATAAGAGCTCTTTTAATCAATCATTGCACAATGGAAAACAAAATAGAGAAGTCACTGTGCAGCATTGCCTGTCTAGGGAACAAGGTATTCTGAAGAATGCTGGAGAAACTATCATTTGATCTGCCTGTGTAAGTCAAGTTTTCTTCAGGATATCTTGTTTTGTGTTAAACAAAAGAAAGAAACTCGTACAACTACATACTCAAGCATGAGGTAATGTTCATTTTTGGGTGAACTGTGCCTTTAAGCATACAAAATTACATGATAAAAGTCCCCACAACAAAAGTCCTGATGTTACTCGTTTATAAGTTAATAACGTCATTTTTTAAGTTGAGCTAATATGCTCAGTCTGGCTGATTGATGTGAGTGGAGGAGACTAGACAAGTTCATTTGGTTCTGCTGAACACATGTAGGATATGACATATTTAAAACACAAGCAAAAGTAAAGCAAAAGAGAAAGATTCTCCTAAAGGTCATGGGAAAACGCTGCGCAGTGTGTGTGTTTGCATACTTGCGTCATTAGATAAGTGAGTGAACACACACCGGGGAGTGTTTTGTACATAGAAGGCCTTGTTAACAGTTGCTTCCGAAGTGTGTGTAAATCACTGAGTGTGAGTGTGTGTGTGTGTGTGTGTGTGTGAATCACTGAGCTCGATCTCAGCACTTCCACATCTGAAGCCAAAACCAGCAGCGTTTACAGCACAGCGATGATGACAGATGACATTTCTACCATTTGTCATCATTTCAACATTTATGTGTGTGTGTGTGTGTGTGTGTGTGTGTGTGAAGGTTATTTGCTATATAAAACTGGTCAAAAACATTATTGTTAATTTAAAATAAAATAAATCATAGTCAGTGATAATCATCTGAACTAATTATGCTTTTCAGAATGAATAATCCCTCTTTCTGAGCAGGAGGATTCATTTATTCATTTTCTTTCAGTTTAAGTGAAGTTTATTTATAAACTAAAGCTGCGTTCACACATAGACTTCCATTCATATGCATGCCAATGTGTCAGACCGGAAATGCAAGCGCCGGCACCAAGTTTCGCAGTTCGCTGCGTTGCAAAGTTCAAGCTTGGTGAACTCTGACCTGCGAAATGCATCACTTGACTGCGTGAGACCTGCGTGAGGCTAATCATGTTTAATTCTGCCCCTTTTCAGCATTAACTAACGCATTAACTAACTATGATTCACCAATCTGACCATTCCTAACTTAGTATAAATAACCAAAGTGTCTCACCTTATGGCCCGTTTCCACTGACTGGTACGGTACGTCACGGGTCAGCTTTATCAAGTTTGCGTTTCCTCTACCCTTTTGGTGGGCTCGGTGTACAACAGAGAGTTTCAGTCTTCAATAATCACGCACACCTTATTATCATCAGCTCGAGAAGTCTGTTATATCAAATATAGACACGATGGCGAGTTCCCTGGAGGAAGCGAAAACCTCTCGCACTTTTAGACGGCCTCGTAAAACGACAACGGGACACGGCAGGTTTTGTTCGTCTTGGCTTTGTGTCTGTACATCAAGATGACGACAAGGTTTGTTTGAGCTCGGGTCGACCATGGCTCGTTATTATATGCATATAGTATTACGCTGTAATGTCTCGGCTGTGTGTTTAAAACATGGCGGTTCCTCTGTTTTCATTCTGGCTAGCTCCACACGAGCTCGTGACGTATCTCTGTAACCAATCAGTGTTCAGCTGCGAGTGCTGCTCCACCTTTTGGTACCCTATTGAAAGGGTGCAGTAAAAGTGGTACGGTGCAGTTCAGTTTGGTTTGCCTTTTGACAGTGGAAACGTCCAGAAAAAGCAACCCAGGCTCATTCTGAAAACGTAGCCCGGCGGACGTTTCTGGAGACCGTGATTTATGTGGCCAGAGGTACGTACAGGGCCGGCGCGTCCATAGATGCGACCTAGGCGGCCGCCTAGGGCGGCAGTATAGAGTGGGCGGTGTCCGCAACACCTCCCTTACCACCCGAGTTCTCAGTTATGTCCGCGACACCCTCCCTCGCCACCCGCGTCCTCAGATATATTCGCGCATAGACGACAGAATAGAGAGGGCGGTGTCAGCGACACCTCCATCAGCACCTGCGTGTCGGACGGCAGAGCTGAGGTCCGTGACACCCGCGCGTCCTCAGTTATATCCGCGCATAGTGCGCCGGAAAAGAGGTCCGCGACACCTCACTTCATTTTCATAACCGGTCACTTTCGTTTTCACCTTGGGGTTGAGGGCGGCGTGATCGTCCTCTGCCTAAAGCAGCAGTTCAGCTTGCTCCGGCCCTGCGTACGTATGGCCACATTTGGTTTTTTCAAATGAACGCTACTGGGCGGTGTGACGGCGCTCCTCTTCACGCTCGGCGTCTGGGCTGACGGCTCGCCTCCTCCGTGTGGAGGGCTTTCCCGCCGCAACCAGCTTGTCCAGTTAGCTCGTCGTGTCACGCCAGCGGAGCGGAGACCTGGAGGAGGAGGAGGAGTAGCCAGCAGCGTTCAAGTCCGGGGAAGAGCAGTTCCAGAAATCTGAAACCGCGGTCTAAATCGTCACTTGGGTTTAGGGAAGAAGGAGGCGGAGGGTGGCCGGGTTGGCCCATTGGCTGGACGCCCAGTCAATCGTTTAGTCATTCAGCCAGTCCGACAGACAATCGCTCGACAGCAGCCTCTGGCGGCTTTTTACGCGAGAACAAGAGGTGTTCGAGACATGGAAAAGTGCGCACAGCGGCTTCTCATGGATTCACGAAAACAAAAACTGCACAAATATGTACCTCCCCGGTCTCCAGAAACTTCTGTGGGTCTACATTTCCAGAATGAGCCCGGGTTGATAACAGCGTATCGAACCACTCAGTGGAAACGGGCCACTAGTCATCGCTGTCTTGAAGAATCCCTCCCACAGTCCTAAACATGAGACATGAGTAAACTGACTAAACCAAATCAGCACCAGATGCATTTCAACCAGCAGCACATCCTCATAGCAATCCTTAATCAGCAGAGGGGAGTTCTCCAGATCAAACTCCCCTCTCGCTCTGCAAACCGGAGGGAGCCCCGGGCTCGAGGATGTTATGAGCTCTCACGGGACAGACAAACAAGTTTATAATCAATCATCAGCTGAGCGTGAACTCTTGAATCTTTATTTTAACGGTTGCTACAGCAGAATGAACCGCCAACTATTCCAGCATATCCTAAATGCAGCTGATGCCCTTCCAGCTGCAACCCAGTACTGGTAAACACCCATACACACTCCATACTCACGCTCTTACAATACAGACAATTTAGTTCACGCCAACACAGGGAGAACATGCAAACTCCACACAGAAACACCAACTGACCCAGCCGGGACTCAAACTAGCGACGTTCTTGCTGTGAGGCGACAGTGCTAACCACTGAGCCACAGTGACGCCCCAGGAGCGGGATTAGTCTACGCAAAAAACATCTTAAACGTGTGTAAACAAGACGAGCTGAACGCCATCTACTGTCCGATCATTAATCTGCAGAGGACTGTCCTCTTTCACTGGCTGCATGTGTGTGTGTTTCAGCTCAGTGTCTTCTGCAGAAGAGGGAATGTAGAAACATGAGCTCTGTTCAACATCAGATGAGAGAAACTGGAGTTACTGAACGTACAAATAAAGCCATGAAAACTAAATGAGTGGAGAAAATAAAACTCCATCACTCAGGAAAACTAAACGGACGAGAGCAGAACATCTCAGACCAGCTGGAAAACACTAATGAACAACAAGCAAAACTATAGTTGGTGTGTGTGTGTGTGTGTGTGTGTGTGTGTGTGTGTGTGTGTTCTCAGCACTGATGCTGTATGATCTGGTATTTGGAGAATTCCTCTCTGTGAGCAGACCGCAGCTCTTGGCTCTCCTCCTGTCCTCATCACAGCTCTTCCCTAATAAGGCTGCGCTTCAGCAAAGGCCGGGCTTCAGGAAAACTGCGTCTCCTTTTAAGGTGCCAGTTTCCTTTTCTCTCTCGGCCCCGAGTGTTTTATTTCTCCCAGACTGAAGCCTCGAGAGGGTCCGCCGTGCTGAACATAAAGCTGCTGAATCTGAACACACACACTCCTGCTGACTCCGGGACCGACTGCGGCATCGCTCTCTACTACAGTAAGCATGCTTTACATCAGCGCTCATTAGGAGACAAACACTCTTATCTCATGCCTTGGAAATTATATGAAACAAAGATGAGCGTAACGAGATACCAAACCTATAAAATAATTAGGAAAATAGCTCATTTGGGGCTTTATATTAAAGGGATAATTCACTCAAGCATTAAATGACCTCATTTAGTCGTCCTCATGTGATTTTAAAGCTGTTGAACACAAAAGAAGATATTTTGAAGAATGTTGCACCCATCTGCTTCCATAATTCATTCAGAATCCAATAGGCGGCAGCTACCAGCATCCTTTACATGATCTCCCTTTGTGTTCAGCAGATTCAGTGTGTGAGGGGTGTGTAAACGATGGTAGAGGGGTAATTGTTGGGTGAACTGCCCCCTTTCAGTACTTTTGTGTGCATTTGTGACTTTTCAACAGCTGGTGCTTCTCAAGTTCATCTCAGACTGTGCATTATTTGAGCATTTGACATGTTCCATCATCATTGTTGTGAGCTTTTAAAGTGCACTGTGTTAATTATAAGGAAGTCCCAGAATTGAGTCTTGAGGAACACCACACGCTAAAGGAGCCGATTTAAAGACATTGTTCACCTAAAACTGAAAATTCTGTCATAATTGACTCATCGTTTCTTAGTTTGTGACACTGAACACAAAAGAAGATAGTTTGAAGACTGCTGCGAACCTGTAACCATTGACTTCCACAGTGTTTATTTATCCTACGATTTCAGCATTCTTCAGAATATCGTCGTTTGTGTTCCACAGAAGAAATAAACGTTTAAAGGAGAATAATCAGTGTGTAAATGTTCATATTTGAGTGAACTATCCATTTAAAGGGATTGATTATCTATATTCATAGCAAGAACACAGTAAAGTCCTTTAGACAGCATGTAAAACACGGATGATTCCGCAGTAAATACTGTGAGCTCACCAGAGAACCAGAGCGGTCCCAGAACTGAGCCCTGAGGGACACCGCATGCAAATGGGGCTGATAAAATGGGACGTTTTTCTCAATATTCACAGCAGGCACACAGCAAAACCCTTTAGACAGCATGTAAAACACTGATGATTCCGCACTCAGATCTCAGAGAACCAGAGAGTTCCCAGAACTGAGCCCTGAGGGACACCGCATGCAAATGGGGCTGTTATAATGGGACGTTTCTCTCAATATTCACAGCAAAATCCTTTAGATCGGTGTTTCTCAGCTGGTGGGTCGCGAAGTGTGTGGTCAAAACAACAACTAAAGTAGAATTTATAGCTTATTTTGCTTATACCGGACTTTTATTTTGAAATGCGCACGCGACAACAGTACCGTTTGGCATGTGAAATTTCATTTAATTATAGCAACAAATATGTCGAAGCGCAGGTACAATCCTGAATATGTAAAGTATGGATTTACATATATTGAAACGACATTAAGACATCAAACATCCCGGTTGCAAGGTCAAACCTGTGGACTGTTTTCAAAGATGACTCCAAGATCTGAGGGCATCCCAAAAGTGCATTTATTTTGTTAAATGACAGCAATAAAATATTGTTAATTTGTAAGTCTTGGTGATTTTCTTATCTGTCACTGCTTGTGTATGGTAACAAATAAATTTATAAATACAAATTAATTATAATTCCTAAAAATGTAATCAGATCTAATAAAGACAGAGTGAGCTGTCGAGTCCATGAAGAGCAGAACAGATAAATACACAATAAAGCAGATTCAGTTCTGCGATGAGTTCTGAAACCCAAACTAAATGTCCGAAGTGTTCAAATGTGAGTAGAGCTGTGAGTGTGTGTCAAGTCAAGCCAGAATGTATTCATACTCCTGGACAGTTCTGACTTAAAGCTTCTGGTCAAACGGAAATAAAAGCTGATTCACATGTTTTTTTCCTCAATGACGCCTCGTGTACATCATCATCTTCACTTTTAGGTGTCATTTCTGGTCAAGAAAACTTGCTGGTGGAATAAAGCTTTAAGCCAGCATGTGAATAATGTTGGGCTTGATGTTATATCTACATATATATATATATATATCAGTGCTGTAGTGTTCACTGTACACTCGTTCCCGAAGGTTGGAGGATCAGAGGTGGTGTCCTAAAGCAGAATGGCAGCACAGGTGACGCTGCTGCTCTGAGTGTGTGTGTGTGTGTGTGTGTGTTTGCTTTGTGCTGACTCCTCTGATTGATGGGGTGTGTATAGAAATCATTGAGGAGGAGCATGTTCATTTAATCCTGACCGTTCTGCAGTCAGGAGCTCACGAACATGTGAATCTGGCAACCTGCACCTCTGCCGGCGCTTCAGGCCACACAGCTCAGCTCAGATCATCCATTTGACATCTTGTTGTAACATTTAAAATGAACTAAAAGCATGTTGATTTGAGCTGAACTGTTTGCTGATGGGATCGTGTCTGGACAGTATCTGCGCATGATGATGATGATGATGGCTTTATGGCTGCTACAGCTGCTTTACTGGCGTTCGTTCACTTGATGTTCAACACTGAGCTGCATTAATAGTTTGTTCTAGGAGAAGAGGATTTCCAGGAAAGGTAAACAAAGCAAAAGTAAACTCTGAGCTGTACACTGGACAGGGTTCACACCGGTCATCATGGACCTTCTGGAATCATTTAAAAACATCCAGATCTGGAGAGTTTCAGCTCCATTTCATCCCTCATGCTCATCAACTGTCAGTGTAATATAGCTGAAGAGCTTAATCTAATGTTTGTAAAACTACTGAGCTATCAAACATGGGAGAAAGAGCACTAAAAGCCATGCACCTCAGATTCTTATATACTGTATGTATTCTTATATTCAAGCTAAAACCATTTATAAATATCCTTAAACAAGCAGAATAATCTGTCAATAGGGGAAGAAAAACTATGTGTTTTCAAATAAAAACTAGACTATTTCACTTCCCCTATTAGCAGATTATTCTGCTTGTTTTAAGGAAAAACTCACTTAAATTTGATTTATTGTTCCTAAAAATAAGACTAGATTGTTTGCTTGTCTAGAAAAAGCTTCTTGCTTTAAAAGTTTTTAGATATTTGGACTAGAAACAAGACACAATGTCAATTTTATTTATTTAGCACCATTTAACACAACCCGAGGTTGACCAATGTGCTGCACAGTACAAACCAAAACAGACAAAAACAAATATATATATATGTATGAGCAATATCACAGGTGTTTCTCTGTGGACGCTCTGCTGTTTCTCCATCAGGGAGCGACTATGGCAAACAAGGGGCCGTCTTATGGGCTGAGCCGGCAGGTGCAGGATAAGATCGAGCAGAAGTACGACCCGGAGCTGGAGCTGCGTCTGGTGGAGTGGCTCGTGGCCCAGTGTGGGTCAGCGGTGGGGAGACCCGACGCCGGGAAACTGGGCTTTCAAGCCTGGCTTAAAGACGGATGCGTGAGTAAAGCACTGGTGTTAAACAGCTCTGATGATGATAATCAACGTTTGTAAGCTGTTTGGACAGAAGTGTGTGTGTGTGTGTGTGTGTGTGTGTGTGTGGTTTAGTGTGTCATAATAAACACAAGTCTCTTATTAAAAATCTCCTGATGTTAAATTAGGATCCAAATCCCAGTGATGTAGGGGTGCAAAGTGACCTAGGAGTGCGGTTTTCGCCGCCCACAGAATTGATTGATAGGACCATATTAACATGTCTCCATAGTAACGCATATAAACATGTCAACAGGACAGGATTTGCAAAGAAACTGGCATTAAAAGCCTAGTTTTAGCCAAAGCCTTTACACTTAATCCACTTCAGTGTACATCTACACATAGACATCATTTCTCTGGCCCAGATCTGGCCCACACAGTCAGCTTCTGCTTGGCCCACATGCCGCAGTGAATTGCGGTACATGACTGGACCAAGTCTGGCTTCCATACAAGGGCCAAACATGGACCATATCTGGGCCAAGTCTCAGCCAAGTTAATAAGTCATAACTGGGCCAGATATGTTAGTGTGTCATGAGTGCAATTAATTTGACAAACTCGTGAAGCAATTTGTTTTATGGCCACGCTTTTTCTCAAATCGGCCCGTTTAGTAAAATTCTTTCTTTCCTCAAAAATGATTTAAATGTATTTTAAAAGTGGGTCAAGACAGGCCAAACATATACATTTTTAACATCTGGGCCAAATATTACAGTTGATATCTGGCTCAAGTCTTGTGTGCCACCTTAAAGACGGTGCTACCTCTGCCAAACCTGAGCCATGTTTGTCCCACATGCTGTTTCCCAATGCCTGCTGTGCCAGCTTCATGCCAAATCTGGGCCAGAAATCTTTGCTATCTGGGATATATACTGCATAACTCCAGGTTATCTATGCTTATATATACAACTGAAACTGATAAAGTTATGAGTAATTCGTTAGTAGATGTTAGTCACTAATAAGCTTGACGTCTCTGATTTGGATTGTAATGCAGTAATGTGCAGCCTTTGTAAGTATTTATTGTGAAAAGCGCTACAGAAATAAGCTTGTACTGAACTGACCGTGCAGGTGTTGTGCGAGCTGATCAACAGTCTGAGTAAAGAGAAGCCGGTGAAGAAGATCCAGAGCTCCAGCATGGCCTTTAAGCAGATGGAGCAGGTCTCGCAGTTCCTGAACGCCGCCGAGCAGTACGGCGTGGCCAAAACCGACATATTTCAGACGGTGGATCTGTGGGAGGGTGAGCGTTAACACACACACACACACACAAAATCACACACAGAGCAGAGATGGGCAGAGGATCGCCAGTTTGACCACAAATAGGAGAGGAAATGAGTGAAGTGTGTGAACACAATGCTCCTCAGAGAAAGAGAGGAAGACATGTGGATATTTCAACAGTGCAGAACAGCATTAAAGACTGAAGGAGTCTGGAGGAGTTTCAGTGCGTAAAGGTCAAGAGCGCAAGCCTGAGCTGAACAACCGTGACCTCCGACCCCTCAGGGGGCGCTGCATCAAGAGTCCTCATTCATCTATAAGCCAGATCAGCACATGGGCTCAGCACTACTGCGCTAAACCTGTGACAAGCAGCACAATACAGAGTCACATCCACAAACACCAGCCAACACTGCACTGTGCCAAGAGGAAGCCCTATGTTAACAGTGTCCAGAAGTGCCATGTACTGTGCTCAGATGATTCAGTCTTTCAGGTGTTTTTTGGAGAAATGGATGTCGTGTGTTCTGGAACAGAAGAAAAGGATCATCCAGACTGTTAAGTCCAGAAACCCTTGGTAAGGGTAGCTTGGACTTCTGTGATGCTCCATTGCAATGCATTGGCTGGCATTTCAATGCTTCTGTCGTGTCGAATCACGTGTTACATGCCATCAATGCGAGTATGAATATCATTTACGTGACATTTGTTGCCGCACTGAAAGCAGCAGCAGATAGCTCACCTCAGATCTTAAATATAAGAGCTATCAGACGGGCTGAAAAAGTCAGAAGTGAGACTCCTCGACAGCATCAGACACTCAGTCTGTGCACTAACAATGCTGATTCTGTAGTAGACGATGCGGTGGAGCCTCACGGCAAGAAGGTCATTGGTTTGAGCTTCAGCTGGGTCAGTTGGTGTTTCTGTGTGGAGTTTGCATGTTCTCCCCGTGTTGGCGTAGGTTTCCTCCAGGTGCTCCGGTTTCCCCCTCAGTCCAAACACATGCGCTATAGGGGAACTGAGTAGGCTCAATTGTCCGTAGTGTATGAGTGTGTGTGGATGGGTTGTGACTGGAAGGGCATCCGCTGTGTAAAACAAATGCTGAATAAGTTGGCGGTTCATTGCACTGTGGTGACCCCAGATTAATAAAGGGACTAAGCCGAAAAGAAAATGAATGAATGTGTGGTAACTGAGATGTTGATGATGTGTTTGCTGGTGTGTGTTGTCAGGAAAAGACCTGGCAGCGGTGCAGAGGACTCTGATGGCTCTGGGCAGCATCGCAGTCACCAAAGAGGACGGAGCTTTCCGTGGAGACCCAAACTGGTTCTTCAAGTAAGTCTGGGTCATATTCTGGGTCATTGCCTCTCAATACTCCACATAATCCTAAATCTCAGCGCTTTAACGTCCCATCAAGTTCTTTGTAATCTGCATTTTAACTTGATGTTTGATGTAATCTAAACTGAAACATGACGAGAGGGCGGGGCATAGTGTAACTCCTCCCCTTTAAAAAAAACAGCCAATAGCATGTTGTTTTTCTCACAGCTCTGCCAGTGTTGTATTCGGATCAGGTGATTGGCTAGGCCATTCTACAGCTTGATTTTCTTTCTCTAAAAGCATCTAAGAGTCTCCTCGGCTGTGTTTTGGATCATTGTCTTGCTGAAATGTCCACCCTGGCTTCATCTTCATCCTCCTGCTGATGTAGATGTTGGACTGAAGCAGCTGAGGAAGAGCAGAGGATTGCTGAAGAACTACTGGGAGATTTCAGCTGCTGTCTGGGCTTTCACTGCTGAAATACACCACCCTTTCTTCATGTGTTCAATACTGTTTCCCTGCGTCTTTTCATTTTATTAGACAGAACTTCATTTGTAAACTATTTAGATTTACTAATTACTATTTGAACTATTTACTTTTCACATGTGGATTTCTTTTGTTGTTGCCAATATCTGGGGAAAAAGTCAACAGCATCTTCAGAAATGTTTTCAGAGAGAAATGTGCTCAATACTTCTTTTCCCTACTGTATATCAGTGTAGTACATACCAAACACAAAGAACCGCATGAACTGAATCTGCAACCATTTTTATTTTCATAAAGTGACGCAGTTCTTGAAGAAATGAAATATTAAATGAGATAGCAGGGGGCGTGGCCTGTTGTCTACTGCGAGCTGATTGGATGTAGTGAAGTAGGCGTGTCATTCAGGAAGATGGGGGAAAGGGTTTGGGGAGGGTTTTTACAGCCTAACAGACTCCTCCCCCTCACCATTTCTGTCAAAACTGACAGCTGGAGGGGTGTGGTTAAGTGTGTTAGCCCCGCCCAACACCTCAGACACACGTAATCTGAGAATTGAACTGAAAACACAGGAAGTGCATCTGCAGATTTCCAGTTTAGATGACGAGAGTAAACAGTTTTCTTGTTCTTGACGCGCAGATCAGCACTAATCGTGAACTAACAACATCACACCATTAGTTGGATGCTCGTGTGAAACCCGTCTGCTGTGTGTGCAGGAAAGCGCAGGAGAACCGCAGGGATTTCTCAGACGATCAGATGAAGGAGGGCAAGAACGTGATCGGGCTGCAGATGGGCTCCAACAGAGGGGCGTCTCAGGCGGGCATGACGGGGTACGGGCGCCCGCGGCAGATCATGAACCCCTGAACACACACTCACATCAGCACACCACCACAACCACTGCCTAATAAAGATTCAAAACACTGACGCCCGTCAACCCTGTGTGGCGTGTTTAGTCTGTGTGTGAAATTCGCCAACATGAACGCCAACTACTGTTTACTCTGACTGACTGAGTGATGTAGTCTAACCCTCCTGTGCTCTTTAATTCTGTCTACTTCACTATTCATCCTGAGAGTCCAAATGAGCCGCCGTCACTAGGTGAAGTTTATTTATAACCTAATGTGAAGAGGATCACGTGATTATGATTGACCACAGCCGGTCCTGCATTATTCAATTTACAATGCACCAATCAGACGATTCCTAAGCCACTATAAACACCCTCAGCTCCTTATCACAGCCATCTTGGTTTTGAAGAATCCCCCCTCCACCCCTACTCCTCCTCCTTTCCTAGATGGGTGGCACGGTGGCCCAGTGGTTAGCACTGTTTCTTCACAGCAAGAACGTCACTGGTTCTAGCCCTTACCAAGCCAGCTGACGTTTCTGTGCGGAGTTCACACGTTCTCCCCATGCTCACATGGGTTTCTCCCGGGATCCACGGTTTCCTCCCACCGTCCAAACACATGCAGCTTAGGTTAACTGACTAATCCACATCTGCACATAGACATGCTGCTAGTCAGTAGTTCTCTCTTAAGAGCGATCACTATCTGTTCATTAGCTACTACAGCAGGGGAGTTCTCCACATCTACCTAAGCTCAAACTCCCCTCTCACCCTGCAAACAGGAGGGAGCCCCAAGCTTGAGGATCTTATGAGTTCATGGCTCTCTCCCAGGACAGCATGCCAAACACGCTTTATAATCACTCATCAGCTGAGGGTGAACTCTTAAAAGCTCTAAATCGAGTGTACAAACTGGGTCCTGGAGGGCCGGTGTCCTGCAGATTTCAGCTCCAACCCTGAAGCAGCTGATCAAGCTCTTATTAGATATACTAGAAACCTCCTCTTCAGTTGTTGTCCAGCAAGTTGGAGCTAAACTCAGCAGGACACCGGCCCTCCAGGACCGACAGTTCTGCTCTAAAGTGAAGCAGGTCAAATCAGTTTCAATCATGTGCTATAGTGTGCATGTGTTTGTGTGTGTTGGAGTGTGTGTGTGTGTGTTGTAGTGTGTGTGTGTGTGTTGCAGTCAGTGGTGTAAAGAGTACTGATAAATCATACTTACGTGAAAGTACCATCACTTGCCTAAAACTGTAGTGCAGTAGAGTAAAAGTGTCTGATTGTAATCCATTACAGTTGGCTTAACATTGAAAATTCAGAGATTTTGCAACCTGCAGAACCCGCGAACTTTAACAAACTGACTGAAAAAACAAAGAAAGAATCGTCTAAAGTGACATTTAAGAGAAAACAGGGATGTAATTTACAAGCTAATAACCTCATCATGACATATAAAATGACACTTCTGAACCTGATCAGAGGAGCCTGACCGAGAATGCTCATTTACAAGAAAAGAGGTCTGATGGATCTGTTAACACTGCCGGGGTCACAGATGAGTCGCAGGACAACAGGAGGGTTACAGGGGCATCGAGGAGTAAAAGTCACACTGAAATATCCCATATGGAGATCATATCGAGTATAGCGGAGTCACTGATGTCCTGTAAGAGCTTGATCAGGAGTGAGTGTGTGTGTGTGTGTAAGAGGAGACGCTGCATCATGTTCCCTTTTAGTTTTTATTCAAACCACATCTTGCTCTTGTTCCCAAGAGTACCACAGTAAAAACAGTCCAGAAGCAGTAAAAGACCCGACAATCTCAGTCCTGCTCATCTCACAGTTCAAGTCAGAGGAGTTTATACACATCATCATCATCATCATCATCATCATCATCATCATCATCATCATCATCATCCACACTCAGGCGCTCAATCCATCACCATCATCAGGACAAACACCATTAAATTAAACTTCAGAAGATATCACACACACACACACTCACACACACACTCACACACACACTCACACACACTCACTTACACACAAGCACACACACACACAAGCGCACACACACGCACGCACGCACGCACGCACGCACGCACGCACGCACGCACGCACGCACGCACGCACACACGCACACACACACACACACACACACACACACACACACACACACACACACACTCCTGTAAGAAGACATTGTCATTAAAATAACAGTAAATAAACCAAAGCAAGGCCACCAGTAATCCAGCATTCACTCACACACACACGCACACGCACACACACACACAGAAGTGCAACCTGAAGTCTCGGAGACAGAAGACGGAGTGTGTTCCTGAGGGTTACGTGTGTGTGTCCGCTATGAGCAGCACTTTGTCCTGGCTGTGTGTCTCCAGCAGGACCTCCACCTGCTGAGGGTCCGTCTGAGCCTCGTCCCGGGACAGTCTGGAGTATCCGGCGTCGCCGTCCCGCCCGCGGACACACCCACCGCGCCAGTCCCAGTGTGTGAGCACCACCTCCAGAGTGTAGTAGAGCGACCAGAAGAGCGTGAAACAACCCAGCAGCAGCAGAGACTGCAGAGCACACACACACACACGTTACATAGCACACACATGCATCCCTATACATATAGTTTAAAGTGCAGTATACAGGGGTGTGTGTGTGACCTTGAGGCTGCTGGAGGTGAAGGGGTTGACGATCTCCGCAGGCACATCTATACCCGGTGGACACGGCAGAGAGAAGCTGCTGCTCAGGTAATGTCCACTCATGGCCTCCTCAACAACTCTGCAGAACACACACACACACACACACACACACACACACAAATAAGAACACACAGTATGAGGTGGTTTTCGAGAGCTGTCAGGGTGAATCTGTGTGTGTTTGACGTGTGCTCACCTCTGTCTGTCTGTGACCTGCTGATGGGACAGAGACGAGCCGTACAGCGTCAGTTTCCAGCTCTTCAGAATACCTGAGGACAGAGGCGCTGAAACAGACAGACAGAAGAGTGACAGCTGTCAATCAATCAATCAATCAATCATCACAGAGAGAAAACAGACAGAAGAGTGACACCTATCAATCAATCAATCAATCAATCAATCAATCAATCATCACAGAGAGAAAACAGACAGAAGAGTGACACCTGTCAATCAATCAATCAATCAATCAATCAATCAATCAATCAATCAATCAATCATCACAGAGAGAAAACAGACAGATGAGTGACACCTGTCAATCAATCAATCAATCAATCAATCAATCAATCAATCAATCATCACAGAGAGAAAACAAACAGATGAGTGACACCTGTCAATCAATCAATCAATCAATCAATCAATCAATCAATCATCACAGAGAGAAAACAGACAGATGAGTGACACCTGTCAATCAATCAATCAATCAATCAATCAATCAATCAATCAATCAATCAATCAATCATCACAGAGAGAAAACAGACAGAAGAGTGACACCTGTCAATCAATCAATCAATCAATCAATCAATCAATCAATCAATCAATCAATCATCACAGAGAGAAAACAGACAGAAGAGTGACACCTGTCAATCAATCAATCATCATTCATTCATTTTCTTGTTGGCTTAGTCACTTTATTAATCCGGGGTCGCCACAGCGGAATGAACCGGCAACTTATCCAGCAAGTTTTTACGCAGTGGATGCCCTTCCAGCCACAACCCATTGGTGAGTGCGCGTTTGTATATTTACCACCACCCTCAGAGAATATTGGGGGTCACGAGTCACTGGCATTGCTGTTTTAGGGGTCGCGTGCTGAAAAGTGTGGGAACCCCTGCTCTAATGGACCATCCAAATAAAGTGTTACCCGAGCTGATGTTAACAAGACAACGTAACTTGTCATAAATCTGTCATAAACATGATTTAGGTTCATTCTGTGTTACAGTCCTGTAAAATGTTTACAAACAGTAAAGCAGCGCTTCTGAAAACTCCATGACTTTTCCGAGACTTTCAGGGAAATTTTCATGACCTAACGTGTCATGCAATGTCTACATATATGTGGCAAAAGACAAACAGTGCGTGTTCAAATGTATTACAGCATATGGTAAAGCATGCAGCACTCTATATAGTCTCAATTTATATTTCATTCAGTCTTTTCAGCTTAGTCTCTTTATTAACCAGGGGTCGCCACAGCAGAATCAACCGCCAACTTATTCAGGATATGTATTACGCAGCGGGTGCCCTTACAGCTGCAACCCATCACTGGGAAACATCCATACACTCTCATACACTACAGCCAGTTTAGTTGATCAGTTCCCCTATAGCGCATGTGTTTGTCCTGTGGGAGAACATGCAAACTCCACACAGAAACACCAAATACACAGCCGAGACTCAAACCAGAGACCTTCTTGCTGTGAGGAGATTGTGCTACCCACTGCGCCACCGTGACGCCAAATTTATATCAATGTCAAACAGATTCAGCTCTGAGCTGCGCATGTCATGCGTTTCTGTTTTCAGGTCAGATTTGTTTTAGTCTGTTTTAATTCAGCAACAAGTGCCCTGCAAAGCGATCTCCCTGGGATATTCCACCGTGTGTGAAGAGCATGAATCTGTGCTGAGGTGTCTTACCGTCGTCCATGATCAGCAGGCTGTACTGGCCCTCGGCTTGCTCTCCCCAGCAGCGCACGGTGGAGAACGTCCAGTCCGTCAGGCCTGCAGAATCTCTGTGTGAACCACAAACCCTGCTGTTAACGCTTAGCTATTTTAGACGACACCGCTGATGCCAAATCAAGTACTGACAGGAGCGTATTAGCATGAATACACGTGTATAAACAGAACAGGATTTGCAAAGAAACTGGGACTAAAAGATCTGTTCAGTATATTTAGATATTTGAACTAGGAACAAGACAAGCTTTGTGTGTGTGTATGTGTGTGCGCATGTGACCGGTGTGTGCATGTGTCTACTCACACGTCCAGTGCCCTGCGTGCTCCAATCAGGGAGCTGATGCCGCTGGGGCAGAGCAGCAGGATCTGCAGGTTTCCTCTTCTGGGATGCTGAATGCTGAGAGTCACGGACACATGCTCCAGAGTCTGCATACCGGAGCGCTGCAGGTCAGACTCAGACACTATGCACACACACACACACACACACACACAAGTGTGTAAAACCTCTGTCCTATGACACAGATGACCAAATAATGAACAAAACCTGACAAACTTCCTGTCATACACCATCTGAGCAGTCTCTAGATCAGGGGTCTCAAACTTGCGGTCCGCGGGCTATTTGCGGCCCTCATTGCAATATTTTGTGGCCCGCGCCGACCGCTGTACACTGACAGAATCAGCGGAGCGGCGATAGAGAGCGCTCCCCGCTCCACTGATTCTATCCGTACACAGCGGTCACTGGCATTCCCCGCCCGCCGTGTAAACAAAGGGGCGGGGATGCCGGTGACGTCACCACACACCCCGCCCCTTTGTTAGACGCTGTGACGGGCGGGAAGTGTTAGGAGGGAACTCGCGCCGGCCAGAACCAAGGTAAGCTGTTCCCGCCCCTGCCTGCCACTTAGCTACCTATCTGCAGCCTGCCACCTACCTAGCTACAGCCTGCATCTTATATATATTATAAGTAGATACAGACTGGTACAGACTGATGTGACTGGAGTGGGGTGGGGGTGTTTTATTTATACATATATACGCCTTTTTTTTAGGTGAGGGCAGGCACGTGCACACATAGGGCTCAACCTGTGCAGTGCACATGCCCTTTTTAGTCTTGCATAGAAAGTGCCCTTCCAAAATGATCAAAAGTGCCCCCGCGACGCGGCACACCCTCGGTCCCGCCCTTCAGTATGTGCGCGATAACACCGCTCTTCAGTACGCGCGCATCCACTCTGCAGTGGGTGAGGGAATGGAAGTTTTGAGTGAGTTCTCCCAAGCCATACTGAGGGTCTCAACTGCTTCCGCTCTAAAGCCAAATGTGGTTCAGATTTGGGAGAAGAAGCGCTGTCAAGTCTCTGGCAGCAAGGAGTAGGCAAAAGATGCCATGTTCAGAAGAACTGTTCATAATCTTCACTCAATGTTCTATTAATGTTCAGGACACTTCATGTTCAGAAGAAATAATTAAAACTGTTAATAATGACATTTGAGGACTTTTTTTTTGTGTGAAAACCCTTACTTAACCCAGACTTTGCCTCCTGCGGCCCCCAGGTAAATTGCGTTTGAGACCCGTGCTCTAGATGTTTTAACCTCAGCATAAGCAGAGTAATTCACCACACTGATTGTCGAATCACGACATTGAGTGGGTCTGTTTTCTGTTCGTCCATCTATGCTATTTTGCATGAGGCTACAGAATTCTCAGATGATCCTAGAATGAAGGAACTCCTTTAAGTCAATCCTGAGTAAATCACATGGATGATGCACGGTGTAGTACACAAGACAATACAAAGGGGGCGCTGGAGAGGGGGGAAGTCATGGCGCAGTACCTGAGAAAATCATTAGGAGTGATAGAGAGCAAATGGTGTGTGTGTGTGTTTGTGTGTGTGTGTGTGTGTGTGTGTGTGTGTGTGTGTGTGTGTGTGTGTGTGTGTGTGTGTGTGTGTGTGTGTGTGTGTTCAAGGTAGGGTTGCATGATACTGGACAGATGCAATATTGATTTTTTCTGCGATATATATGAGCAATATCACACTCGTAGCAGTGCGATATGACTGTATATCAGCACTGATGGGAGGCCAACGGATTAATAAAGGGACTATGTAGCGTCCCACCAGTGCTGATATACAGTCATATCTCACTGCTACGAGTGTGATACATTAAATAAACAGATATATTAAATTTCAGGACCTAAAAATACAAACCCTGGAATTCAAGTCATTAAAATGCAAGAACTTGTTAATACGGTGTATTATTTTTTTCAGTTTGTGATATTCAACAAGCTTTTTAATTCAAGACTTTTGGCATTGATTTTGATCCATATAACTCTAGCATGCCAGAGTGAAACTGGAGTGGTTTTACTTGATTTGGGTCATTTTTAAGCAGCTGAATTAATGAGTACTCCAGCGGTTATACAGTCAACATCTGTGAATGCACTTATGCAGTCTCTCTGAGATCCAGGAGTCCTCTGTAATTCAGTGATGTTGATAATGCCGGTGGGTCATGTTCTCTAAAGTGTGCACACTATTGAGAAATGAGTTGATGCTCATCTGCAAACTCAGATATTTTCCGTGACGCTGCTTTAACCGTGCCAGATGATGACAGACTGAGGGAAACAGAGGAGCAGATGTGTCAAAGTGTAAACACACACACAGAGAGAGAGAGAGCTCCACATAAGGCCCGAGAGCTGCTGCTGCTGCACGTAAACAGCCTTTTATGGATCTCTGGAAACAGCGGAGATGTTTAATGTTTACAGTTCGGGAAACAGAAGCAGTGAAACACCAGCAGAGGCTGATTCATCCTTCTTTCATTCAGATGGCAGAGAAACTGGGGCTGTCAAGCGATGTTGATCGCATCCAGAAAAACAGTTTGCATTTATATAAGGTGTGTGTATATACAGCTGATGTCAGAATTATTCACCCCCCTGTTTATTTTTTTCTGTTTAGCGGAGAGCAGATTTCTCCAACACATCTCTAATCATAACAGTGTTAATAACTCATCTCTAATAACTGATTTATTTCCTCTTTGCCATGATGACAGTAAATAATATTAGACTAGATATTCTTCAAGATACAGCTTACAGAGACATGTAAAGGCTTCACTAGGTAATTAGGGTAACTAGGCAGGTTAGGGTAATTAGGCAAGTCATTGTATATTCTGGAGACTATCGGAAATAAATATTTCTTAAAGGGGCTAATATTATTGACCTTAAAATGGTGTTTAAAACATTAAAAACTGCTTTTATTCTAGCCGAAACAAAACAAATAAGACTTTCTCCAGAAGAACAAATATTATCAGACACACTGTGAACATTTCCTCAATCTGTTCAACATCTTTAGAGATATATGTAAAAAAAAAATAATTCAAAGCAGGGCGAATAATTCTGACTTCAACTGTAGATGTTTAAAAAATGACCCCTCATTATTACTACCTCTACTGCTGTTGATTATTATTATTATAGCTATTGCTATTTGTCCTCGTCCTGTTCTGTCCAGCCACTAGTTATCAATGCTATTGTCATCATAACTGTTTTATTGGTATTGTTGTTAGTATTATCCCTTTATTGCTGTCACAACCTCTAAATTAACATTAATGATCTTCCTCCTCATTCTCCACCACTGACTGTGTTTGTTTGTTTATTTATTTCTTGTTATTCTTGCTTTAGTTGTATTATTGCTGACTATTATATGCATGCTGCTTTCTACTGTTATGCATCTTCTACATTTTTGTTCCTTGTTTATTTGACTCATATCATGTCATTTGTGTTTAGATTTAAATATTCAGTTATTGATATAAATAAAACTCTCGAACATGTACATGCATGCATGTTTACACACATAAATATATATTTGTTTCTTGTATTTTTTGTACATTATATATATATTACATGCATACAGTTGAAGTCAGAAGTATTAGCCCCCCTGTTTATTCTTCCCCCCAATTTCTGTTTAATGGAGAGCAGATTTTTTTCAACACATTTCCATATTAAAACTGCTTTTATTCTAGCAAAAATAAAACAAATAAGACTTTCTCCAGAAGAACAGATATTTTCAGACATGCTGTGAACATTTCATGAATCTGTTCAACATCATTTGGGAAATATTTAATGAAGAAAAAAACAATCAAAGGGGGCGAATAATTCTGACTTTAACTGTATATATATATATTCTGTAATTACAGCATTTTGTTTTTGGATGTGATTAACCATGATTAATCTTTTGACAGCACTAGATGAATCTTAAAGCATCTCGCACACCCTAAAGCAGTGTTTTCTGTCATCTTACCGTTCCAGGTTTGTGTGAGGTTTGTGGAGGTCGTGATGACCTCATTGACCCTCAGAACTGGACTCTGGTAGGACACCAGGAAGGGGACAGACTCCCAAACCTGCCAGAAACACACACACACACACTTTTAAAACGTCAATCAATGGTTACAATTAATTAATGATAAATGTTGTAAAATTCCCCCAGTAGACGCCTTTTTAACACTCTTCAAAATATTTCCAGGATAAAAACATTCGATATCGGTGGAGCACTGATGCAGATCTACCTTTGCAGCATTGACGAGTCTCCAGGCGTTCAGGAGGCCGAAGCCGTACTTGTGGCTGTGATGGAAACCAGCTCCATTAGTGACCCAGTCCGCCTGAAGGTCATGCTGGACACACACACACACACACACACACACACACACACACGGAAACACACAGGCGCGCACACACACACACACACACACACACACCTTTAATGGTCTGATACTGTCCGTTAGGGCTGCACAGTATGTTGCTAAATTACTGTAATCCTGATATAGTATATGCAATACACCTAACGCAGACATGTGTGATCAATTACCAGATTAATAACCAGACCCCAGCTGAACAGAACTTGAATGTAACTGTGCATAACACAACATGACATGAACAGCGCTAAAACAATCAGAACATGACCAGCTGATATCCTCAGCATAACATGAGCATAATCTAACCATAACCTGGCCCATAGCAGCTATGCAGAGCAAGAATGCAAGCCTAGACGCATTCATGGTCACCAAAACCCAGGATTGGTGCAAACTAAACTGAAACTGAGCCGGCTAACCAGCTAATCCAGCTTGATTGTGGTGACCCCCGCTGTGTTATGACCTACACAATGAGTGTTTCTGCAGATGTGCTGTAAACACAGGGCTCTTTATGGTTTGTGGATGTACCTGTGTGGCGGTGTAGGTGATGATGTGCTGCACATCTCGCCAGCTCAGACAGGGCCGCACCTGCAGCATCAGCGCCACCATCCCTGCAGCCAGAGGAGCAGCGGCGGAGGTGCCCGTGTGCCCACTAGTACAGCCGGTGCCGCTCTGCAGAGACCAGTCTGACGTCACCTGACATAAATACACACACACACACACACACACACACACACACACACACACACACACACACACACACACACACACACACACACACACACACACACACACACACACACACACACACACACACACACACACACACACACCTTGATTACTCCTCTGGACTCTGTGTGGTTTTATTGATAACACTTACTGCACTAGAGCAATGTGCTGCACTTTTTATGTTGCTAGGCAACCACTGTATCAACTGTCTTGGTGCTGGAGCGCGTGACATCGGGGGCTTTTTCTGCACAGATTTTTCAACTGCAGGCGCACAGAGCGCTCCGTCAAAAACACGGTTTCATAAAATAACTTCCTCATATATTAGCATGTGTACTTTTCTGGCAAACAAACAATTTAAAACAACAAAACATTTTCTTTCATGATTTCCAAAGCACAACCCTAAAGCCAGGGGTCACCAATCTCGGTCCTGGAGGGTTTGGTGACCCCAGCCCTACGCCCTAGTTTACATTTCAGAATCATAAGAGGATATATTAAAGCTCTTTAAGATAACACATATACTGTCACCAGAGGGACTCTCTCAGCATATTACAGAAAATAAAAGTGTATAATACATATACAGTGGTGTGAAACAGTGTTTGACCCTTAACCTTTATTATTGTTTGCATGTGTGTCACATTTTAAAGTTTCAGATCATCCAATAAATGTAAATATTAGTCGAAGATCACACACACAAGTCTACACACCATGCAGATTTGAACTGAAGGCTTTTATTATTAAGGGAAAACAAAATACGAAACTGCATAGCCCCGTGTGAAAAAGTGATCGCCCCCACCCGAAGTGAAGTAGACCAAAAGATCCTCAAAAGATAGACATCATGCCGAGATCCAGAGAAATTCAAAAACAAATGAGAAAGAGAAGAACTGAGATCTGAAAAAGGATATAAAGCCATTTCTAAAGCATTAAAGTGTGACGGACATGATAATAGACAAGAAATCAGTAAGAGGCCAACACTCTGCATTTGAAGAGGATCTAATAATGTTTCAAGTTTGAGGTTGTTGAACAGATTTAGAAGAGTTTTGATGAAAGGTTTATGAAAGATGTTGACTATTATATACAGCTAAAGTCAGAATTATTCGCCCTGCTGTTTATATTTTACCCCTAATTTCTGTGTAGCAGAGAGCAGATTTCTCCAACACATTCCTAATCATAACAGTGTTGATAACTCATCTCTAATAACTGATTTATTTTCTCTTTGTCATGATGACAGTGAATAATATTAGACTAGATATTCTTCAAGACACTTCAATACAGCTTACAGAAACATGTTAAGGCTTCACTAGGGTAATTAGGGTAACTAGGCAGGTTAGGGAAATTAGGCAAGTCATTGTATAATGATGGTTTGTTCTGGAGACTATCGAAATATGTATCTTAAAGGGGCTAATTATATTGACCTTAAAATGGTGTTTAAAACATTAAAAACTGCTTTTATTCTAGCCGAAATAAAACGAATAAGACTTTCTCCAGGAGAACAAATATTATCAGACATACTGTGAACATTTCCTCAATCTGTTCAACATCACTTGGGAAATATTTAATGAAGAAGAAAACAATCAAAGGGGGGTGAATAATTTTGACTACAACTGTATGTGTATGTATATGTATATATATTATTATCAACTGCTGACACTCACTATGCTGCGCAGCGGTGTGTTCCCGCTGCTGAAGGTGACGGCCAGCATGGACGCACACTCCTCCGCATAGGTTGGTTTCCTGCCGCTCTCGTCCACTGCTCCTGCAAACACACTCCACCATCAGACAAACACACGCGTCTTTATTCTACTGTAACAGGATGAAAATACTTCTGAGCAGCAGCGGGGGGGGTTGGGGTTTTTAAACTTTGTACCCGAGTTCTACACACTTTCTGCCAGTAATAGTAGATCATCCGGGAACCTTTGGCAAACTCTTTCAACAGTTTGGGACACACGAATGTTATTTTCCAATACTGTTCAGGATGCATAGCGTGTGCATTGGGATGCAGCAATGGTTGCTCTTTAAGCTGTATGTTAATCGAATACTGGGATTGTAATGCTGTGTTCACACCAGACGCGGAACGCTATTCGCACGTAAATTGCCGCGTGAACGTTTGAGGTTACTCGCTTCATTCGCGCTTTATTTGATGACTTGTTGTCGGTGTCTCGTGGAGGATTTCCCCTGGGACACCATCAACAGGTTCTACGTCACAATCACGCCCCCACAAGAGCAAGCTTCTGATTGGTTAACGCGGCGCAAATGTCCGCTGAAGTTTAGATTTTCGAACTCGAGAGATTCGCGCGAAACGCTCGTTAAGCCCGTCAAACACGCAAAACGCTCAATTCACCTCGCACCATTCGCGCAATTTGCGTCATTCGCATCTATCGCGCTGCAGGATGTCTATTCGTGCGTTTGCATTGACTTAACATGTAAATCACTCGCGCTTGATGCGCGTTACGCGTCTGGTGTAAACGCAGCATAAGAAGCCCAGTTTGAGAACCTTTGTGTTTGAGCTCGAGCTATACGCATTTATCCGTTCACGCACTGATTTATTGTCAGTGTTATATATCGTATGGACACCGATAGCTCATGTTTTACACCCAATCACCAGCAAGACGACTCAACAGAGGATCGACAGCATATCTGAAGACAAACGCATCCGCCATTTCCATGCACCCAATCATTTACACCTTTTATCTTTCCTCTCTCGTCATTAAAGAAGCGCACTGACAGTTCCAGCAGGACAGGTGTTATTCTGTGTTCTGTTCGAGCGTAAACGATGGTTAATCTGAACACTGAGCCGTTATTTCACTTGACTTGGAGTTAAATTTGGGTTAAGTTGATTCTGTGAGTTATTTGCGTTCAGTACCGATGGTGACGGTGTAGATGGAGTTAGCGTAGCCGTCGTAGTTGCAGTTGTCCTGATTCTGTCCTCCATTGCCACTGGCCACAATGAAGATGCTGCCGAAACCCTTGCGGCCCGCGATCACACCGTGCTGCAGCGCCGCCTGCAGACAAACACAGCAAAACACCACCTCCATTACTCACTGATCAGCATCAACACAGGCTGATGGCTTTAACTCTACAGCCCATCAGCATCTGCAATAGTCACACCTTTAAAGTCACACATGAGAGTGTATCTAGGCAAGTTTACGCCTAGGCTGAAACACCAGCACTGTGTATGAAAACTGAGCAGCAGATATGTGGAGGAATGAGTGCTGATCCTCACCTTGCCTAATGGATGCGGTCCGTCAACCGTCCGGCCGTCATCATCTGGACCCCAACTACAGCACATATGACATTATAAACATCAGCTCAACCAGTGGAGGAATGAAAACCCTTATTGAGCTTATTTAATTCTGTAAATGAACCTGAAAACAGTTTGACATCAACATGATAAATGCCAGAAAAGAAAACAGACTAATCAGATTCATCTAAACTAAAAATAAAGGTTTGTTTTGACTTAACATATGTGTGTTTATTATTTATATTTGGCATGTATATGTGATACACACGTTTAATTCCCCCCCAATTTCTCTTTAGCAGAGAGCAGATTTCTCCAGCACATTTCTAATCATAGCAGTGTTAATAACTCATCTCTAATAACTGATTTATTTTCTCTTCTGCATGATGACAGTAAATAATATTAGACTAGATATTCTTCAAGACACTTCTATACAGCTTAAAGAGACATGTAAAGGCTTCACTAGGGTAATTAGGGTAACTAGGCAGGTTAGGGTAATTAGGCAAGTCATTGTATAATGATGGTTTGTTCTGTAGACAATTGAACAAAATAGCTTAAAGGGGTGAATAATATTGACCTTAAAATGCTGTTTAAAAAATTTAAAACTGCTTTTATTCCAGCTCAAATAAAACAAATAAGACTTTCTCCAGAAGAAAAAATATTATCAGACATACTGTGAACATTTCCTGAATCTGTTCAACATCAATAAGGAAATATTAATTGAAGAATAAAAAAAAGAAAAGCTGGCGAATAATTCTGACCTCAACTGTATATATATCATAAATCTGAATACAATATCTCTGAAATATATGGATGCTTGTGTGTATTTATATATACATAATAAATATGCACAGTACACACACACATAATATGTCAAAGCAAACTTTTATTGGATGGGTTTAACCACAATTAATTTTTGCCCAGCACTAAATCAAACATTTGCAAAGATGTGTTAAAAATACAGCTAACACTTAAGGGGGTGCTCATAAGACATGAAACCATATGCGGGCGCCAGCGGAGCGACGGGCTTACGTCTTTCAGGGCGCACCCAGTAGATAACATCTCACGGTGAGAGTTGTGCGTGCCTTTCAGTGCAGTGTAAACAAAAGATATGTTAGACGAGTTATTATTAAAATGATTATGCATGCATGAACGCAGATGACAACAACAGTTAATCTAAATAGCTGCTTACCTAATATAAAGCTTGAATTTACATTAGACGTGATAACAGTGAAAGCATGATTATTCCTCAGACTATATAATTGTACATCCAAAATCTATAATTGTTGCATCCCTAATTGTTATGCAGTTCAAAACATCACATATGAATGTGTCTGAATGTAGAAGAAGCCTACGTCAGCACTGCACTGCTTCTGTTGTGCTCTGAAATACAACATTTAAATGTTTGTAAAAAAAAAATGTAAAATAAAAAGTCTATTGTACAATAAACTGATATTATGTAGTTTCAAAATACAATATATTCACATTCTAATGTAGAAAAATCCAACTTGGGTGTCTTGAGGATCAAAAATATACAGCATATGGGCTCTTATATGCTGTTGTGTCATCACTCATATAGTCATATCTCTCCGGCCTTTCGTTTGGGATGCCTTTCATGAAGCAGACGCCATGACAAACTAATTGAATAGCCCTGCACTAAGCTAATAAGATGCTTAGATTTACATTAGACAAAAACAATTTATTTATTAATTTTTATTGTTCTGTCGTTTATTTTCAGTTAAATTGTTACTTATGTTTAAATGCCAAAAACACTTATTTTTAATTGCGGTAATAAATGGATTTAATTGCTCGTTTTTATCATTATTTTGTGCAGTTTTAATTGGTTACTGAGCAGCGATAATTAACACTTTAAAACATAAGAAGTTTTCATGCGATTTTCTAAACTAGTAGTATTTTGTAATGAAAGAACACATGATAATCATGATAACCGTGATCATTCCTCAGACTATAATCGTACAACCAAAATCTATAATCGATGCATCCCTGATTGTACTCAGACTTCCACATTCCAACAGGATATGTTTTATGTTAGGAGTACAACAAGACATCATAACATGTCATAAATCTGTCATAAACATGATCGTCATGAAGCCACTATAATTGAGTTATGTGTTACATTTGTCATTAAAATGTAATTAAATGTCAAGAAATGTTAATAATGCAGCTCTAAAATTATCTGACAGAACACTCACACTTTAGTGACATATTCAGTTCATTCCAGTGAAAAAAATATTAAAGTCACCATCATAACGCCTCATGACAGGCATGTTTATGACAGGTGTAGTTGTCCTGGTCATGTCAAGATGTCATGAAGACACTGACCGGCCGTGATGTATTTGTTTATGTCAGGCTGTCTTTGCATTTACAATGTCCTAACTGAGGGAATGACACTTAACGTACTCAAGTACATCACTTAAGTTTACTTATAAACTAATTTCGAGAGAAGCACGTAACTATGTTTGAACACGCATGATTAATAATGCAGGATTCACCAATCAGAACATTCCTAACTCACTATAAATGACCAGAGATCCTTACTACAGTCCTTACTTCACCCCTTCCACCCCTACTCCTCCACCTTTCCCTGTATAGGCCGGCACGGTGGCCCACTGTTGTCTAACAGCAAGAACGTCACTGGTTCTAGTCCTTAACAGGCCAGCTGTCGTTCCTGTGTGGAGTTTCCCCCGGTTTCCTCCCACAGTCCAAAAACATGTGTCATAAGTGAATTGATCAATCGAAATTAACACTAGTCCAACTCTTAAACAGCAGTATAGGAGGGGGGAGGGGCGTAGTTAGCGAGACCTACCTGAATTCAAACTCCCCTCTCGCCCTGCAAACAGGAGGGAGCCCCGAGCTCGAGGATCTTATGAGCTCAGGGCTCTCTCCCGGGACAGCATGCAAAACACGCTTTATAATCAATCATCAGCTGAGGGTAAACGGGTGAAGTGACAGTAATATCATGATTATAAAGGTCTTACGAACACCCTCACACACACACACACACACACACACACACACACACACACATTACCTGCAGCTGTAGATGTCATTGACCTGGTAATGCTTGTTGAAAGCGATGGCCTCCATACTGTCTGTGAGCGGCCCGTCCAACACTCTGATGCCTGACACACACACACACACACACACACACACACACACACACACACACACACACACACACACACACACACACACACACACACACACACACACACACACACACACACACACACACACACATTAACAGCTAGATCTTCGTCGTCCACTACTTTTTTTTTTTTTAAATGTCATGTGAGTTAATTTTTACCCTAATTAATTTGCTTTTACTCAAATAAACAGCTGAATTAAAATGAATGTGGTCATGCTGAATCCGGCAGATGAAGCAGGATGGCTCTGGCTGACATTTCTGCAATGCTGGAAGTTTCTCATTACTCTGAGCAAGGTTGCTTTCACACTGTCATGTTTGCTTCAGAAGCCGGTGCGTCTGCTCCGCTAGTTCGGTTGGTTTGTGCATAAGTGAAACCCACAATCAGGCTCTGATCTGCACTAAAACAATAAAAATGAGGTCTCAGCTCAGCTGAAACGAACTCTGGGGCAGTTCGGTTGTAGTGAGAAAGCAATACGGCCCACCGAACTGACAAATCTCAGTGTATTAAGGGTGTGTGACAACCATATATATGGCTATAAGGAGAGAGAAGGATTAAAGATGTCATTCCTACTGGTAAAAGTGTGTCTTATGTCGAATATGAAAGTGAAAGCACACTGTCTAATGATTAAAATATATATACAGGGTGGGTCATTATGGATACACCCTAATAAAATGGGAATGTTTGGTGATATTAGCGTCCTGTTGGTGGCACATTAGTATATGTGAGGGGGCAAACTTTTCAAGATGGGTGGTGACCATGGTGGCCATTTTGAAGTCGGCCATCTTGGATCCAACTTTCGTTTTTTTCAATAGGAAGAGGGTCATGTGACACATCAAACTTGTTGGGAATTTTACCAGAAAAACAATGGTGTGCTCGGTTTTAAGGTGACTTTAGTTCCTGACCACTTATAAAATGTGTTCAATGTGTTGCCCATTGTGTTGGATTGTCAATGCAAGCCTCTTCTCCCACTCTTCTTCACACACTGATAGCAACACCACAGGAGAAACGCCAGCACAGGCTTCCAGTCTTAGTAATTTCAGGTGCTGCACATCTTGCATCTTCACACCATAGACAACTGCCTTCAGATGACCCCAAAGATAAAAGTCTAAAACATTGGGAAACATTGGAGGCCATTCAACTGACGACCAATCCACTTTTCAGGAAACTGTTCATCTAGGAGTGCTCGGACCTGACACTCATAATGTGCTGTTGCACCATCTTGCTGGAAAAACTCAGGGAACGTGCCAGCGTCAGTGCATAAAGAGGGAAACACATCATCATGGAGCAATCTCGAATATCCAGTGACTCTGAGGTTTCCATTGATGAAGAATGGCTCCACTATCTGTGTAGCCTATGGTGTGAAGATACAAGATGTGCAGCACCTAAAACTATGAATACTGGAAGCCTGTGCTGGCGTTTCTCCTGTGTTATTGCTATAATTGTGTGAGGAGTGGGAGAAGAGGGTTGCATTGACAATCCAACACAATTGGCAGCACACTGAACACATTTTATAAGTGGTCAGAAACTTGTAAATAACTCATGAAAGAATAAAGTTACGTTAAAACCGAGCACACCATTGCTATTCTTGTGAAATTCCCAATAAGTCTGACGTGTCACATGACCCTCTTCCTATTGAAAAAAACAAAAGTTGGATCCAAGATGGCCGACTTCAATATGGCCACCATGGTCACCACCCATCTTGAAAAGTTTGCCACCTCAGATATACTAATGTGCCACAAACAGGACGCTAATATCACCAAACATTCCCATTTTATTAAGGTGTATCCACATTAACGGCCCACCCTGTAGTATCATTAACTTTTTGTTTAACTCAAATTCTGATTTCCAACTCCGTTTCCAAACAAAGCAGAGCCGATCTACAGGTGTGAAAGCAGCCTTAAACACAGTGTTGATGGCGAGGAGTGTTGTATGCAGTGTTTTACTGTGCTGTGACGCACCGGCCACCCTGCTGCCGTATGCCACGCCCACCGCACAGAAGCTGTTGTTGGAGACGGCGGCGATCTCTCCAGCGCAGCGCGTGCCGTGATGATTATCACTGGGACCGTCTGGGTGAGGCATGGGGTCTGGGTCATTAGAGTTCAGGTCATAGCTGCCTTCAGGACTCTGGAAAACACACAGGTTTGTTTTTGTGAATTGTGGGGACATTACATAGGTTTCCATTGTTTTTATACCGTATAAACTGTATTTTGCATCCGTCCAAGGTTAAACTTACCAACTACACTGTGGCCCAATACCCTGCTCTGATTGGTCAGATGGCCTTATTCTCTGCTCTGATTGGTTATTTGGCCAAATACTTAGCTCTGATTAGTCAAATGACCCCACACTGCCAACAAACTTAGTTCTTACTTAGTTTCTGTCTTGTTTCTAGACCAAATATTTGAAAATCCTTTAATCAAGAAGCAGTTTCTAGACAAGTAAAAAGTATTTTTATAAATAATGAGTCAAAATCAAGAGATTTTTTTATTAAAACAAGCAAAATAATCTTATTTCATATCTAAAATGATGTTATTTAGCTAAATGCATTGGCAGACCATTTAAGGAAAATTTTTGACTCATTATTTTGACTCATTTCTGAACACAATAGTTGTGCTTTTCTAGTAAACGTTTCTTGATTTAAGAGTTTTTAGGTATTTGGACTAGAAGCAAGACACAAACTAGAGAGAAACGCATTATTTCAAAGTGTATACTCTGCTCTGATTGGTCAGATGGCTTCACACTCTGCTCTGATTGGGCAGATGGCTTCACACTCTGCTCTGATTGGTCAGATGGCTTCACACTCTGCTCTGATTGGTCAGATGGCTTCACACTGTGCTCTGATTGGTCAGATGGCTTCACACTCTGCTCTGATTGGTCAGATGGCTTCACACTCTGCTCTGATTGGTCAGATGAACTGATTTCTGCTAGTCTAAATCCCTTCCGTGAGCTGATTCTCCCTGCAGATGGAGCTCTGGAGGTCAGATGCTGATTCACTCACATAGTTAGGCTGGATGTCTGCCAGGTTGTGCTGAATGCCGTCGTCCACCACCACCACAGTGACGCCCGCGCCGGTGATGTTCCTCTCCCACACGCCCGTCACATTGATGTCCATCCCTCGCTTCATGTCATTGTGCTGCGAGAGCAAACGTACAGAGATCAGATGAGTTTAGACTAGTCATCTAGTCATCTAGTCTAGACTAGTCATCAAACACTATCAGTGTAACCTTGAGCAGTTCAATACAACCTCCACAGTGCAATGCACCAATGGATATTGCGGTTTTCAGATTTACATTAAAACCTACTATATTCCTCTCGCTGAGTGTTTTTATCAGTATTGATCAAACAACAAAAGACAAGCACAGAATCCCTCCCGGCTGTCGACTGAAGCACTGCTGTAGCTTTAATGGGAAACAAGTTTAATTCTCACAGCGAAGATTGCAGAGAGTTTCATTTGTATATTTTTATTCTGCTCTATTTCTCCATAATTGTGATATGTTTCCATGTTTTCCATCCAAAAACGACATATATTCTTATAAATAAATGTGAATAATCGTGATTACGGCTTTTCCTAGGGCTGGGCGATATTGCAAAAGTACTGAACGAATCTGTACTTCACTTGAAACTGTAGATGACTTCAGAACATGTGGGATATAGCAGCCTACATGACAACTAAAGGTGTCACGATTTCGATTTTAAATCGAAATCGATCGAAATGTATGCTCAATTTCGATTATCGAATCAAAAACTGGAATTGTCGATGCTGCCACGCCCCCATGTCACATAAGCTTTGCTTGCCAAGCGGAAAAAAACACGCTTGTTGAACTGCGGACGCAGGAGACCTGTCGACAGAGATTAAACCCTCTCCTCTGTCAATGAAGTCGCCGGTGTGGAAGCATTTTGGATTTCCAGTGAGTTATGTTGACAACGTTCGTGTTGTCGACAAAAAAAAAAAAACACAGTTTGCAACCTCTGCTATGCAAGTATTAGGGTTGGACGAATGCAGGCATCACGATCCTCCGCCCAACCTCCGTTGTAAATCCACTCGCGAAAAATACTCACTCTGTTTACACTAATAGGTCTTAGTTTTTAAATGGTATTTTATAACGACAACAATCCACATCCACGCTGGCGTTTACATTTCCGAGCAGCCCTCCTTCCTCACTACTGCTAAAAACGCACATCACGTGACCACACATGCACACACAGGCTCAGACACAGACGCACACACACTGTCATGCGCTCGAGAGAGCGGGTCAGTAACGTTAGACTGCTTCAATCTTACACTTTCACAACTGTACTTGGTAATTTTAGCAAATACCTCAGATACTGTTGGCTGGTTCCTGTTGGTTGTGCACTTTTTTTTTTTACCGTCGCCATTATAAGGACACAGATCACTGCCTATTCACGAGTCCCGCGGAAAAGGTGATTGACAGGTGGTAATTATGTGTGTAACTTATTATTCATTTACTGTATGATTTGTTTATGATTTTGTTTAATTTTTCTTTTTTAAATCGAAAATCGAATCGAACCATGACTTTAGAATCAAAAATGTAACCGAATCGAGGATTTGGAGGATCGTGACACCCTTAATGACAACTGTCGAGTGCCTTATAATAGGCTTCCTTCATGGCTTTTGTTGGCTTATAAAATACACAGAATAAAGCCCATGCACAGAATCAGTTTTGGATCGGTACCAGCTGGCCGATACCCGATCCAGGAAAAATATGCGGTACCGAACCGATATCCGATCCAAGTATCGGGATCGGTGCATCCCTAATTCCATACAAAGTGTGAAGCAGACTGTTTAGTTCTACTCACAAGAATCGTGGTGCGCTCGCGGCATTCGGAAATGGTCAGAAGTTTTCAACTGGGTGCGCCTAGAAAATGTGTGTGCGTCACATGTGCGCCACTCGTACACAATGTGCGCGCCTCAATAGGAAATAACAAATGTACACCCTAAGCTTATTGGCATGTGCGCTCAGCAGACACATTTAATAAACTATAGCCTTTATACTGAAACCTTTTTACTGTTATTGACAATGATGTTGGTCAATAAATACTGATACTAATTTCCTCACCCAGCCCTAGTTTTCCCATAATCGATCAGCCCTAATGGAAACAGGATTTATATGTGAGCATCTGTTCTTCTGATACCCACCAGGTGCCACTGACTGGGAAATTTAGGGTCATTGAAGTGCACACTCCTCTTGGAGCGCCGCAGCACATTTTCCTGCGAGTGCCAGGCCACGTGAGGGTGCCTGTCCAGAGCAGCCTCCATCCAGCGCCAGTCCTCGCCCTGCGCTGGGTCCTGGCACAGCAGGTAGTGCCCCTCCAGCTGCCCGATCTGCCCGTGGCTCCGCAGACCCACATCCTGTGCCACCGCCTGGGCCAGCAGATCCGGAGACCCGGCAGAGCTCAGGGAGTCCGGCTGAAGTTGCACCGCCCAGGAGCGCCCCGGAGCACATGAGGAGGAGGAGGAGGAGAACAGCAGGAGCAGCGGGTACAGTCCCAAACACACCCGGGAGGAGCAGGACGCCATGCCACACACACACTCCACATCAGATTAGCTGTGACACAAACACACACACTCCACATCAGATTAGCTGTGACACAAACACACACACACTCCACATTAGATTTGCTGCGCCACAAACTAGTGTTCTCAAAATACAGCACTATCCTACTTCAATACGGTCCCTTGATGAATATCAACACTCATGCGAGTATCTCCAGCAGCCTCTACTGCTCAACATGAGTGAGTTGTGTTTGTTTATAATCAGACTTTGATTGACATTAACCCAATGTACGTGTCATCAGGGGAGGAAAGCCCCGCCCACTAGTGCCCATCTCTCCATCTCATTAGCATCTCCAGCAGCCCTGAGTGAGAAGCAGCCGTCTGTCCATTAGCCGTTAGAGTGTGTGTGCATATTAATGATCCCACAGCAACACATCAGTCTGTGTTCTGGCTAGCGCTCTGATGACTCGACTGCTCGTCACGTCTGAATAAATTACCTAATGTACATGCAAATGATGAGGGCGTGGTCTAGATCACGGTTGACCCGTGATTCGTACGGATCACAACCCACGGTTTTTACTGGTAGATTAATCCTAAATTTGTACCAATCACAGAGAGATGGCCTCAATCAAATCTCATGTATGAAAGCATTTAGGCTTCCCTGTAAACTATAATGATGACGGAAGCAGTTGTGGTGGGCTATTGGGCATATGGTGGGTTTCTCAGGTTATTAAAGGTGTTTTCTGTCACGTCTTGTTTAGCCTGCATTAATGCATTCAGTGTAAGCTGCACCATTAATCATTTAAAGATCGAGATCTCAACACCCACGCAACATAAATCATAAATAATGGCGATTTGAAATTTTGCATATGTTTATTAATCTTTCCAATCGCTGCAATCAAATCTGAAAAAGCAAAAATTCAAAGAGATTCAGTCTTCAGTCAAATAACGCACAGCAGTACTGGAAGAACAGCTTATAGTTCAGATAAAGCCACTGATGTTTATGGTCAAGATTAAAATCACCGTTATGTGCATTTAACGACCCTTAATAATGAAAGGTGTAGGCAGCAATTCCATTAACCAATAGGTGGCGACAACCAGCCATCAAAAAATATGCCACTGAAGAATTCTTCAACAATGATCATTTAGCAATGACACATGAAGATTTATGAGTGAAGAACTGACTCCTTTATTGCAGATGAGACTGAAAATAAATATGGGTTGTACAAATGATAATGTTAGATTTCTACATTTAGCGTTATCAGTAGAGATGTCACGATCAGGTTTGCAGTATACAACACAAAAATTCTGAAAATTAAACTGCACCCACAAATAATACTAATCTAAAGGATAAGAGTTGACTCAATAGAACAAACACGATTGATTTGAATTCATTTAATATTTTAGCATTTATGAGGAAAAAGCTCCATTATGGATGTGATGGATGTGAAAATCCCATTTATGTGACATTGGTAAATCAAACATAATTTTTAAAAAACATTGACAGAGACATTTTGAGTAAAATACTTGCCTACACAAAAAAACATAGAAATGGTTTCCATATTGTGGTGAAAACTTTTTTTTCATGGCAAGGTTGACATTGCCCATATATATATATATATATATATATATATATATATATATATATATATATATATATACATATATATATACACGAGCAATTCCGTGCAAATGTCAACCTTGCTATAAAAAAATTAAGTTTTTACCAAAATACGGAAACTGTTTCTGGGTTTTTTGTGTAGGCAAGTATTTTACAGTACTTTAAAAATACTCAAAAATGCATCTGTCAATGTTTTCAAACTATTCTATTTGATTTACCAAAGTCACACAAATGGTAATTTCACATCCGTCACATCCATAACAACACTTTTTCCTCAGAAATGTGAAAATATTAAATGAAATATAATCAATCATTTTTGTTTTATAGAGAGCCAACTCTTATCATTTTTATGAGCATTATTTATTTTGGGTTGTGCAGTTTAATTCACAGAATTTCTACAAAGTGTGTTGTATACTGTAAACTCGCAGACTTTATTTGTCACATCCATACCGCATGCTTATTTTCCTCATTTAAAAGTACAAAACATGTTTACAGATTGATATTTTTCTCTGTGGCTAGTTGCTCTGGAAAATATAATGAGATTTTTCAATATAATGTTAACATATACTTTCTCTGTCAATTTATGTGTTGAGTTTTTACTGCAAATGTCACATCCATAACGCTGGAATTGCTCATATATATTTCCGAGTCCTGATTGGGAGGTAGGGTCCGATTCCAATCGAGTCTGAAACCATGTGATCGGTTTCCAATCACATGATTGGATCTGGACATTACTAGTTTACAGCAACAGTAGTAGTAACAGTGAATTTTGAACTGACACTGAACACAGAACTGAATATTTTAGTTTATTGTTATTCAGCTGATTATTTCTTCATATAATTTTTGCTAAAAATACAACTTCTAAGTTCTGTTAGTTAAAACCAAAAGTGTCTTGCAGTGCTGTTTCTCTAATAAATGGAAAGCAAATGACATATGTCTCCTTTTCTTTTTGGCCGTTCTGAAAAATGGTCCGATCCATGACTAAAAAACAATAATGTGATCAGAACCGTGAGATTTGTGCTCCATTACACCACTAGTGTGTTCTGCGAGTCACGAAACAGTCTGCTTTGTGTTCTCTGTGGTTTTACACTCATTAAATGTCCATGCAAACAAGATAACGGTCATGTCTGAGGCTCACGGTTTGCCCATAGAGGTGAAGTTGGTTCATATTCGCACATTCGTTCATTTAGAAGTCTCTGTATTGTTTACCGTGTTACTTTGAATATTCGATTGAAATTAGCCTGCAAGTGAGGCTTGAAAACAGCATTAACACTGTTTATTTGACAGTGAACAATGGTGTACTTTAATAGTCATTGGCTGCTAATTTGATTTCGCTATTTAGAGTTTGCAAATAATACTTTTATGAAATTATATTATTAAGGGGAAAGTCTGAATGTGCGAATCTAAAACTGACTTTACCTCTATGGTTTGCCCATCTCCACATACTGAACTCTTATTACTCCACTAATTACTGCATTACTGCATATACCCACACTGTACTTACAGGACACCTTCAACAGCACGATTAAAACAATACATCATGCCAATAACTGAGGTAAAGTTGGTTTTATATTCGCTCATTCAGACTTTCTCTTTAATAATATAATTTCAGAAATGTATTCTTGGCTAATTCTACATAGTGTAATCATATATTGACAACCAAACATTGTTCATGGACAGTGCTAATGTTGTTTTGAAGTCATACTCAGACCCAATATTCAAAGTAGTGCAGTAAACAATATAGGGAGCATGTCAAACATGGAGGAATCTGCGAATATAAACCAACTTTACCTCAATATATGACAGTGAAGCACATATAAATAACTGTGTGTGTGTGTGTGTGTGTGAGAGAGAGAGAGAGAGAGAGAGAGACCGGAAGACATCAAAGCACGCCTCTCTGATTGATAATAATAATGTAATACAGCATCAGCTCATGAGCTAATCAAGATTGTAACTCATACACGGTCCTACATCGCGGATAATGGACAGATAATGGAGTGTATAATGGGTCGCTGAGCTCAGCAGTAAAGTGACCGGCGGACGCGCAGGACTCATGACCGCGTTCTTAACGTTACCTGTTAATAACGCCGCTCTACTTCACCAGCGCGTGTGTCTCTTTGTTTTATTCGCGATGTGTTTATCTTCATTATCTGTCAACCGAAACAGCGACATCACTCCACAGATCAGGTTGTGAGACAAACATCCGCGATCGTCATCTGCTCCGTCACATCCGGTGCGCGTGTAGCTCGTGTAGAAGGGATACAGCTGCACAAGAGTTCATATTTCTACATTACGGAGAGGGTTGGGGAGGTTGATAAAATACAATTAATGGGTAATTTAATAAATAATACGATTAATACTCGGTATAGCTAGTGTTTTTACAGTACTGTGAGGGTTAGGTTTAGCTAGGGGGGGTCCAAACTCGGTCCTGAGTTTGGACACCCCTGAGCTAGGCTGAGACGTTTATAGAGTATATTGAACAGCAGTCATATTAAAAGAGCATTATATATATTTTTAGAAAATGTTTATTATAGACTTATCTCAACACCTTTTAAACAAAACTTATTTCTAGTCATTAATTTCTGTTGTCATTTGCCGGATGATGACAGTGTTGTAGATGTATAAAGTGAGAATCCGCTCTCTGTACTCTAGATGGCGCCAGAGTGCATCTGTTGAGCTGCGGCTGTAGTTAACGAGAATTATGAACATTTCAATATTAAATTATCCTTTATTGTACTTTATTATCGTTTACAGCAGCCCTTACTGTAATTATACCAAGCTCATATTATTTAGTAAATTACCCATTAAACAGTGTTTTATTAATGTTTACCCCAACCTCTCACACTAACTTAGAATCAAATTACTAATTAAATTGTATTTTATTAATGTTTATCCCATCCCTAAACCTGCACGAGAACAGACATCCGAACTGCACTCATGTAAACACAGGCCCATAGCCAGCCTATTGAAATAGGTGGTTCTTTTTTTCTGATAAAGAGGAGTTATTTGCCTAATTTTTTATTCAATTGTATATTTTATTGACATTTTAATAACTAATATTTGCTGGATCAGCTTGTTGGGTGGTGATCATAACCACACTTTTTTTTGATGCACCATAAAAATATTTCCTACAGTTTTGTCAAAGTGCTCACCATACTATTTTACTATGAACTATTTATTTACAAATGTGGATTTAAACTAAGTTAATCCAGTTTTATAAATATTGCAATGAATAATAATAAAAAATAATAAAGATATATGAAATAAATACTTATTTTAAATACAAAATTATTATCCATCATTTAAAAAAATAGTTTTAAAATAAAAACTGGCCATCTCGTTCAACTTTCCTTATTCACAGTTTGGCCATTTGAATAATTAAAAATTGAATTTGGCTTAAAGTCTTCATCTATGGATAATTTTCACAATTTATGATGCTATAGCAGTCAAAAAATGGGATAAATGAGCTCATGTTAGGGTCAAATTCTGGACTTTGCCAGTGGGGGGCGGGTCTTGGCCGGAAATCTGCTAAATAATGACTGTAGGACCACCGTTTGAAGCAAAACACTCGATTTAATCAGCTCATCTGACGTGATTCAGTCATCATTTTGAAGCAAATCACAGTTTTACAAACAAGACAAACACATTCATATGCAGAGATACAGTCACAGAAACTCAAACAGGCTCGTGAACCAGTAGAGAATGAGGAAGTGACATCACTGCCATTTTAGGTGGACTGTCCCTTTAAGAACGGTTTCCTTATTTAGTGTTGCGTGATTAGAAAACCCTCAGAGCTTCCAAACCTCCCGGGCGAGTTCATGACGGAGCTATGAGGATTATTCTGGGCAGATCATCTGAAATTTACTCAACCGTGTTCACTGACAGTCTTCATTTCTCTGTGAGGTCACTCTGGTGCACACACACACACACACACACACACACACACACACACACACACACACACACACACACTCATTTACTCGAGTGGGCACAGGCTGATGGAGGAGCCGACCCCAGACCAGAATCTGAAGCTGGCCAGCAGAGGGCGCTGGAACTCGGTGTGTACGCAGCAGATCTCCTGCGCGTCTGCGTGAGTGGGAGTGTGTGTGACGCGGTAGAAGGCCAGAACGCCGGCCTGCTGGTCTACATAGACCCCGATGCGCTTGGCTTTGGGTCCCTGCAGCGGCGTCTCCTTCCCAGCATGCCACAGAGAGAAGGCTCGGCCGGACCAGTACAGGCTCCAGGACTCCGCGTTGTGGCCCAGACGGGCGCGGTCGCCGGAGGAGGAGCGGTCCATGTGTGCGTACGCCACACCCACCGTCACCTGCAGGAGGAGGAGGAGGAAGAGGAGAAAAAAAAAGGAGGAAGAGGAGAAGGAGGAGGAAGAGAAGGAGGAGCAGGAGGAGGAGAAAAAAGGAGGAAGAGGAGGAGAAGGAGGAAGACAAGGAGGAGCAGGAGGAGGAAGAGGAGGAAAACGAAGAGGAGAAGGAGGGGAAGGATGAGGAGGTGGAAGAAGAGGAGGAGGGGGAGAATGAGGTAGAGGAGAAACAGGAGCAGCAGGAGGGAAGGATAATGGGAGGAGCAAGAGGAAAAAAGGAGGAAGGAGGAGGAAAAGGAGAAGGAGGAAAAGAAGGAAGGGGAAAAGGAGGAGGAGAAGGATGAGGAGAAGGAGGAAAAGTAAGAAGAAGAGGAGGAGAATGAGGTGGAGGAGAAGAAGGAGGAGCAGGAGGAGGGAGAAGAAGAGGAAAAAAGGAGGAAGAGTAGAAGGAGAAGGAGGAGAAGGAGAAAGAAGAGGAGGAGGGGCAGAAGGAGGAGGGGAAGGAGAGGAGGAGGAGGAAGAGGGCAAGGAGGAGGAGAAGGAGGAAGCAGGGAAGGAGGAAAAGAGGGAGGAAAAGGATGAGGAGGAGGAAAAAGAGGAGGAGGAGGAGGAATGGGGGAAGGAGGAGAGAAAGGAGGAGTGGAAGAAGAATAGGAAAGGAGGAAGAGGAGAAGGAAGAGGAAAAGAAGGAGGAGGGGGAGCAGGAGGAGGTAGGGGGATTCGGAGTAAGAAGAGGAAAAAAGAAGAGGAGGAAAAGAATGAAGAGGAAAAGGAGGAGAAGGAATAAGAGGAGAATGAGGAGCAGCAGGAGGGAGGAAGAAGAGGAAAAAAAGGAGAGGAGAAGAAGGAAACGGAGGAAGAGAAGGGAAAGGACGAGGAGAAAGAAGAAGAGGAGGAGGGGGAGCAGGAGGAGGAGGAGGGAAAGGACGAGGAAGAAGAGAGGAGGAGGGGGAGGAGGAGAAGAAAGAGGAGCAGAAAGAAGAGGAGGAGGAGGAGAATGACGTAAAGGAGGAGGAGGAGAAGGGGGAAAAAGAGGAGGAGGGGGTGTTTAGTTTGATTATTTGTGGACCCTTTTCACATTTCTGTGTTTCTCAGCAGCAGAGGCTGTCACAGAGGTGTGAGACTGTCTGTGTGTGTACAGTATATATGTGTGTGTGTGTGTGTGTGTGTGTGTGTTTACCCTCTGGCCAGTCCACTCCACCTCCCAGTAGTATGGGCTGCCGGCGAGCGGCTCCACACACAGCACCTGTCTCCAGTAGAGGAAGCGCTGCGGGTGTTCTGGATAGTTCTGCCGCTCCGCACACAGAGTCGCCTTCCGGAACCCCTCAGACAGACGGATGTGCTGGAACGCAGAGTTCTGGTCCAGAGTCAGATCCACACGGACTGAACAGAGGCACACACACATCAATACACACACACACACACACACACACACACACACACACACACACACACACACACACACACACACACACTTCCTCAATCATACACAGAAGCAGACGCAGTGTGTCTTACATTTGAGCATTTCCTCTCTGGTCTTCGGAGCTGGATTGGACACACACACGCACGCAGCAGCCTCCTCTGCAGACACAACACACACACATGCAGAAACTGTTAACGTCAGTGACTGTTTGCGCTCAATATCATGGCGTTCCCTAGACCATCACTGCTGCTAGATGGAGCGTCGCTGCCAAGGACTACCCACCCCTTCTGGAGGAGCATGTGACCCAATGGGTCAAACACTGCCTCCTGAAGAAGTGGTGTGTGTCAGGAGGATAATGCAGCAACACACACAGCACGACTGGAGACAGAGCGGTCTGATGAACACGACAGTGAAGTTGAAGATCTGCCATGGCCTGCACAGTACCCAGATGTAAACATTATTGAGCACTGGGGTGTTTTGGAGGAGCGAGTCAGGAAAGGTTTTCCTCCAGCAGCATCAGTAGAGACCAGACTGATCAACTACTGCGCTCTAAAACCTTCCATCACCTGTGTGTGTGTGTGTGTGTGTGTACCTGCAGAGGCCTGTGCAGCCGCTGGTGTCCTGTGCTGGTCTGGTGTTGCAGCAGCAGAAGCTTGAGCTGTGTGTTCCTCATCTGCAGAGTCAGACTTCACTGCTGTGGAGGAGGAGAAAACTACTTTATAAACACACACACACACACACACACACACACACACACACACACACACACACACACACACACACACACACACACACACACACACACTGAAGATCAGCTGCTCATACAGCAGCAGCACCCCTGAGCTCACCTGTGCTCTCACACACACTGGAGACGCTGGCTCCTTCATCACTGCAGGTGTGTGTCGCTGCGGACGCCTCGTTCACTGCAGGACACACACAACAGACTGTCAAACACACACATCTTGGGAAAATGAAAGTCTGTGTGCATATATCCCATTCACTTAGAGCTGATTCACCACACCTGAGTGTGTTTCCCTCTGCTGGTGAACACAAAGGAAGATATTCAGAGGAATGCTGCAGCAGACACACACTGACCTACACTCTTTGTTTTCTTCATACAGTACACATTAGCAGCAGGTGTTTCCTCCAGCATTCTTCAGAATATCCTCCTCTGTGCTCAACAGGAGAAACTCAACCAGGTCTGCATGTGCTCGAGTGTGAGGTACTGAAGAGGACACACACTCTTCTGGGTCGACCGTGTCTTTTAGCAAAATGATAATGGTGTAGACGCAGACGTTACAGCAGACGGGGATGCTGAAGGTGGGATACGGGGATGATTTCCTCCAGCTGAACTCACCGACTCTGAAGACCGAGGCCAGGCAGGTTTTGGTCAGGTGTTCTGCGCTCTCTCTGAAAGAGTCCAGAGCGGATCTGACTCCTGAAACCACAGAATCTGGAGTCTGGATCTCCAGCTGCGCACGCTCTGATGCATCCACAGAGGACATGGCACTGAACGCCTGAACACGCACACACACACACACACACACACACACAGAGATAAAAATGCTCATTTATTATCAAAGATGAACCCAAATAGCAACTCTAGATGGTGTGTGTGTGTGTGTGTGTGTGGTGTTTTTGCAGCGCAGTGTTTGTTTCGGTCGACTGCTGTGATTGGTTCAGAGAGTAACCCAGCTGTAGAATCTCTTGAAAGCAGAGTGTTTGTTCACAGTGGTGTGTTATAGTCCCGCCCCTCCTGCACTGTGATTGGACGGATCGCTCAAGAGTGACATCAGCTGTTACCATCCATCTGTTTTATGCTGATTTAGGATTATCACATTTCACGAAAATGCCTGATGGAGATGCTGAGATGCGCATACATTTTGAAGATGTGCATAATAAAGCGTACAGCTGAAGGCAGAATTATTCGCCCCCCTGTTTATTTTTTCCCCAATTTCTGTTTAGCAGAGAGCAGATTTCTCCAGCACAATCCTAATCATAACAGTGTTAATAACTCATCTCTAATAACTGATTTATTTTCTCTTTGTCATGATGACAGTAAATATTATTAGACTAGATATTCTTCAAGACACTTCTATACAGCTTAAAGTGACATTTAAAGGCTTCACTAGGGTAATTAGGGTAACTAGGCAGGTTAGGGTAATTAGGCAAGTTATTGTATAATAATGGTTTGTTCTGGAGACTATTGGTTCTCAAAGTGGAGTGGGGGGGGGGGTCGCTCGGTGATTTCCAAAAATCTCATATATTTTATTAAACCATTAGAATTATCATATTTTATTAATAATTATATTTTATTTGTGAGCCCTGCAGCAGTAGTGTTAGTTGCAGCAGATTGATTTTGCGGTACAATATTAAACTGACACCTTTATGGCACTCACATCACATACAATAAAAATCAAGGCCACGACTGAACAAGGAGGAGGATCTGCAAGTGGCTCCAAAATTAAACCAAGATTAGTCTTGTGCTGTACATGTTGTGCTCACCATTCTCATTGAGTGAGGTCAATATTAAATTAAACAAATGAATAATGATTATGGGCGAGGCAGTGGCGCAGTAGGTAGTGCTGTCGCCTCACAGCAAGAAGGTCGCTGGTTGGAGCCTCGGCTCAGTTGGCGTTTCTGTGTGGAGTTTGCATGTTCTCCCTGCGTTCGCGTGGGTTTCCTCCGGGTGCTCCAGTTTCCCCCACAGTCCAAACACATGCAGTACAGGTGAATTGGGTTAAATTGTCCGTAGTGTGTGTGTGTGTGTGTTGGGATGCTTCCCAGAGATGGGTTACGGCTGGAAGGGCATCTGCTGTGTAAAAACTTGCTGGATATGTTGGTGGTTCATTCCACTGTGGCGACCCCAGATTAATAAAGGGACTAAGCCGACAAGAAAATGAATGAATGAATGAAAAAGGATTATACAATATATATGGTTGTATATGCTTATGTTCATATAGCTCCTATTGGTGTGTGTGTGTGTGTGTGTGTGTGTGTGTGTGTGCCATTGTGTGCAATATCTGTGTGCTTCTAACTAGAGCCAGACGGAATCTGCAGACGTTTTTGGCTATTTCTGCATAGGATTTTGGTAAAAATCTGTGGATTTCTGCGTAATTATTTTGTAAGTATCATAACTAAAACCTTAATATGTGAACTAAAAAATAACATCTTTTAAACTTTTATTTAATGTTTAAAATGCAAATCCATTTAGATCCACTTTATTTGGTAAACAAAGCAAGTCTCTCATATAATATCTCTACTAAAAGACTGAAAATATTACTGTACACACTGCATTGTGAATAAATCAGATGAACATGTTCATATTAGTCAATAATATTACTGAAATTAATTTAAAACAGAATAAATATAGATTTACACACATTTACACAATAAACTGAATCAATGATGGGCTAAAAATCTGTGTGCGCAGATTCCGTGTGGGCCTACTCATAACCACCTGCACAGTGGGGGTCGCAAGTCACTGGAGTTGTTATTTTAGGGGTTGCGGGCTGAAAAGTTTGAGAACTCCTGCTGTAGACTATCCAGAAAAAATATATAGCTTAAAGGGGCTAATAATATTGTCCTGAAAATGATGTTTAAAAAATTAAGAACATCCTCGAGCCTGGGGCTCCCTCCCGTTTCAGGTTGAGCTCAGGTACGTCTCGAGAACCAGTTTGAATTTGTTCGCTCAGCCTATTCCTTGATTATTAGAGGATTCCCACGGTGGAATGAACTGCCAACTATACCAGAATGGTTTATCCCAGTACTAAAACACTCATATACTGTATTCAATTCCCCTATAGCACATGTGTTTAAACTGTGGGGAGCACCCAGAGGAAACCCATGCCAACACGGGGAGAACATGCAAACTCCACACAGAAACACCAACTGACCCAGCCGAGACTCAAACCAGAGACCTTCTTGCTGTGAGGCCACAGTGCTAACCACTTATCCACTGCGCCACGCTGTGCTGGATTAATCTAGGATGGGGAATTCTTTAAGACGAAGATGACCAACAGAAGGAAATCTGGTTATTGATGTGCATTTGGAGTCGTCTGATTGGTCAATCATATGTTAGCTAATGCAGCACCGGCTGTGGTCAATCATAAACACGTGACCATCTCGAAGTTAGTTTGAGAGCCATTCTCAATCAGCAACACTACACTTTTGGCTAGTTTTGTAATCTGTGTGAAATGAAGACGTGGTGCAGTCTTCCCCACCTGACACACTACTGTCAATCCCTTCCCATGACAGATCACATGACACAGCGAGCAGAGAGTGTGTGCGTTCAGTGTCTTACGCTGAGGAAGTCGACGGGCTCGCTGATGCTGCTCAGCGTCTGCATCTCCTGCTGCCGGCGCTGGAGTCTGCTGATGTCCTGCTGCAGCCGCTGCGTCTCCGTCTGCATGAGGAGCAGCCAGGAGGACTGATGAGCCTGGAGGAGCTGCAGCAGCTGAGACACGCTGAGCTCCAGCAGGCCACACACACCGGAGAACACTGACTGGGAGTCCTGCATCAGCTGCTGCACAGAGGCCTGCACACACACACACATTGATCAACATGCACTTACACACACACAGACTGACTGGCAGAAGATGATGAGGTGTGTGTGTGTGTTGGACCTGGTAGGTGTCCGTGAGCTGTGGGAGACTCTGCAGGAGCTTCTCTCTGTCTGCAATGCTGCTCTGGATACGAGCGCTCGCGTCCTTCAGCTCCTCCTGTGTGTGAACATCACAGTACATTTAGAACACACACACACACACACACACACACACACAAACTATAATCAGGGGTGGAATTGGATTTGGGGCCCTAATCAATTCCAGGTATGGGGCAAAAACAGACCCCAACATCACCAAAGAGGAGTCAATCTGAACAGCACACAACGGATCCTCGAAGTTCTCTGATGGCTGTCATCATGAATGAGGACTCTTGACTGAGAATCAAATCTACTTTCGGGTAGGAATGAAGTATCTGCCGTACCTGTATCTTGCTCTGCTGCAGTTCGGGCCGCACCACCTGATGTGTGCTGTGTGTGAGGCGGCTGCAGTCCTCACAGACTCTCTGCTGGTCCTGCATGCAGTACAGCTCCGGCTGCCGCTGGTGTACGGGGCAGAGGTGTGGGGACGACGAGGGCAGGGTGGGGTACAGGCCTGAGGAGGGTAACGCAGCTCCGGACACGACCCCATCCTGCTGGCTCAGCTGCAACTTCTCCAGCGCCTCCATCAGTACCCTGCTGCAGGCCAGGACGGGCCGAGGGCTGAACTTGCGTCGGCACTGAGGACACTCGAACTCAGCCCGGGCCACTCTGGAGTCCCAGTGCTTCTGGATGCACAGCAGGCAGTAACTGTGGCCGCAGGCCAGCGTAGCCGGATCCTTCAGCACATCCAGACATATGGAACAGGAGAAGAGTTCTGGAGCCCAGGAGGACATTACACTGGAGGAGCAGAGGAGATGATCAGAAATCAGCACTGGCGGAGCGGAGTCTGCTTTTAAAGCTCAGTGGGAGCGGTTAGCTCAACTAAACTAGCATTACCAGTTCGGGATTTGCACAGCGCCGAATGACACAAGCGGAGAAAAATGAGAGGAAGGCGGATAAACCTGCTGAGCTGGTCAGAGGCTGGAAACTTCAGCACAACTCTGACTAATCAATAAAGTGATGTCATGAAAAGGTGATGATAATACTGTAATACTATGACAGTGTTTTAGTTTCATTAAACCCCTTAAACGTCACCTACACTATAAAAAGACATAGCATGACAATTGTCTAACCATGGGATGACTAGCAACATAACTTCTAAGAATATAATATAACTTCTATATAGATTTACACTTTGGACATGGTATGAGCTGGACTGTCTCTCTCATAGTGGTGATTATGCTTAAACGAATCTAATGTCCTTTTCGGTAGGTTGATGAAAATGCGGAGATTGGTCTTGAAATTCTGTTTGGAATAAATGTTTGATTTATTTTACAATGTCTGGACAGTTGGTTTAGGCATCGAGGTTAACACTCAGATTTCATTTGTACATATAAAATGACTAGTAAAGTTAATAGAATAAACCAGTATGAAAAACATTCTTTAACCTATTTTTTAAGATTGTTTATTTGGTATATTTATATGCGGAAAAGCCTATCAGTCATACCCGTCAACCCTTCCGTTTTTCCTGGGATTCTCCCGTATTTTACAGTTCTATCCCGCTATCATCCCATATTTCTCCTGTATTTTCAGTCTTTCTCTGAAGGGTGGCAATAAACATTAAATAGCTAATCCTCCCTGTACGCAACCTATACCGCCGAACCACCAGGGCCCACCCCTTGCTCTTAAGTGTGAGTCTGTTCTGTGCTTTCATTTAATTTAGGCATAAAACACTTTGAAATAAATACAAAAATAGCAGGATTCCCTTCCTTTTCATTGAAGTTTCAAGCCAAACCGGCCTACCTCAGTTGACAACTGACTATAATAAAATAAGTTCATTTCCAATTCAGTTTCTGACACTATCACGTCTTTTTCAATAAAACAGCTGCTTTGGAAATTCAAATGTTCAACAGCACTAACAGTATTATATGTCTTAACAATAAAAATGAAAAAAATAAAATAAAATAAAATTTTCCAGGTGAGATTCGAACACGGGTCAGCATCGTAGTAACGCAAAGTGCTTACCACTGGACCACAATGGCACTATTACAGTGGGAATAAACAATATGTATTGCACTGTGACCCGCAAGGTATTACTTTCTATTGATGGCTTAATCTTTTTCTCCCTATTTTAGATTTCTGATCAAGTTCTGTCAGATTTATTAATGTAGTGAATCCTCTGATTTTCATTGAGCAGGTGTAATATTCATTAAAATTAATTATTCTAATTCTAATATTCACTAAGGTGCCGCTGTTTGGGGTCGAATGATGATAGTTACGTCATCAATGTTAGTTAACCTGCAGGCTGCATTTTGCTCACGGTGCTGCGAGAAAATAAATAAGAAGAGCGGCACTGCGGCAAAATAATGAATAAAAAGAGTGAGGCTATGGTCAAATAAATAAATAGATGAAAAAAAAGAAAAAAATGTGACTGCTGAGAGTGCAAGCAGCTAGGGACACCGGCCCTCATGGCCAAAAAACCATTTAGCCAATCCGGGCCTGGGTGCCGTCTCCTCTTTATATGCAATCCTCAAAACAGTCATATAGCAGTGCGTGACTGTCAGCTGACGCGCTCCATAGTATCCCAAACAAATTCTGTATGCATGATTTAAAGCAGAGCGAAAGTCTAGGTTTTGGGTGTGTGTTTGAACAGACATACACATAATTAATATTAATTCTAAAGATGTCGATCTTGGTGGGGGGTTTTTTACGCAACTTTTTTTGTCCTAAATGAGCATAAAAAGTTTGAAAAGCAGTCGAATGCTTTTATTATAATGTTAGATGTGTGCAGTTTTAAAGTGACACGTTACTTAATGTAATTAAACAAAAAAAATGTAATAAATATGAGATTCAGTCGCTGCTCTTTAATCAGAATGTGTGAGTTATACAGCAAAGAAGAGGCTTATGGGAGTTCATAGCTTGATTCAGTTTCTTTATAATAGCTATTATTTTAATAAGCTGAACTGTTTGCTGATGTATTTGCTGCTAATGTAAACTATTTATTTTTTCTTCTGTAAATAATAATTATAAAACATATTACTGACCATTTAACTGTTTATTTACACAGCTCCAAATGAACATAGTACTACGGTGGGCAAATTCACATTCCAATGCTGACATGTATGTATTATTTTATTAAGCAGTACAACCAGAGTACAACGCACAAAAAACTTAATTAATCCTGAATAATGAATTCTGACGAATTGAGCATGGCAAAACATGAATAAAAGCCAACACACAAACAATCACATAGCTACTAATAAACACACAACTGTTAGGAAACCCCATTTTATAACGTTTCTAAATACGTGACTATCATAAACTGTTCGCAAGGAGCAAAGATGACCAGACGATGATTATTATTATTAATGAACTCACCTGAAGCGAGATTAAAAGAGTCTGGTGAGAAATTCAGCACTTTACACTTGTTTTTAAGCGTTTGGTGGCAACAGCCCACGAGTCGGTTCATTCAGAGGAGTCGATCCGAATGATTCTGAATCAGATCCTTTGAAAATGAATGAACAGAAAACAGCTGTCAAAGTAATTACAAATGAAACAAGGTGTGTGTTTTAAAAAAGAAACTTGCTAAATTGTGACTATGTGTTACTGTGTTCTTTGATTAGAGTTATAATATATATATTAAGTTGAATTACTAGAACCAGAATAAAGCACGTTTTAAAAGTACAACAAACTAAAGGACGGATATTTTAAACTAACTCTTTATCGTAATTTTGCTATTTTCATCATAGAAGCTTAACCTTTTTGTGAAACACGTCAAAATGACTTCAGGTCGACACAAAATAAATCATAAATTTAATGAGCGTTGTCAGTTTGTGGAGTGCGCGCGCCCTCTAGGTGGCGAACACTCAACACTCAACACTCTTTCACACCGCAGAAGAAGAGGAAGTTCCCTCTGTCACAACATCCTTCAGACGTCATCGTGCTGATTATGTGTTATTTTAAGGTGAGTGCTGTTGAGCATATATAGCTATTGATATTAATATGTGCACCTGTATGAACTCAATGGCTGATCAGTTAGTTGTAAATGTTTCTGGTTAGTTAGCGATTATTTTCTGAACGACGAGTACTAATTTTAAACTGTGCTGTTCGCCAGTGAAGCAGTGTAGTTCATAAAGAAATAATATAGCTAGAGTAGTGGATAGCATGCGTGCTGTCACACGCGTTATGTGTCAGGTAAAGTAGGGGTTTAGTGATGCACTAAAATAATAAGTGACCTCTGTATGACACTGTATGATCAGCAGTGGGTTAAAGGCTCTTCTGTATCATGTGTGTAGTCTAAATTGAGGTAAAGTTGGGTTTATATTCGCTTATTAGTTCAATGACATGGCTCATGTTTTGTTTATTGTACAACTTTGAATATTGAGTCTGAAATGGTATAAGTCTAACTTCACAACAACATTAGCACTACTCAATAGACTGTAAACAACGTTGTACTTTGATAGTCATTGGCTGATAATTTAATTGAATTCAGTTGACCTTTATTTGTATAGCGCTTTTACAATGTAGATTGTGTTAAAGCAGCTTCACATAGAAGATCATAGTAAATTGTAAAAGTGTAGTTCAGTTCAGTGTGGTTTAATAATCACTACAGAGGGTCTGAACACTGGAGGGCAAATCCTTCGATATGATCCCAAACCATGCAAGCTAGTGGCGACAGCGGAGAGGAAAAAAACTTCACCAATTGGCAAAAGTGATGAAAAAAATGTGATGTAATGTGATTTTCCTGTTAGGAATTAGCAAAGAACACTTTTCTGATGTTAAATTATTAAGGAAGAAGTCTGAATGTGTGACTATAAAACCAACTTTACCCCAATTGAGTCTAAACAGCTTTGATTAGCTCTACTAGTTTAGCTAAGACCAACTAATGACTATAAATAACGAGGAGAAACCATGCAAAACCTTAAATACCTTACAGATGACCTATTATGGCTCTTTTTACAATATGTAAAGTGTGTAGTGGAGTTAATGTTACAGCTTAAAATACCACACAAATAAAGTCCAGGGCTTCCCACAGGTTTGAAATATACTTGTTGTGGTCTCTGGATTGAAACACCTTTTACACTCAGCACATAAATAGTTAACTATATGTGACAAACAAACATAAAATGATTTTTAACTATATTTTTATTTATTATAACACTGTTATACACTTTATAATGGGTTAAAGTTATTAAAAAAGGCTGTTGAAATAAAAGAAATCACACTATTACACTATTACAAAGAAATTAAACTATTTACTTTCTCTCTCTCTCTCTCTCAAGTTGCTTTATTGGCATGACATTACAGCATTGCCAAAACATTTAGATATTTATAAAGTACGTAACATCATCAGCTTAATAAAATAAAAAGCAAATCAGAAATAAACAACAGAAAAAAGGACTAAAACTATTCAATAAAAACTACAAGAATGAAACGTGTAGATTATTTAAATAAGGCACATTAGTTAATTAACCATTCCTAGTGATGTACAAATATTTTGCAGCCAGTATAGATGTCATTTTGTTTTCTTCCGAGTATATAGTAATTAAATAATTAATGATTTACTGTTTCTCTCGCGGCTGCACAAAGGTAATGCAAATATGCATACAAATAACAGCAACTTTAGAAAGCAAAAGCCGAAAGTCTCTGCAACTAGTACCCATCTCTTCATCTCATTAGCATAAACAGCAGCCCTGAGTGAGAAGCAGCTGTCTGTCCATTAGCCATTAGAGTGTTTGAGCTGCTGAAGATGATGTCAGCATAGACTAAGAGGATTATAGATGTGGAGTTCTAGATGAACAGAGACAGGAGCGACATAGACTGACAGAAGCATCAAGCACACACACACACACATCTGACCAGCCCTCACAACACACACACTGCTGTTTTACATCTGTCACTAGGCTGACGCACAACCACATGTAGCTCCGCCCTCTTCTGAATAGAGCACAAGCTCATTTGCATTTAAAGCGACAGTCACCAAAACACCACAGTTAGGATCGAAGCCTGAAAGGGTCAGCTTCAGAGAGCTGGAGAACATCATCTGTGTGAAATTCTCAGCTCAAACACACACACACACACACACACACTCTCACAGCAGTTTACATCTTGTAAAAGGCGCATAATAGCTCCACTAATATCTGTGTGTGTGTGTGTGTGTTTTCAGGATGTTCAGCACTCCGCATGTGAAGGCCTGTGTGAATCTGCTGTGGGTTCACAGACTGTCTCTCAGAGATGCTCATATTCATCTCCAGAACAGACACTTCTGCTCCAGATCTGCTCTCACTCCTCCTCATAGATGTATTTCTGCAGTGTCAGGATCTTCTGAATACTCCCGGACATGCATTAGCACTCGTTTGCTTTTAGCACGCATGAACTTCAGCTGTGTACACTCAACGAACTCTGTCCTGCTGTTTGCACACCGCAGTTTGACTGCGTCTCCATCAGCGCTCTCCACTATAGTGAGTCCTGAAGGCTGCACGGGGAGACACACACACCGCTGGGGTCTAAATCAGCAGTCGTGTGTTAGCATTAGTGCAGGTCATGTGTGCGCTGAGAGCCGACCCGCAGTGTTTGCGATTCAGAGACGCAGACTGCACAGAAACGCACAGTTTGAGGAGTGTGTGTCTGCGCTGAACGAGGCGCGCTGCAGACGCTCGCTGCAGGCCAACGCTGCGCTGTACGAGCGGGACACACACCGCTGGGCCGCGGTGCTGGTGTGTCTGTGTGTGTCACGTGGAGATCCAGCGCTGCTCTTCACACTCAGATCTGCACAGCTGAAGGGCAGACACAAAGGAGACGTCAGGTACAAGAGCTCCGGTTTACCCCTTTTACACAACATAAGATCAGCCTTTGGTGTTCCCAGAGTGTGTCTGTAGAGATTCAGATCTAAATACCCTCAGATTATTTATTATACCCCGCTGAAAATCAAGATTAAGATTAATCTTATCCAGTTTCTGAGTCTAAAATACCACAGTGAGGTTATCTGATGTGTTTGTGCTGGAGTTTATTCAAGCCTTTCTGCAACAATGAGTCCCCAGACTTTAACGCTTCCCATTCACTTTGAACGGCATCGGCACAGCTTCAGAGGCATCAGCAGGGAGCAAACTATTTTCAGTCGGCTCACAATATGAGACACAAACCATGAGGAGACGCATGATTTTATAGTTTACAAGGTTAAAATGCAAAGAAATAAATAGTATTTTAATGCCCTGCTACATTTGGTATTGGTCATTTTATATACAGATAACCACAACAAGTTCTATCATTATAATCATGTTTATATTAACACTATAAATGAGGAGGACTTCTCTCTCAATCCCCAGCAGCAGCTTTGCTGTATCGGCTATGACAGCATCAGGTGGAAAAACATGCAACAAACCCCATGGATCATGGAAACAAACACATACGAGCCCGTAATGTTGCGTAGACGCGGTCTCACCCAGTCTTTGGGTCTCACTGCTTGGCAGGTCTGCCTTGCCTTCAGGAAGCACACGCGCTCATGAATAATTAAGAAGCCGGCTCTTCTCATAGGATAAGAATACTCCGCTATAAATAATAATGAGATACCGACACATTTTCACTCCACAAGCAGATTCGTGATACTTTACCTATTTGGATCCTACCTTAAAAATAGTTCCGGAAGGTGAAATTAGCTGACAAAAGCTCCAAATTATCTAGTTTTCCCCACAATTAAAGCTGACGGGTGCTGACGCTGTCTTAGCTGATGCTCACACACACACACCTTTAAACTTGTGAACCTCATTCTTGAGCTGCAGCTGATCACAGGGCTGAACAGATCTTTTAACCCCAGGGGTCTGTTCTTCATAACCCGCTTAAATGATTTAAGATGATTCAGCAGATCTTGGATCTGTTCATCTTGATAACTGATCTCTGGCTGATTTGGTTCCTCAAACAAGTTCGCGAATCAGATTAAAATGTCTGGATGAGCTGATCTGAGATCGCTGCGTGTGTTGTGAAGGACAGATCTCTCCATCCTCCAAATCATGATCAGCAATGCAGCGATTGGCTGACGACACAGCAGCGTAATGACATCATCTGATTAATATTCAATTATCCATGTGAGCAAAATTACATACAATTCATAGTAAACAGTTTGTTAAATGTAACACGCAATAACTTTACACATTTGTTGTGAGCTGCAGGCTTTACACTCTCATGTGTCGAGAGTATTCATGATGTATTTCAATGTATATCAGTGTATTTAGCTCTACATTTAGAGAAGAGTTTCTTTATTATAGTAGCCTAGGCCTACTCAAGGTTTATTAATCGGTGTAAGGAATAACTATAAATTAATTTTGCATCAAAAAAGCATTTTGATCTCAGTAAAAGCATCTGCAACTTTTGTAAAACATTAAATCACTGGCATATAAGCGGTCACAACATGACAGCATAAATTATTATTCTTTAAAAAAAAAAAAAGCTTTTTAAAAAAAAAAGTTTTTTTAATATATTTGTTTTTACTTATATATATATATATATATATAAATGTAACTGCTGTAAGAAAATATCAGCATTTGGTTCATACTTTCATTATAACCTTTGCTTGAACTGACCTGATCTAATCCTGTTTATATGAAATGAACCTGCTCCCGAGGTTTGAGTTACCAGAACTGTTGCTATGACAACAAGTCTCAGATAAGTTTTGAAGATCTAAACTATCGTGTCAAATCGTCAATATCTAAATCCAGCTAACTGAGTAATCCACAAACGAAGATCGGAGCCCAGTTATTTGCAAATCCTCTTCTGTGAACATGTTTCTATGCATTACTATTTAGAAATGTTAATACACTCCTGTCAATCAATCAAGTGGGCGGGGAAAACCAAACTCCTACATCACGTTGCGCTGTCTCTCAAAATCACTGGGATTTGGATGCCTTTAACCGTGCTCGTGTGCTGTTAGCTTTGCAGGAGGAAAGAAGGACCCGTCAGACAGAACTGTTGTGGATACGGCGCTCAGAGAGGCCGCTGAAGAGCTGGGAATCCACATCCCTGAGGAGAAGGTGTGGGGTGTGCTGAAACCCCTGCGGGATAAGGTGAGATTCAGCTCTCTGCTGTCAAAGACTGTACACACCAAGCCAATGGCAAAGATGAAATCCAACTGTTGTTGGTTCCCTCTGCTGTTAAACTCCAGCCTATCAGTGTGTTTCTCCCACTGTCTGCTCTTTTGCAGTCTGGAATGATGATAGCGCCAGTAATAGCCAACATCGGCCCACTGGAGGCGCTCTCTTTCCAGCCGAACCCCAGTGAGGTACAGTTCAGTAAATCATATCTTTATTTTTTCCCGCACTCTTCTATTAACCCTGCGCTGCTTCATTTGGCAGGTGGAGGAGATTTTCACCCTGACTCTGGAGCATTTGTGTGAGCCCCGGAACCGAGGATACACACACTTCCGCACGGGTGAGCGTTACGGGTACACACTGCCTGTGTTTCTCAGCCCGAAGCACCGGGTCTGGGGTCTGACAGCGGTGGCTCTGGATCAGGCTCTGAAACTCATCGTCCCACCAGAGCAGATGCTGGAGCGCAGAGTAATACAGCAGCAGCAGCAGCGGGACGCTTCATAAACACACAGGTCACACACACATTCAGCTGCAGGAATGAAATATGGGTCATATTTGAGCAATAAACAAAAGGGATCAAGCGGTTCTGCTGTCACTGGGGCAGCCACACTGCAAAACAGGCTGTTCTTACTGAGAGTTTCTGTCTGGTTTCAAGTCCAAACATCTAAAAACTCTTAAATTAATAAGCGTTTTCTAGACATATAGTGTTGTTTTCAGGAATAATGAGTCAAAATAAAGAGAGATTCTCCTTAAAACAAGCAGAATAATCTGACAATTGTTTTGGATTTGAAATGACACTATTTCTCTTCCGCATTGGTAGATTATTCTGCTTGTTGTAATGTAAAGCTCTAGTTCAGGCTTCACGTCTCTCTCTGTCACATTGGCAAGATTTTGATAATTATGAGTTCTGCACTTTATCCCATTATTGTAAAAACATTTTAAAGCTGCAGTCTGTAACTTTTATTTGCTTCTCTGAAATAAATGTTTGAGTTCATGAGCTGGAAATATCTACTCGTCCTAGCCCGACTCAGTAATGATGCTTTATTATTGGAGTTTTGCTGATATGGAAACACATCTGTGTAAACACAAGCCACTGAGGGCGGAGACTATGCTAACGAAGGACTGACAATTAATTTTCTGTGGGTGGAGCCTAAACACAAGCCACTGAGGGCAGAGACTATGCTAACGAAGGACTGACAATTAATTTTCTGTGGGTGGAGCCTAAACACAAGCCACTGAGGGCGGAGACTATGCTAATGAAGGACTGATAATTATTTTTCTGTGGGTGGAGCCTAAACACAAGCCACTGAGGGCGGAGACTATGCTAATGGAGGACTGACAATTATTTTTTCTGTGGGTGGAGCCTAAACACAAGCCACTGAGGGCGGAGACTATGCTAATGAAGGACTGATAATTATTTTTCTGTGGGTGGAGCCTAAACACAACCCACTGAGGGCGGAGACTATGCTAATGAAGGACTGACAATTATTTTTTTTCTGTGGGTGAAGCCTAAACAAGCCACTGAGGGCGGAGACTATGATAATGAAGGACTGATAATTATTTTTCTGTGGGTGGAGCCTAAACACAAGCCACTGAGGGCGGAGACTATGCTAATGAAGGACTGACAATAATTTTTCTGTGGGTGGAGCCTAAACACAACCCACTGAGGGCGGAGACTATGCTAATGAAGGACTGACAATTATTTTTTTTCTGTGGGTGAAGCCTAAACAAGCCACTGAGGGCGGAGACTATGCTAATGAAGGACTGACAATTAATTTTCTGTGGGTGGAGCCTAAACACAACCCACTGAGGGCGGAGACTATGCTAATGAAGGACTGACAATAATTTTTCTGTGGGTGGAGCCTAAACACAAGCCACTGAGGGCGGAGACCATGCTAACGAAGGACTGATAATTATTTTTCTGTGGGTGGAGCCTAAACACAAGCCACTGAGGGCGGAGACCATGCTAACGAAGGACTGATAATTATTTTTCTGTGGGTGGAGCCTAAACATAAGCCACTGAGGGCGGAGACTATGCTAATGAAGGACTGATAATTATTTTTCTGTGGGTGGAGCCTAAACACAAGCCACTGAGGGCGGAGACTATGCTAATGAAGGACTGATAATTATTTTTCTGTGGGTGGAGCCTAAACACAAGCCACTGAGGGCGGAGACTATGCTAATGAAGGACTGACAATTATTTTTTTTCTGTGGGTGGAGCCTAAACACAAGCCACTGAGGGCGGAGACTATGCTAATGAAGGACTGATAATTATTTTTCTGTGGGTGGAGCCTAAACACAAGCCACTGAGGGCGGAGACTATGCTAATGAAGGACTGACAATTATTTTTTCTGTGGGTGGAGCCTAAACACAAGCCACTGAGGGCGGAGACTATGCTAATGAAGGACTGATAATTATTTTTCTGTGGGTGGAGCCTAAACACAAGCCACTGAGGGCGGAGACTATGCTAATGAAGGACTGACAATTATTTTTTTCTGTGGGTGGAGCCTAAACACAAGGCACTGAGGGCGGAGACTATGATAATGAAGGACTGATAATTATTTTTCTGTGGGTGGAGCCTAAACACAAGCCACTGAGGGCGGAGACTATGCTAATGAAGGACTGACAATTATTTTTTCTGTGGGTGGAGCCTAAACACAAGCCACTGAGGGCGGAGACTATGCTAATGAAGGACTGACAATAGGTGCCTTCGACTTGAACCACAGCTGCAGTCGTTGATCAACGAGATTAGCCGAGCACAGGCGGGGACGGAGTTGAAAACTGAGCTGGACAGCCGGACACTTCGGGGCTCAAAGTTGCTGCATGGTGTGATCATTTATTTATTTATTGCAATAACAACAAAAGATTTACAGTACAGATAAATCAGAATACAGTCTCCACAGACTATAGTTCATTTTTAAATAATACAGGAATTATAAATTAATTGAAGTAGCATACTGTACAACAAACGCATGAGAAATAAGGGGAAAACGAGAGGGCACATAAGAAGGAAATGCATATCCATGAATAGGGTTATTTTGGATAATGAAAGCATTTTTAAAAAGCACTTTAGTCCAAAAAGATTGAACAAAAGGACCAAAATAAATGAGCTACACTTTAAGTAGAAGTTTCCCAGCAAGAGCAGGTACATCAATGTCAAACTTCAGCATAAACGGCTAGACTGGAAAGAAGTATTTTATTTTAATTTCTATTTTTATATTTAATAAAATATTTTGTTTACTTCATTTGTTAAGAAACCTTTATAGGGGTGTCAGGGTCAATGATGATATTTATTTTATTATTAATTAAACAAGTCTGTAAGACTGAAATTTGTGAGACTGATATTGTCCAATAATAAACCCGAACACACGTGGTTGTTGTCATGCGGTGAACTCGTGTAATATCAGTGTCATCATCGCAACTCCAGCAGTCGCTCTTCAAATGCTGCACCAGCTGAATCAGTCATCTGATCTCGGAGCGCTGTCGCGGTACTTTGAAGCCACATGTGACCGTCACGTGGCGTCGGCGCAGCGTCAATCATTTCTTACCAGCGTGCACCGCTTTTAGACAGATTTCTATTGATTTGCACAGCGCTGCATGAAGTCGAACGCACCTAATTATTTCTGTGGGTGGAGCCTAAACACAACCCACTGAGGGCGTGGACTATGCTAATGAAGGACTGACAATAATTTTCTGTGGGTGGAGCCTAAACACAACCCACTGAGGGCGTGGACTATGCTAATGAAGGACTGACAATAATTTTCTGTGGGTGGAGCCTAAACATAACCCACTGAATGCGGAGACTATCCTAATGCAGGACTGTCAGTCATTGCCTGTGGGTGGAGCCTAAACACACCCCACTGCAGGACCGTCAGGCGTCGTGGTGCTGCGCTGCTATGAAGATGATCAAGTGTCATGTGGTCTGTTATTCACACTGAATGTGTTGTTCAGTCCCCCAGTCTGACCCTGAGAGGTCGTTTTAAATGTGAGCATGTGATTTTATTTCTTAAATGCTTATAATAAAAGTGTTTCAAAGCTTCATGGTGTGTGTGTGTGTGTGTGTGTGTGTGTGTGTGTGTGTGTGTGCGTGCGTGCGTGTGTGTGTGTGTGGCAACGATCCGTAATTGCTCAAAACCTTTAAGTGTGCTTATCTGAGAATAACCAAACACCTGAGAGTGCTCATCAGCCAATCAGAATCAAGTATTCAGCGGCCCTGTGGTATAACGGAAATCCAGCAACAGTGGCACTCCTAAAAGCCGTTTATCAAATGATTATGAACCAAGCTCTCATACATGCGGTCTTAAACTTGTTTTATTGTTATGTATTCTCTTTAATCTGACAGTGTTTCTGGAGCACAGGTGATGCAGGTGTGTGTGTGTGTGTGTGTGTGTGTGTATTGATGTTAATCAATAAAGCTGATCTGCTGCTGAAGGTGTAGTTTCAGCCATGGCATCAGAGTGAACACACTGGTGTGGAAGTCACTGGCGTCCTGAACAGCTTCTCTGTGTTCAGTCCGAGAGTCACACGTCTGCTTGGAGCCCCAGCTGATCACTGCCACCTGGAGGACAAGAGAGGACACACGGATTAAGCTCAGGGTGTTTTTGTAAACAGAGTTCGACTGCTCAGAAAACCACAAAGCACTGATGATTTCACTTTCATATTTATATATGCATGCTTGTAGTTTATTCATGACGTGGACTTGATCATCCCAGTTGATCTAGATCAGGGGTGTCAAACTCAATTCCTGGAGGGCCGCAGCTCTCCACAGTTTTGTTCCAACCCTAATCAAACACACTTACCTGCAGGTTTCAAACAAGCCTGAAGCACTCAATTAGTTTGATCAGGTGCGATTGATTAGGGTTGGGACTAAACTGCAGAGCTGCGGCCCTCCAGGAATTGAGTTTGACACCCCTGATCTAGACGAATGAAGGTGAAATCATATGCATGTCACAGGAAAATAAAGCAACGCAATGTCAGATTTGTCCAGCAGTGTGCAGCCCTAAGATTAAGGAGTCAATTACAGAGAGTTTGAAGCCCTTCAGAGTTTACCCTTGGTGTTTCTCACTGTGAGGTAAGGAAATGAAGTCAAATAAAAATAACGCTCAAACGCCTCACCTGAAAGTGTCGCATCCTCCTGCGCAGAAACAGCGCTCCTCCTGAATCCCCTGCAGGACACAACACACAGTAGTTGCAGAGAGCACCGTATATATAGAGTATGCAGACCATATAGGCCAGGGGTTCCCAAACTTTTCAGCACGCGACCCCTAAAATAACAATACCAGTGACTCGCGACCCCCAATATCCTCTGAGGTGGTTATAAATACAGAAAACTGGCATGCAATGGCGCCAAAAGTCTATTCTTCGTTACATTATTATTTTTTTTGTATGTCAGTGCTGTAAATGGGCCAGAAAGTTTAACCTGGTGTTATAAAATCAATCTGCTGCATCTGACATTATTGTCTTTAATATAATGTAATTACCCCAGGGGTCACAATTTAATAGAACTAGTAAATAAGCTACTATAGTAACTATAAACGACTGTTTTTTTTCTCTTCAGTTGGTTATGGATAAAATATAGTAAGTCTTATGGCCTCATAAAAATAAGTAGATTTTTGGAAATCACCAGGCGACCCCCCCTTCATTGTTCCGCGACCCCTCAAGGGGTCCCGACCCCCACTTTGAGAACCACTGATATAGGCCATTTTGAGGTATGTAAATAAAAACAATGGTCCCAATGCAGTTCCTGTTTTACATTGTTCATTTCTACAGCTTTCGAGAATCCAAAAAGAGCCACATGTTGATAAATAATGTTATGATCGCTGTTTTAACATGAAGGTATGACTGAATCGCCTGTTGTTACAGTTATGAAATAGTTTAATAACAAGCAGGAAATGTTGATGGGCCAATGACATCACCATATTGAAATGGTCTACAGCAGGGGTGTCCAAACTCAGTCCTGGAGGGCTGCTGTCCTGCAGAGTTTAGCTCCAACTTGCCTCAACACACCTGTAAGGATGTTTCTAGAAAGCCTAGTAAGAGCTTGATTAGCTAGCCCAGGTGTGGAACTAAACTTTACAGGACACCGGCCCTCCAGGACTGAGTTTGGACACCCCTGCTCTATAGAGTATACAGTACAGTAGATATAGATATCTAGAGTATGCAGATGCGTGTGATTGGTTGACCTTTGCAGGTGATGTGGTGTGTGTTCCTGTCTGATCCTCCAGTGCACATGAAGCGCTCAGTGATGATGTCCGTCAGCGTGGCTCTGCTGTTCTCCTGCAGGACGGATCTGGCTTTCTCTGTGCATTTCTCTCTCTATGGAGGAAAGAGGATCAGATACACTACAGTCTCTCCGGCTCTGATGATCAGGCAGAACAGGAGAGACTCAGGCTTTTCGAGGACTCTCTGCTGCTCATCAACCTGCTTTATCTGATCCAAACACTGTACCAGCGGGAAATATCTTCACTCTTTCAGAAGAACTCTTTTCTAGATGAATATATTTTCAAAAGGTCATTTAGACTGAGATGTTCAACTTCACTGTCATGTTCATCAGACCACTCTGTCTCCAGTCCTGCTGCATTATCATCCTGACACACACCACCGCCTTCAGGAGACCTGAATATATATATATATATAAATATATAAAGACAGGACTCACTTTAGCGCCGCTGTGTACGTGTGTGTCTGCTCGATGTGTTCCCTGTGAGATGAAGTGAGCCGGCGTCTCCTCCAGGTGGAGCAGGACTCTCTCTGATGGAGCACACAAACACTCATTAAACTCAAACGGCTCGGAAACAAGTGCAGGATCAGGAAACGACGGCAGAATCTTCTCTTTAAATCAAAGCAGGAGAAATGTCGAGTATTTAAAAAAAGAGAACAACGTGAAGTTGGTCAAAGGATGATCGCATTTCTATTTTATTGTCATCCTCCTTAATGTCTTCATCAACACATATGGATTAGGTTGGCCTTTACTCACCGTGCTGATCACATGTAGAGCCCGCAGCCATTCTCAGAGCCCGATTCGAGGATTTTGTACAAGGCAAACAAATGGGCCTGTCAAGAACAAGATGCTGAACATTAATTGACTAAACAGGAGTGTTCAGACTCATTTAGATCAAGTCTTTACTCAGTTTCAATGAGAATGCTCCAGGGTTGCCAGATCCCAGCCCAGTGACAACTCAAACCAGCACAAAAGTATGAAAAGTCAGCCTGATCTCACGAGGAGACGTAAGTATTTTAACTTTGTCAGTTTAGTGGCTAATTTGTTGCTAATTTCAGTCGTTCGAAACTGTACGATTTTAAAAAGGAGGTGTGGCTCCGAACCCCACCCCTAACCCCAAGCGTCATTGGGGGATGAGCAAATCGTACTAAATTATACGAATTAGATCATACAAATTCTTACGAATTACCCACCAAATCAAAAAGTTACGAATTGCCGTGAGATTGTGTTGGTAAAGTAACCCAAATTTCTTCTTTGTCCAATCAAAGTCAATTACCACGTAGGGAAAGGTGCACTGAATCTTCTCAGACAGTCTGTAGTACACATTCAGATACAGTATGTGTGTTAAAGTTCTGACTCACGCTCTGCTCATTTATTATGTGATGCTTTTAATACAATTTTTGAAAGAAGTCCAAAAACAGCAATTGTAACTTCGCTGGTCCTACGCCACCCAACCCGCTCCGAGCTGGTATCAAACCGGCGACCTTCCGCACGTGAGAGTGTTGCTCTACCAAGGAGGCTAAAGACCATGGCCTTTTGCATCTGTCCCTAGAGCACCTTTAAAGGTCAGAGGAGTGGGGTTTACCTCCACAGCACTTACTAACTGGCCTCCCTAAACCTCACTCCCATCCGGGTCACGGCACCAATGTAACCCAGCCGGTCCTACACCACCCAACCCGCTCCGAGCTGGTATCGAACCCGCAACCTTTCGCATGGGAGTCGGTTGCTTTACCAAGGGGGCTAAAGAATATTGTTTGTCACTAGAGCACCTTTAGAGGTCAGAGGACTAAGGTTTACCTGCACAGCATTTACTAGCTGGCTTCCGTTACACAATCCTCAACTTATATCCATGCAACTGCATTATCATCTGTGTATGAAACCACATCACTGACAGCACTGCAATACTCTTTCAGCAGGTATTTAGAGCACTATTCATTAATATCACACATGGTTTGTCACTACAGCACACCATATTGTCTTGGTGAGTTTTTCGACACGATATTTATCAGAGCGTTCATTAAAGAAGACTGCGTTGTAGAAATCTGAAAATATCTGGCAACTGTGGTTGATCAGAACGGCTGAAAACTGTAATGCTGCGAGCACTGAAGTACAGAAGCAAACATGAATCACGTAGCTGACTCGTACCTTGTCTGTCGAGATATTGTGATGTTTTCCTTCATCCTGATCAGAGCGATGTCGTAATCATAAAACTCCTTCACATCCTTGTCCTTCAGCCCTGACACGTTGAACTGCGAATGAACGATCAGCTCCACGGCTTTAACTTCTCCAGCACCTGTATGAGAGATTTGAAGCTCAGGCCATACCTCAACAGTGATTTGTTCCGGGACCTCGCAATTCACAAATTAAGCACTGAATTAGATGAAAAGCTGTTTAAACACAAGCGGCGTCAGTAGCAGCAGGCTAATGCTGACACTCCATTAAAAATTCATTCATTCATTCATTTTCTTTCGGCTTAGTCCCTTTATTAATAAGCGGTTGCCACAGCGGAATGAACCGCCAACTTATCTAACATATGTTTTACGCAGCGGATGCCCTTCCAGCTGCAACCCATCACTGGAAAAACATCCATACACACTCATACACTACGGACAATTTAGCCAAGGAGCACCCTGGGGAAACCCACACAAACGCAGGGAGAACATGCAAACTCCACACAGAAACGCAAACTGACCCAGCCGAGGCTTGAACCAGGAACCTTCTTGCTGTGAGGCGACAGCACTACCTACTGCGCCACCGCTTCGCCTCCATTAAAAATACTGGGGTAAAATAAATGTCCATGTAGTAAATCAGTGCAGTGCTTCTTGTCTGGTGTGAATACTGTATCTCAGTCAGGCAGTGAGGATCATTGATTTGTAAAGAAACCAGATCTTACATGTGGAGAGTTTCTAATGGAGTTCACCAGCTTGAGCGAACTTACTGAAAATTAAATACAAGAGGTTAAAAGTGGTGTTCAGGAACACAAGTAAAGTGGAAAGCTCCTGTCTGTGAACCGAATCAATAGATGAAAGTTCTCGGTTGTAAGTCTGGGTTGGGATGGTTGTGAAGGACGTCAGCTCTTACCGTGGGTGATTTTGATGTCCGCCGGCGTGGCTTTGACTCCGCTGGCCTTTATTAAGCAGTGAGCTGCCGTCAGCACCATACTCTCACTCACGATTGACCCTCGGCATGTTTTAGTTCCCTGAAAGACAGAAACAATGAAATAATTGGATCTGCCATCTGACAGAGCTGTTTTAATTGATTATTTAAAAAGCTGAATCAACAACACACTGCCGAAACTGCTTCTCTCACTCAGAGTTGTGTCTTGTTTCTAGTCCAAATATATGAAACTCTTAAATCAAGAGGCATTTTCCTGACAATTAAAAAATCCTGTCTGATTTTCATAAATAATGAGTCAAAACAAGCAAAATAATCTGCTACTGGGGTTAACAAAACAAGATTGCTTTTGCGTTTGAAATAAGACTAATCCGCTTTTCCTATTGGCAGATGGTTTTTCTTGTTTTAAGAACAAAACTCCCTTCATTTTGAGTCATTGTTTCTGAAAACATTTTTATTGGTCTACTCATTTCAACATATGTTATTTCCAGATAACAACCGCTGAATTTAATAACACATGCTCGTTCAAACCCATGTACATTTAATCATCTTGACCGTCAGTGAATACGTTCACATCTATATTTAACTGCCCCACCACTGTTTGACGCCATCTAGTGGCTGAATAATGCAGGTTAGTGCATACTCCATCAGCTGTTTTCACTCGGTCAGCTTCGCCTTTCATTCATTCATTTTCTTTTTGGGTTAATCAGGGGTCACCACACCGGAATGAACCGCTAACTTGTCCAGCACATGTTCTATGCAGCGGATGCCCTTTGAGCTGCAACCCAACACTGGGAAACACCCATACACTACGGGCAACTTAGTTCATTAATTCCCCTATAGCGCATGTGTTGGACTGTGTTAGGGATTAATCAACTATTATGACTCAGAACAGTGTTTAGTGTCTAATGTTTATGTTTAGTGGTCAGTAGCTGTGTAATATTCAGGATAAAGCACAACAAGAACGGTGGTTTTCTCAGAATAAAGCCTTCAGTCTTCAACAGCAGCTGAATCTGGCTGCTGATAAACCTGTCTGCCTTCTTCTGAGAGAATTCTGAGAGCACAAGCTGTTCAACTTTATCTCTAACATATCAGTTAGCATGTAGTTTTATAGTTGTGTTGGTGGTGTTCTGCTCGTCACCCACTAAACTTTACACGTTTATGTATTTGAGCTCTCATGCTAACGTGCCCTGTCTAGTAGTTCTGAGCCTTTACCTAGGCTTTATTAAAGTGTTATATGTTAAACCTGTGAGGTGAGTTCAGTTCACTGACCCAGAGGAGGTCTACGTGCCAGGGTTTGGTGTAGGAGACGTCATCAGCGCTGCTCTGCTCCTCCTGAGCTATTCCACACTTGGTCACGGCAGAATCACCTGAGAAACACAGCAAGTTCACACTTTAGAAATCACACACAGAGGTGGAAACACAAGACAATAAAACCATCAGGAGTGTTAAAATAATAACACAGCTGTAATCATTGGGCTTTCCATACAACACAAAGTAGTACTGGAGTCAGGTAAAGATGATCACATTAGCCGCGTTTCCACTATCGCGCCTAAAGCGAGCGAGCCAGGGCGAGCCAAGGCCAGTGGCGTTTCCACTGTCACTTCCGGGGCCTAATCGGGCCAAAGCGGGGCTTTCTTGGGGCCAGCGGCCGGCCTTTTTCGGCCCGCCGAATACCTTGGGCCAAAGAGGGCCAGCCGGGGCTTCGGGGCGGAGTAAAAGGAGAGGCGGGCACAGTTTTCCGATCGCACACGAGTATATGCGCCAAACACATAAACAAACAAATAAATAAGAGAAAGAAAACATCTGGAACAAATTATAGGCTGGGGTCTTTTTTGCATATGATCGCCCCTATGTTTCTCTTTTAAATGTAAGGTTGTTGCATAAAATGATAGTTTTAATAAGTCACTTTTCTTTGCTGCATCTCTTTGATGTTTCAATAACGCATACTAATCTTTACACCATATTAAAGACACAGCAGACAGTAAAGGTTTTCAAGAGGTTTTGTCAAGTTTAATAAGTGTCTTTGCGCGTTTAGATGCCTGTGCTTGTGTGAGACCGAGGAAAAGAGCGCTCCATTCTCTGTTGATGCCGCGAGCGGCTTTTTTCTTTTCTTTTTATTGTTTTAATTTATTTGGGAGATAATACACTATATGAATACAACAGAAAGACATTAAACTTTACAAATTTCATGTCCGCTTTTGTAGGCTCAAAACAATAGTGTCATATCTAGATAAAATAGCCTAAGCTAAATAATTTAACGAATTACAAATATCAGATAGGCCTATAAAAAAATCACATTAAATAAATAAACCAATATAAAACTAACCAAAGCTATAGCTATAACAATTAGGCACTATATCAAACTGTTTCAAATTTATATTTAACTTTCATTTTTCAAAAGCCTCTTTGAAAAAAATAAAAAAATAAATAAACACCGGAAAATGTTTTAAATATTATTTATAAAGTATTTGGATAAGATGATATTAATTAAATCATGCAAACAGAGCATTTTCGGGGTGAGTGAAAGCAGAAACTAGGCGACCTTTTTTTCTGTCTGCAGCCGCGCAGCACTTTTTTGACGGGGAAAACTGCAAGTTCAAAATGTGTTCTGTGTCCTCAAACAAGTGTGTGTGTTTTTATATAACATGCTAAAATTAAAAAAGGAAATATAAAATACATAAAGAGCTTTATTAGTGCATAGCTGCTGAGCGCAACGAAATATAGGCAATATTTTTTTACGTGCTGCTCTTATGTGCTGAAACACTGAACAATTTCATTTACTTGAGATATAATAAGCAACATCTTTAAATAAAGGGAATCACCTATTAAGTGTCGTAAAGCCTATAGGGAAAAAAATCATGTTTCAGTTCTCTCCGGAGCATTTGGGATGAATGTTGGACAGATTCTGTCTAGAAGATATAAAATACATTTTATATCGAGTTATTAACAGAGAATTTTATATATGTGGTGTTATATTATGGATGTGTGCGCTCCCTGCGCTGGGTCCCTCCGTTGGTGGCAAGACCACTGGATTTCGATGCCAGTCGGTCGGCGAGTAAATGAATATGATGAATGAAAACACACAGGCATGTGCGTATAGACATGCGTTGTACTGCTGTACAGTAACGTGTCATTTGTTTGTTTTGGTTGTCCTAATTTTAATAGTTTCGTGATGATGTGGTGTGCTTTATCTGCATGATTCTCGCTGAAGTGGGCGGTTTGAGTGACGTTCGATTCGAGGGACGTTCTGGGGGCGGGGTTTGCTGACGCGCTGCAAGCTACAAGCCCCACAGTGGAAACGCGACATGATTTCGGCCTCACTGCTCAACCTCCCGGGCGATTGGCCCGGCCTGGCCCTGGCTCGCACTGGCCTGATAGTGGAAATGCGGCTATTGTGTTCATAATTATAAACGTCATGCTGTGTGTACTGTACTTGTCGTTTTGTGCATGGTCAGCTTTCAGTCCCACTCACTCACTCACTGACTGAGTGCCTGATTATCAGGGGTCAGATTTATATGCAGGCGGCATGGTGGCCTCACAGTAAGAAGGTCTCTGGTTTGAGTCAGTTGGTGTTTCTGTGTGGAGTTTGCATGTTCTCCCTGTGTTAGCGTGGGTTTCGTCCGTGTGCTCCGGTTTCCCCCACAGTCCAAACACATGCGCTATAGGGGAACTGATCAACTACACTGACTGTGTGTGTGAATGAGTGTGTATGGGTGTTTCCCAGTACTGGGTTGCGGTTGGAAGGGCATCTGCTGTGTAAAACATATGCTGGAATAGTTGTTGGTTCATTCTGCTGTGGCGAACCGTGATGAATAAGGCACTAAGCTGAAGGAAAATGAATGAAATGATTTAAGTGCACGGCAGGGAACTGTGATAAAGAATCCTGAATTTATTTCATGACAATCACATTAGATTAAAGATTAGATGTTTAGAATATTTGTACATGCGCTCTGGTTTTCTTTCTATTTTCTTATTAATTTAATAATGATGAGACAGTGATTTATTGTAGAAACCTTAGTGAAGGAGTCTTGGTTGGTCTTTCTATCTGCTTTACCGCTCGGTTTGTTCAACAAGGCACTTCATTACTGTGAAGCTGCAGCGGAGCATCATGAATGGAGAAAGCTATATGCCAACAAGCAAAGTTAAAATAAGTGTCTTACTGATCATTTGGTTGAACACGTATCCGAGCTGCTGGTAGTCCTGCAGCACAAACACATGCTTCTCGCCTTTCTTTGAGGAGGCAAAGCTCGTCAGGTCTTTTCTGTTCACGTCTTTCCCCACAGCAAACACGTACACATCTGTGTGGACAACATATTGGAAATGAATATAGATTACGAATGAATATATTCTGTATCTGAATCAACATTATTGACTTATTTAAGGGAACTAAAGCTATATAACACCAGTCAATTTATGTGTACACATGAGCAATGTTAAACCTCACTGGATATCCTCATTTCATTCTTTTGCTTTCGTCTTTGTCTGTGTAATCGCCGTTGTTGATTTCACATCTGCCTTGTTTAGTTGTTTGTATTTAAGCAGCCTCAGTTTCTTTAGTTCTTTGCTCGGTTATTGTGGATCCAAGCCTGTCACTCTCTCTGAGTCTGTCCTTTTCAAAAGTCTCTGTTTTTTTTGTTTTTTTTTTGCAGTAACTGATCCTAAGTTTTTGCCTCTTTTGAGTTTTTAGAAATTGGAAAAGTCTCTGTTTTTGCTTGCTGTCGCTTTTTCTTCTGTTGAAGTATTTTTTATTAATAAATCCCTCCTGCGAAGCAAGTTCCTTTTGTTGTTTGGGTTACAAAACCAACATCTATCCTGACAGTTTCTAGACTAAATATATAAACATTGTCCTGGGTCTTTCCCGAGGCTTCCTCCTGGTGGGACATGCATGGAACACCTCCCTAGGTAGGCGTCAAGAAAGCATCCGAAACAGATGCCCGAGCCACCTCAGCTGACTTCTCTCGATGTGGAGAAGCAGCAGCTCTACTCAGAGCTCCTCCTGGGTGACAGAGCTCCTCACCCTGTCTATAATGGTGCGCCCTGCTACCCTGCCAAGGAAACTCATCTTGTCCTTTCAGTCATGACCCAAAGCTCATGACCATAGGTGAGAGTAGGAATGTAGATTGACCGGTAAATCGAGAGCTTTGCCTTTCTGTCATGACCCAAACACTCATGATCACAAGTGAGAGGAGGAAAGTAGATTGATCTGTAAATTGAGAGCTTTGCCTTTCATCTCAGCTCCGTCTTTACCACAACAGACCAATACATTGACTGCATTACTGCTGCCTTCCATAGTAGCAAAAACAAATATGAATATCAATGATTACAGGTTCCAGCAGAGCAATATTCTCTTCAGTGTTCAACAGAATAAAGAAAACTGGTCTGGAATAAGTTTAGGCTGAGTAAATGATGACATGTTCATTTTTAGGCAAACTGTCCCTTGTAGACGTTCACATGACTGACCCAGGAGCTCCTCTTGTGTGTGGTCTACACTGCTGGGTTTGTAGCCGAGCAAGCTCCGGATTTTATTCAGCATGATTTGTGGGTTGGGTCCCATATTGGAGTGTCCTGGAGATACAGAAAAACACATCAGTACTTCAATATATTAAAGAGGACCTGTTACACCCCTTTACACGAGCTGTAAAATGCATCTCTGCTGTCTCTAGTGTGTGTAGTGAAGTTTCAGCTCAAAATACCCCACAGATAACATTTCATAACTCCCTGGTCTCTAGATTTGAAGTCTGATTATGAACAATACAGTTAATTCATGTTTAGCATTATAGATGCTGGATATATTCACACACTGCTGACACACTACTGGTTTAAACCCCACATAGAAGTGACGTCTGCATAATAGGTGCCCTTTAAACATATTCATATTCACATGCATTGTGTATTGGTATTTAGATGTTTGTAAGATGTCATTCATTTATGTATTCATTAGGTCATGTCATCCATAGATTTGTAAATGTGTGTCCTCCAGACGCAGAGTTCAGTGATAGCCTCTTACCGTCAGTTGCTATGATGAGGATGTTCTGAGTCTCATTGAAATGACTCTTTTTGTTCTCGCGGAGCAAAGCCAGCTGACCGTACACCCTCTCTAGGGCTTTAGACAGATCGGTGCCTCTCCTGTTCTCGTGCACTGAAATAAAACATGTCATTTTGTACAACCAGAAACTGAAGATGTCATTAATAATGGCACAAATAGTACTGAACACACCTTCATCACTAAACTCGCTTAGTTTCCTCAATACAAAATCCACATCATGACTGTTAAAGCTCGTAATGGATACGATTTCTCTGGGCTCACTGGCATATGAGACGATGTCGAACTTCATGTTGACTTCATAGCTGTCCAGCTAGAAGATGACAAGAGATTATTTCAGCTGCAGACTTTGATACACAAACACACGATGGTCATGGTGTTTATGATTTATAATCACTCATTAATATGAGTTCTTTATGATACAGGGGCTGTTTACACCTGGCCACTTCAGGTGTTGTTTCTGATGGCATGTCTATCAGATCGTGACAAACACAGGTGTAAACATACCATTTCAGGATTTCAGACAAATCTGGACAGGTCTAAACGGTGCTTAATTTGTGAATTGCGAGGTCCCTGAACAAATTGGTGTAGCGGATTAGGCATGTTAGCCGAGGATGTAGAGGTGCGTGCATGAAAGGGAGGGGGTGGGCGTATTTGGCATGAACGAAAGTAAAGACGGGGGAGAAGGTGAAGAATTGGGTGGCGGAGGGGTGCCGTGGATGAAAATGAAGAGCACGGCGTTGTGGCGGACGAAAGTGAAGAGAGTTGGGGAGTCCCGGAAGAACGTGAAAGTGAACAGCAAACGGCGGAGGAGGGCGGTTGAGGAGGGGGATCAGTAAAATGAGGTGCAGGATCAGATTTTAGAGGAGCTGGATCCAGATTCTGTGTGTTTTGGCACAAATTAAGCCCTGGGTCTAAATACATCTGGTTTTTAACAACAACAACAAAAAAAAAACTTGTGAGAAAGACCATCAGGAAGAACGCAGCATCTCTTTAGTCACAGATTGCTCTCTCTGTTCTCAAGGTCATTTGGCAAGACCGATTTCCACTGGAACGTCAGTCTATTCTCTGCATTGTTTGAATTGAGAAACAGCCTTAAGTTTGGTTTATTCTCCTGCGTCATGTGACCGGCGTGACCCTCGGCCCTCGCAATGCACATTGCCATGCATTAATACTTCTGCGGTGTGTGTGTGTGTGTGTGTGTGTTGTTCTGCAATAACACTTCCAAAACACTAGCTGGCAGTAGGTGTTTATGTTTCTGTGTCGAGTTTCTTCACTGGTGTTTTGCTTTTTCTGAACGCTTCCTTGATGTACAAGTGGCTCAAACTCGCTCATTTTGAGGCAGGAATCGGGGGATGTGCAACAACTTTAATCATAAGGTAAACACAAAACTACAGTCTCCTTCTGGAGGTGCTTCACGGGACTCCACACTCGCTGCATCAGGCTCATGCGGTTCTCACAATCACCCACACTGGTCAGCACTACCAAGCCAACCAATCACAGAGCTTGCGCTGCGTGTCGTTGCGACATGTAGCTACATTTTTTTTAGAGGTGTGCATCAGCGTCGTCGACAGCCATGGCGAGGGCTATGCGACCATGTGTTGGCTGCGCCATAGCATACATGAGCGCTTGAGGCAGAAGTAAAAATCAGCCTTTACTTGTAGACAAGACAACTGTTAAACTCTTGACAAGATCAAGCGCAGCATCAGAATGTGGAAAACATTAGATAACACCATCCACATGAACATGGGCATTTTCAAAACAGATTGTTCAATGTGCTTTGGTGATTAGTCCACACAAAAACTCTGGTAGCAGCATGGCCGGGGATGGCATAGTCGTCTCTAAATTGATAAATGTGGCATCTTTTAATCGAGCAGAGTCATGCGCTTGTTTGACCGACTTTTGTGATATAGTTTGCTTTTTAAAGTCATTAAACTACAAACCTTACGGACGAGTTCAATAATGGCTTTCTTTGCTGCCTGGAAAGTGTCCTGTGAAATGCTTCCTGAGGTGTCCATCAGGATGAAGACATTCAGGCGACCTTCTTCAACCTTTATAGTCCTACCCAAAGACTGCCCTAATGCAAGAAACACATCCCACGTCAGACTCAAAACCCAAATGCAATCAATAATAGCTATTATATTTTCACCTTTCTTTTTGAAGTCGGGGAGGGACACATCTAAGGCTGCGCTCAGAGATCCTCCTAACGCCTGAGCAACTATAGCCGGCTGATCAAATGAGTACTGGGCTGAAGGGACAAATGGACCATGTTCATGTTGAGTGACTTACTCTTTAAGTAAGTAAATGTGTGTGTGCCTGACTGACCGTAGCAGCGGGGTTCTGCACCACTCCATTCCCTTGAATCCAAACACCATCTTTCAGGAGAGCCCAGAATATCCAGGTCTGACTGACATAGGTACCGCACTTTATCTCCAATGCGGAAATGATGCCCAAAGCGTTTAGCTCCTGGAGGGATTCCTGGATCTCTGCAGTCCTCCGCTGGAAACGGTAGCATGTTTAAAGCACCATTCAATCCTGATGTTTGTGTCTACAGGAATACGAAGGCTTACACTGATCGTCACACACTGGTGTTGTTCCCGTCCATCCACCATAATGAGTGCAGTTCCTTTCAGCAGATCCAGTCAGAACAAACCCTTCATGGCATGAAAAGGTCTGCTTTTCTCCAACCCTGAGCCACTGCCTCCTGGGCCAGAACTGCCCGTTATCAAGCTGAATCTGAGCAGGGCAGAGGATCTCTAAGAGTGAGGTAAGCACATCAATACTTACAGGAAAATCAACCGAGGAGTCTGTCAAGCTTTTCAATCTTAAAAGGTTAACCTTGGGTGATTTTTCACCCCTTACATTGGGTAAGTTATTAATTGACAAATCTGGTTTAACTTTCACATTTGTGGTAAATATTAATCAGCATTACTTGGCAAAGAGGAGCGTGAAACCGGCTTGATTCATTCAACTCTTGCACATTGGTGGATGTGATTTTCCTGAGGATCCTGCAATCCTGTATTAACATCTATGTTGGTCCTGAAACATCATTCCTGTTTAATAAATGTAATCCTTACCTAATCCATATGGTTAGTATGGCTGGACATGATCCTGGATTAACATCTGTTGACCCTGAAAAAACATTCCCAATCAGCCAATCAAATTTAAGGGTTAGGTTTGTTGTTAAGTCATGTGCTTCAACATCATTATTATCCAACTAGTAATCCCCTCTGACTTTTGGGAATTACTTTAAAGTTATGGTTGGGTTTAGGGTTAGGGATCGGGTATGGATTATTTTTCAATCAGAAATGATGTTCCAGGACCAACATAGATGTTAATCCAGGATTACATCCTACTTGGCAAAATCACACTCACCTAATCCCCACCCCCGCCCATAACCCTAACCTATACCCAAAAATCAAAGGTGAATGATTGACGAATGACTGTAATGATTGGGTGGCAACAGAGGTGGGGATCCACATGCAGATGTATTTGAGAATAGGCAAGCAGGCAAGGTTAGTACAGGGGCAAATCGGAGTGTAAGGGAATTTCAAAAGAGCAATTGTAGCCACAGACAAAAAGGTTGAGGCAGGCAGCAAAACAGCATAAACAGAAAACAAGCATGGCTCAGAAACAAGGCAAGACAGCACAGGGAAACCACTTATGTAATGCTCACAGGGAAAACAGGACTCGGCCCTAG